CCTCGCCGCCCGCACCTTCCGCGACCGCGGCTCGGCCACCGACCTGCGCGCCCGCCTGCTGTCGCGCCACGACAACTTCGAGGCTTCGGGCCTGGTCCGCTCCGACCTCATCCTCACCGGCCGCCCCGAGTCGGCCTCGGACGCGCCCATCGAGCTCGTCGGCGACGACAATTCGTCCAAGGTCCTCGTCGTCAGCGATCCGGCCGTCACCCTCAAGAGCCTCGCGCCTTTCCAGTCGCTGGTCCGCGGCGGCACCGTCATCGTCAACGTGCCCGGCTGGGACGCCGCCGAGCTCGAGTCGAAGCTGCGCGCCGAGGACAAGAAGGTTCTCGCCGATAAGGGCGCTCGCCTGCTCCTCGTCGACGCCGCCGCCGTCGTCGAGCAGCTCAACACCAAGACGGCCAACGCCCGCGGTGGCAAGGCCAAGGCCGGCGACGACGTTGTCCCAAAGGAGATCGCCGCCGCCGTCCTTCTCGTTGCCTTCCTGCGCACCCAGCTCGACCTTGGCGGCGATGCCCTGGCTGCGTTTGTCACGCGCATCCTTGGCACCGCCCCCGTCGGCGTCGACGGCGTTGCCGGCCTTGTCCAGGCCACCGAGGCCGCCGTCGAGCGCTTTGCCTTTTCCAACGCCGAGTGGGCCAACGCCGAGCCCCTCGAGGGGGAATCCGCCAGCGCGCCCCGCCCCACCCACATCCGCTACAACGGCTTCACCCGTAGTGCCGACGCCGCCCTCGCCGGTGTCGAGGTGGCGCCCTCGCGCAACACATGGGCGCTCCCCGCGTGGCAGCAGCTCTTCTCCGAGGCCTACGAGACCGACACGTCGGCCATCCGCCCGGACCTGCCCGAAAAGACGTGGGTCATTGAGGTCACCGAGAACCGCAGGCTCACGCCCGTCGACTACGACCGCAACGTCTTCCACATGGAGCTCTCGACCAAGGGCACCGACCTCCGCTACGAGGTCGGCGAAGCCCTCGGCGTCCACGGCTGGAACGACGATGACGAGGTGGCCGACTTTATCCGCTGGGCCGGCTTCGACGCCGACGAGGTCGTCAGCGTCCCCTCGCTCGCCAAGCCGGCCAAGTTTGAGACGCGCACCGTCTTCCAGGTCCTCCAGCAGAACCTCGACATCTTTGGCAAGCCGCCGAAGCGCTTCTACGAGGCCCTCAGCAAGATTGCCACCAACCGCGACGAGGCCCGCTGGCTCCGCTTCATCAGCTCGGCCGAGGGGTCGGCCACCTTCAAGAAGTACTCGGAGGTCGAGACGCTCACCTACGCCGACGTCCTCCGCATGTTCCCCTCGGCCCGCCTGCCGCTCGACCTGCTCCTCACCGAGGTCGAGCCCATCAAGCCCCGCCACTACTCGATTGCCTCGGCCCAGGCCGCCGTCGGCGAGTCGGTCCACCTCCTCGTCGTCACCGTCGACTGGAAGACGCCCAGCGGCAGCCCGCGCTACGGACAGTGCACCCGCTACCTGTCCAAGCTCAAGCCCGGCGCAAAGGTCACCGTCTCGCTCAAGCCCTCGGTCATGAAGCTGCCGCCCATCGACTCGCAGCCCATCATCATGGCCGGCCTCGGTACCGGCGCCGCCCCCTTCCGCGCCTTTATCCAGGCCCGCGCCGTCAAGCGCGCCCAGGGCATCGACGTCGGACCCCTCGTCTACTACTTTGGCTCGCGCTACCGCTCCGCAGAGTACCTCTACGGCGAGGAGCTCGAGGCCTACCTCCAGGATGGCGTCCTCTCCCACGTCGGCCTCGCCTTCTCGCGTGACACGTCCAAGAAGGTCTACATCCAGCACAAGATCCAGCAGGACGGAGAGATGCTCACCAACTACCTCGCTCCCGAGATTGAGGCTCTCAAGAAGCTCGGAGGTTCCGCCGAGGTTGCCATCCGCGACGGCGCGCTCGACGACCACGTCGATGAGGGCAAGAAGGGATACTTCTTTGTCTGCGGACCGACCTGGCCCGTCCCCGACATTCACGAGGCCATTGTCTCGGCCTTTGTCGAGCGCGGCTGGACGCAGGAGCGCGCCGAGCAGAGGATCGAGGAGCTCAAGGAAGAAGAGGTGAGTGACCCCGATGACTCTGGATCATCACTGACCTGCCTCTTGATCGTCGCTGACCTCCTTCCATCATCTTTTGCTTTCCTTTCTTCCTCTTGTTTCCTCCCCTTGAAGAGGTGAGTGAATCTGTGACCCTGGACCATCTGATTCGCCCTTGCATCGTCGCTGACCTTTTTCCTCATCTTTTGCTTTCGTTCCCCTCGTGTTAGATGGATTTTGGAGGTGTACTGATGGCGTTGAGCGTTGTAGACGATGCCGACGACGGCGACGAGAATGAGGATCTGACGATTGCGACGATATCTGGACGAGCGTGGTGGTGTCGGCGATGATATTTTTGACGCGTGGCGGAGGCGGCCGGCCGTGGCCATTCGCATCCGGTGGAAATCCCGGACTGCTTGGTTCCGCTGCTCGCTGCACAGGATCCTCGTCGCCTTGGTCGATGCTCCATGAGCGCTATGGTAGAATTGAGGCTCGAGAGCAGTGCTGCTGTGCTCGGGCTGGTGCGAGTGCTGCCAAGCAGTGACAGTCGAGAAATGGTGGAGAGAGAGCCACCCCAGCGTGTCGCACGGCTGTTGCAAGGCGAGAGGTCGAGGCTGTGCGTGTCGACTCGACTGGCGCATGATGTTCATGAGAGGTCAAGACGACAGGCAGGCAAGATCTTGATTCACTTGGGCGGAAGCCGATCTTGTCGGCCGAATCAAACCTGAGCCCTCTGTGCTGCAGGTGTTGCGGCTCTGGTCCGCAATCAAGGCCTCGTGGCTGCGCGGGCCGCTCTTTGTTCCCCCACACTCTTGAGCACCCAACCCAAGACTGCCACCTTCTCGAACATGGCCTCTGGGGAACAAAGTCGGTGATCGTCGTCAGGTAGCTCCATGTCGCGCACGCTCTTGGCCGTTGAAAGGACAAATGGTAAGGCGGGTGTTGGACATGGTCGAGCAGAGGACCTGAGACGAGCGAGGTGATGAGGCGGTGGCGTCGGCGTCGGCGTCGGCGTCGGCGTCGGCTTTCCCCGCACTTTTGCGAGGCCGCCCTTTTCCCGCTGCAGACTCGACGGCGTCGGCACACGAAGCAAGCAGCGAGCAGGCACCCACCCAGCCTGCCTGCCTGCCTGCCTGCCTGCCTGACCTGGCCTCTTGACATACCGCCAAGGCAGAGATTGCCGTTCTACCGTACCCGACCTCGACCATCAGCCGAGCAGAGCGGCCACCCGCGGGGTAGGGTAGGCTGGGCTATCGTAGCACGTAACAGCGCTAGCCCAGCACCACCTGCAACACCCGCCTTAGCCTCTTCCGCTCCTCGCCTCCTCCCTCCCCCATCATCGCGTGGCCTGCCAGCTGCAGACGGCCGGCTGACAGACGACGAGTCGCCAGCCACCCCGCACTCCTCTCCTCACTCTGGGGCCGCCCAAGGCCAATCTCTTGGCTCTGGACAATGCAGTGCCCCCGCTCCGTCAATCCTACCACCATCCATGACCCCTCCCTAGCCCCTCCGTATACCCCGCCCGCCCCCTTCCGTCTTGTCAGCGAGCGACGACGAGGGCTCCCCTCGTATCTACCCGTCTAGATCCATCTATCACGACCCGCACTGGCCCCGCCTGGCCTGCTCCCCGACCTGACCGCACGACATGGCCACGACGGTCCCCACCTCTGCCGCCACGACGGCGGCCAACAAGGACAAGCAGAGCAAGGACCGCCGGCGCCAGTACCGCTCCTGCGACCGGTGTCGCTCGGGCAAGCGGGCCTGCGACGCATCCTACACATCGGTCGCAGAGGCCCTCGAGAACCGCGTGGCCTGCTCCAACTGCCGCAAAAAGGGCCGCACCTGCTCCTTTAGCTATGTCCTCAGCATCCTCGGCATGCCCGGCGGCCTCCCTGCGCCCGCCATGGCGGCGGCTGCCAGCAACAGCAACAGCAACAGCAGCGACAACGACGACGCAGCCAGCCTCGAGGCCGACGAGCTCGAGGCAGCTTCGGCTGTACCAGCGCCCGACACTGATCGAGCCTACCCCGGAGCGGTGGCGATCAAACGTGGTTCTCCGCCCCAGACCCAGGCCAGCCTGCCGGCCGCTCCAGTCAGAAGAGGGAGCAACTGGGATGCCGGCGCAGCCCACCACCACCACCACCAGCACCCTCAACGTCCGCCGAACCGGCCTGTAGCCGTGCGCAGCCTGACCGGCTGGGACGCAGGCTGGGACAGAGTCCAGCACGACGTACTGCAGTGCCTTCAAGGTGAGCCGAGGCGAACAGATGTCCTGCATTCCATGTCTACCGGCCCACTGACCAACGTCTCCACTGCCGGCTCTCCTCGCAGGCGTATCGTTCCAGTCGACCTCGTCCCGGCTGACGTCGAACCTCGACCGGATCTATCTCAACGACGGGCTGATTCGCGTCTACGAGGGCGCCGCCGAGCAGGCGCTGCGGTGCTGGGTGACGAGCTCCAATACACCCTACACCCTCGACCGCCTGTCGCAGTCGTCGGGCAAGGACCAGGGCGCCAACAACCAGCTCGTCTACTGGCGCATCTGCGAGCTGGACCGGGGCTCGCGCGCGCTGCTGGGCCGCGACAGCCCGTCCGAGGACCGCGAGATCATGGAGGCGTTCCACAGCGTCATCCTCGCCTTTGCCGCGCAGTGGGCGCCCAACTGGATCCAGACCATGGCCGCCCAGACGGGCCAGGGGCCGCACGAGGGCGGAGCGGGACTCCGCGCCACCGAGAACCGGGTGCGCCTGGCGCTGTGGGAGCGGGCGCGCGAGAAGCTGCAGGCCGTCTCTGGCCTCGACTCGTTCCGCGTCATCTTCTCGCTCATCATCTTTGCCTGGACCGAGAAGCCGCGCGAGGTCCAGGAGCGCGCCACGGGCCGCGTCGACATCGACATCGCCGACGAGAGCTGCGCCCTCGACACGAGCAGCTGGCAGTCGCCGGCCGAAGGCAGCACCTTGCTCCTCGTCGCCGCGCTGCGCAAGCTGCTCACGATCCGATTCAAGGTCGAGAGCAGGCGACGACGCGGGCTGCTGCCCTGGACACCCCTGACGGCCAAGAGCGGAAGGAACGCGGCGCCCGGCGTCGAGGCTTCGGGCGAGGGCAGCGACATCCAACGGGGTCTCGAGGAGAAAAAGGAGAATGGCGCCGCACAGGCCTCTGCTACCCCCTCGTCTTCGGCCGGCGCCGCCCCGGCCGCCAGGCAGATCAGCGACGTCAAGCGCATGGAGGAGACGTACCACATGGTATTCTGGCTCTCGATTGTCATCGACACCGAGACGGCGGTGCTGCGAAAGCACCCTCCCGTTGTCTCGGACGAGGACAGCGAGGTGCTGCGGTCCATCCCCTATGGCGGCAGCGACGACTTTGGCCAGGGCAGCAGCGCCTCTGACGGCGGCGTCAAGGGCATCTGGGACGACTACATCATCGACTACAGCAAGAAGCGCACCGACGAGCTGGCCTGCAGCTGGCCGTGCGACGAGGCCAAGGCGTCGGCGACGCTCTCGTTTTCGACGCCCGTCAAGGTCGTCCTCTTCCGGCAGATCAGCCGGCTGCAGATGTCGTTCTGGAGGCGCGCCTCGAGCGAAAACGTCGAGCAGCACATTGCCAGCGGCCTCAACATTGTGCGCCACTGGAACGCCGTCTACGCCCCGCTGCTCGACAGCTGCCGCCGCCACCACGGCGCGCTGCCGCCCTCGATCCAGTCGTGGTACGTGCTGATCGCGTGCCCGTGGTACCTGGCCGTGCTCCTCTTTGTCGAGATGGTGCAGACCATCGACATGGCGGGCGCCAGCGACGGCCGACGCCGTACCGAGCGCGCGCGGTCGGGCACCTTCCCGCGGCTGCGCGCCCAGGCGTGCTCCGACATGGCCGCCATGATCGAGGCCATCCAGGCCACCGACTTTTCGCACGGCGGCACCTTTGACTTTGTGCGCGACTCGGGCGGCACCGTGCTGCACACCGAGCCGTGGACCGAGATCCTGGTGCACTCGGTCTCGGCGGTGGCCAAGACCGAGATCCGGCTGCACGACGGCCTCTGCGCCCAGTTCCGCTGGAACGAGCTGCAGGACTCGCGCCACCGCGTGCAAAAGTGCCTCTGGGCCCTCGAGCAGCTCTCGGACCGCTCGCCCTCGGCCAGCCTCGCCTTTGAGCAACTCTCGGCCCTGGCGCACGCCCGCACCAAGCAGCAGTTCCACATCGAACAGATCCCCATGGCCCGGCCCGTCATGCCCGACCACGCCATGGCAGCGGCGGCGACGGGCGGGCCAATCGGCTCATCCCTCGCCGATGGCGGCGACGACAGCCTCACGCCCTCCAGCCTCGCCCAGGTGCTCGAAGGCTTCCAGGGCCAGGGGTTCGCACCGACGTCGGAAGACGACCGGTTCTCGACCGACCTGGCGACGCTCGACGACAGCGCCGGCTCGGCTGGCGACTTTTTGGAGCTCTTCATGTCCAAGCAGCACCAGCACCCGCATCAGCACCACCACCACCACCAGCCGGACAGTCCTGGAAGGCGTCAGAGCGGTGTCGGAGCCGGCGCCTGCGACGTCGAGGCGAGCTCGGACGTGTCGCGCTCGACGCTGGACTCGACAGCGGCCGCCGCCTCGCATCTGTTCAACAGCAGCGACCGGCACCACGACAACACCGGCTGGCGAGCGGCAGACGCGTCGACGACGACGACGGCGACATCCGCTCCTTACTCGTCGAGCGCGTCGAGTGGCAAGCGCCGAGCCGAGCCGAGCGCGTGGATCGACGAGGAGCTGGCACCGGAAGAGCGACCGCGCAAGGTACCGCGGCGACACCTCTCGCCGACGCTCGACGTGCGCGCCGACCGCCAGTGCCGCTCCAAGGACGAATGCGAGACGTTCTTCTCGCCGCCGCTGCAGGACCGGCCCGAGTACCGCGACGAGGCGCAGATGGACGAGGAAGAGTTTTACGTCGACGGGCGCGCGGCCGAGATGCTGGAACATCATCACCGCCGCTCGCGACAGCGTCAGCAGCAGGCGGCGTCGACGACGTCGTCGTCGTCGTCCTCGTACCATGGCAGGAAGAGGCAGTCGCGCAAGGCGGCTGGGGTGGTCGACGGGTCTTTGGCAACGGATGGGATTGAGGCGGCGGCGCCGACGACGGGCGGCGCCGGCGCCGGCGGTGGTGGTGGCCATGACGCAGGGGCGCACGCCTGGCTTGACGTGCCCGCCGCGACGGCGGTCGTGTCCGACTGCGACGTCGACTGGTCCTCGATATTTGCGATGCCGATGTAGAGCGGCGTCCATGGTGGTTTCGTTTGGCTTGGTTCGTCGTAGGGTCCTGTTTGCTCCCGTGTCCAGATGTACTTGTACCCGTCGAGATGCTCGCGTAAAAGCCTAGACTTGCGATCACCGTTGGAAGCCCGATGGCCGGCACGAGTGACGGTCGGCGCGTCAGATGGTCAGGTTGTCCCTCCAGGCCTCGTAGGTGCGGATCATGGCGGGGGTGATGCGGCGCTTGACGGCCAGGGCGGCAGCCTCAAAGTGACTTTGCGAGATCTGGCGAGGCGATGCCAGGGACAACAGCGACAGACGTCAGCCCTGGCGGCGATCCGGGCGTGTCGGAGGCGAGGGAGGCAAGCGGGGGTACTCACGAGATCGACTGAGATGTCGAGGTTCATGGCTACCAAGCCGGCCTCCTGACAGATGGACACGACTTCGGCGCCCGAACAGCCGTTCGTCTGCGGGTCGCCGACGTGGGATCAGAGAGAGGGCGGGGATGATGAGCCGTTGTCCACACTCGACACAGTAAAAGGGCAAGGGTCAAATACGAGGAGAGGGCGAACGTACCATCTCGGCCAGCTTGTCAAAGTCGAGCGGGCCCACGGCCATCTTCCTGGTCTGGTTGATGAAGATCTGCCGACGCGTGGCGAGGTCGGGCGGTCCGACGTAGAGGAGTCGGTCGAGACGCCCCGGGCGCAGCAGGGCGGGATCCTGGATTCGCAATACGACGCGGTGCGGGAATGTCAGCGAGGCGATTAAGAAGGCTGATAAAGCAACGAGGGCCCTCAAGGGAGGAAGCTCACGATGATCTCGGGTCGGTTCGTGGCCGCGACAATAATGACGTTGTGCAGCGCCTCGATGCCGTCCATCTCGTTGAGCAGGGACGCAATCACCCGGTCAGAAGGTCCGGACGAGTCCGGATCGCTGCTTCGCGTCGTCGTCAGAGCGTCAATCTCGTCCTGCCCAGCCATCGCGAAGCACAGAGAACCAAGTGGAACGTGGTCAGGGTCGAGTGGCGCGCGTGGCACGGCAGTGATCCGCGGTGGAACACTCACAAAGAAGACGATACTCGGCGCGGCGTTGCGCGCCTTCTTAAAGACCTCCCTCACCGCCCTCTCGCTCTCGCCGACGTACTTGCTGTACAGCTCCGGCCCCTTGACTGCGATGAAATTGAGACCGCTCTCGGTGGCGAGCGCGCGGGCGATGAGCGTCTTGCTGCATCCCGGCGGGCCGTAGAGGAGCACGCCGCGCGGAGGCTTGACGCCGAGCCGCTCAAAAACGGCCTTGTGCTTGAGCGGCCACTCGACCAGCTCGCGCACCTGCGAGTGGACCGACTTGGACGACAGCCCGCCAGCGACGCCCGGCGCCGACGGTGCGGCGTCGGACCCGGCAATGTCGGACCAGTAAACTTTGGGCGCCTCGAGGAAGATTTCGCGCATGGCCGAGGGCCGGACGAGCGCCAGAGACGAGAGGAAGTCGTCGAAGGTAAGTCCGTCGTCGCTACGCGATGACACGGCACTGTCGAGAGCCATCGAGCTCAGCTTCTCCTCGAGACCGCTGCTGCCATTCACTACGTCCATGGCTCCGGCCTGCCGATCAAACGCCCTCCGCACCGCCAGCATGCCCGCCTCGCGGACCAGCGCCGAGAGGTCGGCGCCGACGTAGCCGTGCGTCCGGGAAGCCAGGTCCTCGATCTGCTCCGGCGTGAGCGAATGCGGGACGGCCCGCAGCTGCGCAGTGAGGATCGAACGTCGGGCGTCGGCGGTCGGGATACCGATTTCGATCTCGCGGTCGAGGCGACCTGGCCGGCGGAGAGCGGGGTCGATGGCATTGGGGCGGTTTGTGGCGGCGAGCACGACGACACGAGGCGGGCCCTTGCTGTTCCTGTTGGTGAGCGAGCTGGCCAGTTCGCCATCGGCACCCTCGTCATCGCTGCCGCCATCCTGCTCGGGCTCGTCGTCGTCCATTCCGTCGAGCAGCGTGAGCAGCTGTGCGACGACGCGCCGCTCGACCTCTCCCGCGCCGTCTGCATTCCCGCCATCGCCGCTGCCGCCCTCTCTCCTCGGCGCCAAAGCATCGATCTCGTCGATGATGACGACGCATGGGCTCTTTCGCCGCGCCTGGCGGAAGGCATCCCGCAGCTTGGCCTCGGTCTCGCCGTGGAATGCCGACGAGAGCTCGGGTCCGTTGATGGTGAGGTACGACGAGCCGGTCGAAGCAGCGACGGCCTTGGCGAGCGACGTCTTACCCGTTCCCGGTGGGCCGAAGAGGAGCACGCCTTTTGGCGGACGCAGGCCGTACTGTTTGAAGATCTCTGGCTTGGTCAGAGGCATCTCTACGAGTGCGCGGATCTCTTGGATCTGGCGATCCAGACCACCGAGGGAGGCGTAGGCAGCCTGAATGCGCTGCTCGTCGGCAGCGGCCGCAGTGGTGGCAGCATCCGAATCGATTGTCGCTTGGCTCTCGACCTTCTTGGCGGAGACGAGGCTGACCTGAGTCTGCCGAGAGACGAGGAACACCGAGTTGGTCCTGTTCGGTGATGTGGGGAGGGTCGGAATCTGCTGAGCTTGAGCATCCTTGGCCGATGCCAAGACGAGGGTGTGGGAAGCGCCCTGGAAGGAGAGAGTGAGAGACTGGCCGAGATGAAGGCACTCGAGGTCGACGAGAGTCTCTTTGACAAAGACGCCGAGCAGCTCTTTGTCCTCTGCCGACATCTTTGATGCCCCCTGGAGCGAGAACTTTACGCTGCTTGCGACAGGTAGCTTGGCGGAGCGATTGGTGGGTGCGGCAGGGGAGAGGGTGACGACATCGTCGGGCTGGATGCCGCTGGAAGCGAGGAGCAAGGGTGGCAGCTGTACGGCGGCAGCATCGAGCGAGAATGAGGGCCACACTGTGCCGACCGCAAAGACGTCTTTGCGAGCATCTGCGACGGCGGCGACGGGGTCTCCGGTCTGGAGCTTGAGGGAGCGGAGGATGGGGACGGGGACGAGGATGCGTGAGCGTGCTGAGCTGGTCGAGGTGGCCGAGGGCTGCTGCACGGTGAGCCGCGGCGCCGAGTTGGTCGAGGTTGTGGCCGCGTCCATGTTCGCTTAACAGCGCAGAAGCCGTTGCTGTGAGCGGGAGTGGTGATGAGGGTGGTGGTAGTGGTGGTAGAGTGTCGATGACTGAACCGTTGGGGATGGCGAGTGAGCAGCGACCCGAGATGGTGGAATGAGGCAAAGCAGAGGGCGGCGGCCTCGGCCATTGGGAAAATTCTGGCCGACGCATGGGCCACGGGCGCAGCCTCAGCCCGTCTTCCGAAAAAGGAGCCTCGACGTTGGGGGGACCGAACCCCTGTGTGGCTCCTTGGTCCTCGTTCTCCCTCTTCCTCCATCGCTCTACATCTCCCTCTTCAACCCGCCACTCCTGATGTCGCTCGACAAGACCCACTACGACGTGGCAATACTATCCACGGCGCTGCCACAGGCCATCCTCTCCGCAGCGCTCTCCTCGGCAGGCCTCTCGGTCATCCACCTGGACCAGCACGACTACTACGCCGACACCTGGGCCAGCCTCACCCTCTCCGAGCTGCATCGCTGGGCAAGCCACGAGCAGCCAGGGATATCCCAGCTTCAGCTCCGGTATCCTGCCTATGCAGAGGCACAGCCGTCGTCAGACACATCTTCCCCCTCTCCCTCCCGGCCCGCTATACCCCAGCAGCTGCTTCACCTCGACCGACACTATGCCCTCTCGCTCGCACCCACCCTTCTGCCGGCGACCGGTCCGTCCATAGACGCTCTCATCGCATCCAACGTATCCTCCTATGCCACTTTCCGCCTTCTCGAGCATACTGCCGTCTATACGCCCCCGACCTCGGGCGCCAGCTCCAGCTCCAGCTCCAGCTCGACCAGCCGCCTGGCCCGCGTGCCCAGCAGCAAAGAAGACGTCTTCAAGGCGAAATCGCTCTCGCTCATCGCAAAGCGCAAGCTCATGAAGCTCCTCTTGCACATCGCATCCGACGACTGGGACGCAGACATCAAGGACGACGCTGCGCTGGCGGACCGGCCCTTTGTCGAGTACCTCGAACAGCGTCACAGGCTCTCGCCCGACCTCGTCGCTGCAGTCGCGTACGGCGTCTCTCTCTGCTCCTCGCCCCTCGACACCACTCTCGAAGCATTGCAGAGAGCCAGGGCTCACCTGCAGAGCATCGGCCGGTATGGCAACTCGGCCTACCTCGTCGGACAGTACGGCGGGGCGGGAGAGCTGGCGCAGGGCTACTGCAGGGCCTCGGCCGTCAAGGGTGGCATGTTCATCCTCGATCACAAGATCGAGAGCTTGAAGCGGGTCGAAGAGCCATCAGAGCAGGCAGCCGGCGAGGGCAGCACGTCTTCGAGAGGCCAAACGTGGCAGGTCCAAGTGGCCGGAATCGACCAGGGGATCACGGCCGACGTCGTCGTCTCGAGCGACGAGATCCTCGACAGCCTCGCCGCACCGCAGGTCTCGCAGGCGGCAGGAGCGGCGCCACCCGCGGCAAGCTTGGACACGATCCGCGGCGTCCTCGTCTTCGACCGGCCAATCGACTTCGAGGCGGGATCGAGAGAGTCGCAGCAAGAGGGCGAGGCCGCCGAAGGTGCGCAGGCAGCGCCGCAGCAGCCGACGCCGCCCGAGACTGGGCTCCTCGTGCTTCCTCCGTCGACCATTGGCGAGGGCGCGGCGAGCAACCAGAGCACCGTCATGGTCCTGATGATGGGCGAGGGCACCTTCTCGTGTCCCAAGGGGCAATGTGAGTTCCTCTAGCCGGCCTTGCGGCGGCATTCTCCGTCAAGTGTCCGCCAATACTCACCTCGTCACGCCTCCCCGCCTTTCGAGCAGACGTCTACTACATTCAAACGCAGGGTGACGGCAGCTCCAAGCTGCCCAAAGAGGTGCTGCAACCCACCGTCGACCTGATCCTTGACCTCGCCTCGCAGACGCGCTTCCCGCCGGATGCCAGCGTCGACGGGGGGGCAGGAGTCAAGCCGTTGCTCGAGCTCTTCTACCGCCAGAGCCCAGCCTCGCCGCCGTCGGTCCAGTCGTCTTCGGAGTCGGATAACGATGCACCGATCCGCATCGCCCTCCCGCCGAACCCTTCCATCACCTCGCTGACCGATCAGGCCGTGTCGCAGGCCGAGTTGGCCTACTACGACGTCCTGGCTCAGCTGCATCGGAGGCGGTGGGGTGTATCGAAGGACGTGGCCCGAGAGAGGGTGATGCAGGTGGCGGAGACGAGGAAGGTGAGGCGGAGAGGAGGCAGGAGGAAGAGGGATCCGGCAGAGTACCAGGGCCGTGGTGGCCGGGGCGAGGACGATGGGGTTGCGGAACAGGGCGAGGAGAGGGAGCAGGAGGCTGAAGACGACGGTGCAGACGAGGACGAGGAGTATGGTGTCGTGACGTTCTTTGAGAAGCGGGAGGAGGAGGATAGGGATGGAGGGGAAGGTGAGGATTGACAGAGTGGCAGACCGATGACGACGAATAGAAAGACGGCCAGATGCAGGCCCAGCCCACGACATGATCTCGAGTCACCAGACCATGCTTGCATGGCTCGCCCCGATCACGACGCTGCGCGCCCCCTTCGTTCAGCATCGCGCCCTCTCACTTCCTCTTGTTGAGCTTGTTCTTGAACGTCTTTGACCCGCCAGAGCGGGGCGAATCCGCGCCCCTAGACCCGCCCTTGCGTGCTCGCTGAAGTGTGTTGGGCTTGGCGCTGCCGCCGCGCAAGCTCTCAAAGGCATCCTCGCTCCTCCTCGCCTTCTTTCCCTTTTTGCCGGCGCCCGAGTAGCCGCCGGTGCGGAGGAGGTCGCCAAACTCTTCCTCGATGCCGCCCCCGACGCGGCGCTGGCCGTCGCGCCCGCTCGAGAGGCCCGCACCGCCGAGAGCGACGTCGGCCTCGTCGCGCATGCGCTTCTTTGCGTCGCGCTTCGACATGACCAGGCGCGTGAAGTTGTCCTCCTCGTAGTCCTGCATCCGCTGCAGCGCGCGCGCCCTCGCGCTCTGCTGCGACGCCACCGATCCGCCCACGCCCACTCCGCCCGAAGAGATCTCGTACGGGTTCGACGACAGGCCCGCGGTGAGGTCGGCGAGCAGCGCAGAGGAGCGCGCGGAACCCCGTCCGCTGTCGCGCCCGCGCTTCGAGGACGAAGCGTCCGGGTCGTACGCCACCGGCGCCAGCTTCGGTGGACGGTAGACGGCCGTCTTGCCGCCAGAGTCCGACTCGGATTCGGACGACGAGCCGCCAGCATCCTTCTTGCTGCGTTTCGCCGTCTTTGTCTTGCTTGAGACCTTGTCGCTGCGATCCGGACGGGCCTTGTCGTCCATGAACGCCGACGGGTTGGGTCGGAAGGCCAGCAGGTCTGTGGTTGCCATTGGGCCAAGGCGAGCCGGGCGACGTCAGAAGGCGTTGCAGGAGGCGGGGCCGCACCAGCAAGCAACGACATGGACTTGTACTCACCGACGGCCGTCTCCTCCTCCTCGTCCTCTTCCTCGCCGACCTCATCTTCGTCCTTCGCCTTGGGCCTGACCCTGCCGAGCGCGATCTCCCTGTCCTCGTCCTCGGCCGCCCTGAGCAGCTTCTCGACCTGGTACCGGAGCCTGCTCTCAAGCGGCTTGACCTTTTCGAGCACTAGGCGGAGCTTGACGAGGTTGCGTACGAGCCGGGCGCCGTGGCTCTCGGTGAGCGAGTTGCCACTCATCTTCCACGCCGAGAGCAGGACGAGGTGGTGGAGGTAGTCGAGCAGCACGTCGTTCTTGAGCGTCAGCAGCGAGATACCGTCCGGGTAGGTGAAGCTGGACGGCGTCTTGACGATGTCGTTGCACAGCGTCGTCAGCGTCGAGGCCACCGACGCCACGTCCTTTTGCAGCGACTTGAGCAGCGCGCCGATGGCCGACGACTGCGAGGATGAGGCGGTCGCAGACGCCATCTTGTCGAAGTCGTGTGGAGGCGTCGGTCCTGCTCGGGAAGGCGAAGTTGTGCGCTCGATACAGAAGCTGGCGGCCGTCGATGGGTGGTAGAGTCGACGCGCGATAGCCAGGTTGCGCTGCGATGCCGTCAAGTGGTGGGGTTGGTGGAGTGTGGTGGAGCTTGGTGGTGGCTGGAAGAAGGCGGGGTCAGGGCCTGGCACCCAGCCTCAGAAAAATTTGCCCGCGCCCGGAAGATGGGTTGGCGCTAGGCCACCCTTCCGAGTCCCGAAATTTTCACCCGGACACGCCAAGGCTCAGTCGAGTGTGGACACGCATCGCCGAGGGCTCGCCGGCCGTGGGCGTGGGTCACGAGGCCTTCGAAGCAACTGTATCCCGGGGTGCATCAGGATTGTGGTGTTAGCTCCGCATCGGCGGGAACCGAATTATTCAAAGGTGTGCCAATGTTGTTGCATTTTCTGGTCGGCGAAGACCGTACACGGGTTCTACATGGAAGGGCAAAGTACAGAAGGGCGAAAGAGACAGCGTGATTGGAGTGCGGGGGAGGGTTCAGATTGTTCTCAGGTTGGCCGCAAGCGCAGAGGCGCGGGCCGGCTGTATGCAAAGGGAAATAGGAGATCGTCGCCGCTCAGGCTCAAGCCCGAGCGAAGGAGTTGTTGGGTGCTGCGAATGGCGGTGCGAGGACAGGGCGGGACCCTCCGGGCGGCGTCCGATCGTCCTGGCCATCTTATCTCTTCTCGGATGTATGGTCTCGTCGGGTCAGGGTATAGCAAAAGGAGCAGAAGTCGGGAATTGGGGGGAGCGACAGAGGATGCTAGGAAGCGGTCGGTCACGGCGTCGATCAGTTCTGACCAACGGCGATGGCCGACGTGGGGAACGAGGGAGCCTTGACCCTGTCCGGAGGGCCGGGCAGCGTGCGGCTGGGCGCGTCGCAGCCGCCCGGATACAGCTTGTTGCGCGGCCATTCGGCGCCGTAGCCGCCCTCTTCGCGCGTGTTGCCCCACAGTGTGAGGTTCGGGTTCGTGTAGGCCTCGAGGTGTCGGTTGATGTAGTCGGCCGTCGGGTAGTCCGGAGGGTCGCAGCCGACGTTCGTCTTGCCGTCTGGCTGGTACACTCGGATCCAGTCGATCGCCATCTTCGCTGGCCATTTCAGCTTGCGCCACGATGGGGTGCCGAAGTTCTAGAGGCAAAGAAAGGCAAACGGCGAGGCGAGGAAAAAGCAGGGTGTCAGCACCGGTTGTGTACTCGAAAGCTGTGCGCTCTGCACGCGCGACGACCCCTGCGAGTGTAACGGCCAGCGAATCAACTCACCTGACTGATGCCCAGGTTAGCGATCAGGTACAGTGGCTCCGTTGGGACGACGCGTTTCCCAATCTGCGCTCGGGGGTCGGGGTCGAAGGCCGAGTGCATGAGCTTCCACGCCGGCTTGCCATCCGAGATCCACTCGATGTAGCCGTCCTCGCCCGGCTCGTACTCAAAGCCGTACTCGGCGAAGCTGTCGTCGCCGCCGTACTGGACCGCGACCTGCGAGGCCGTCGAGACGCCGCTGAGCGCCTGCTGCGTGTTTTCGCCGTTGTACGAGTTGAGGTGCGAGTCCGGCTGGAAGAACTCGTAGGCCGGGCCGGTGGTGTTGGTCACGTTGTACATCCAGTTGAACGGCGCGGCCTGCAGAGACTGGGAGACGGTCATGCCGATGCGGCCGTCGACCTGCGCCTCGAAGACGTCAATCTCGGGCGCGGAGCGGCCCTTCCAAGAGCCATCCGCAAGCTTCGGGCCCGGGTGGTCCTCGTCGGGGCAGGTGCAGGCAGAGAGCCGCTGACCGGGAAGGAACGAGAGCGCCTTGGCGTGCTTCTTGCGGTTCCACATCACGTCACCTCCTGTCTGCGCGGCGATCGGATTGCCGTCGGCGTCGGTCTGGTTCATGAGCGTGCCCACGTCGCACTGCTGGTACGTGTAGGGCCAGTTGCCCTCGACGCTGGCGCCGTAGCCGGCCCTGCCGAGGTTGCCCATGGTCCAGACCGCCGGCCAGAGACCGGGCACGTCGGCAGCGCCCGGCAGCCGCACCGAGGCGACGAGGTAGCCGCCCGTGAAGCAAAACTTGTTCCAGGTGCTGATCATGCCGCCGCGGAAGTTGAGGTTGTTGGTCTCGACCTGGTCGAGGGTAATCTCGAGGGCGCCGTCGCGCGTCGTCACGGCCTCGGGCGAGTACCACTCGTAATTGTTGGTGGCCCAGTAGTGGAGATCGACGGCCTCCCAGAACGGGTCGTCGCCCGGGTAGAAGGAGCGGCCGTCGGTGTTGAACTCGTCGGAGAAGACGAGCTGCATCTTGGTCTCGCCGTCGAGGCCGAGGATGCTCTTGACCTCCTCGGGCGTGTCGGGGTCGACGAGGCCGTTCCGCATGCCCGGGATGCTGGCGATCTGGCCGGTGGCATTGGTGCCTCCCAGGTTAAAGGCGCCCTTGGTGCTTTCCTTGATCCGGGTGTAGTACGAGAGGATGGGGTAGCCGGCAAAGAGCATCAGGAGGCCCATGCCCAGCAGCGCAATCACGCCGAGGTTGAGCAGGCCACGCGGGCCCATCATCGAACGCATGGCTCCCGGCTCCTTTTCCTCTGGCGCCTCGGGGTCGTGCAGGTAGTCGTCGGGCTCCGACTTGCCGTCCATGGTGTCCCACGTGTACGGGTTGGAAAAGTAGGCGGCGGCCGACGAGATGTCTGCGTCCTTCTCGTCGCGGTAGAGGCCGCGATGGCTGTTGCCGCTGCCGGGGGAGCCCGTCAGCGACGATGGCAGACTGTACTCGTCCGTGGCCGCCCTAGGGTTGATCCTGTCATTGCGTCGGACGAGCTGAGCCGGGCTCTCGGAACCCTGCTGAAGGTGCTGTTGGTGGGGCGTGGTTGGTGGGATACGGTAGTCACCGCTGTCAGCCCTATTGTCGGCGCCCACCTCTCTGCTGTCATGCGCCCTTGTGCACTGCAGCACGTCCCCACTCACGTGGTTGGAATGCGACTGGTAGCTGTGCTGCCGCGATGCGGCGTCAAAGTCTGGGTGGAAGTAGGAGCTGAGCAGCGAGTCGTTGTTGGAACCTCTTCTGAGCAGGTTGGAGGTGCTACCGGTGCCTGCTGGCTCCATTGCGCTGCTGGTGGTAGACGCGTCACGGTTGGTGGCAGGGGGCGCAAGTTGGTTGGGGCCGGCGTCGCTGGAGCGCAGGTTGCTGACGCGCTTGTGGATGGGGAGGCTGCCGCTGCTGCTGCTATGCCGCGACGACTTTGTCGATGAGGGACGCGTGGTGGATGGGGAGAAGGGGACCGGTGCGCCGATGCTGATGGTTTCTGCGTCGTTGGCGTTGGTGGCAAAGGAGATGGTGGGGAGGACGTAGGAAGCCTCGCTGTCGCCGAACGGGTCTGTCGAAGAGGTGGCAGCCGCATCGGCGGCCGAGCCACCCTGCGGTGAGGGCTTCATCTTGTCGCAGGCTGGGCGGCCGGCGGTGCTGCAATGGGATCGGACACCTCTATGGAACTACCGGTATCGTAGATCGGCCCCCGTCGAGTCGTGCGCGAACGATGCAGATGTAGGGCCAGAGGGCAGCGTGCCGATGGGTGCCGTGCAGAGCCGAACGTGGGCCGGTGCAGATCAGTCTTGCGGTGGTGGAAGAGTTCAGGTGATTGGGCGAAGTGGGGCGGGTTGTCGACGAAGAGCTGGGAAGCTAAGGTAGGGAGAAGGAGGCAGGGCGGCAGGCGGGCAAAGGACGATGCGGTCGCGAAGGTTTACGTTGAGGGGGAGGCCGGTAGAGAGAAAGGCTGCCTCCGTCTATTTACGGAAGTGAAGGTGCGGCACGGCGGGGCGTCGTCAAGTGGCGTCCCTGCTTGCCTTGCCGAGTTGCGAGTCGGTTTGGCCGTGTAGGTGGTCGAGAGGCTGCTGCAGCATACAGTACACGAACGTACGGGCCAGAGGAGACGAGGGTGCGAGGAAACGGGGGCAAGCAAAGGTGACGGGCGGCGCGGGCCACGGTGGTATACATATCAGGGCCTGCCTGTATGTACGTACAGGTCGGTAGAAGCGCCAGGCTAGGCCAGGCAGCGTACATGACGCGAGGCAGAGGCAGAGGCCGAGGCTGAGGCTTGGAGCCGTCGCCTCTTGGTCGCGAGCTAGATAGAGATCAAGCGCACATCTGACCGCCGCGCGGGGCCGGGCTCTGGCGTAGCGTAGCGTAGCGATGGGGCCTATCTCATGTCGGCGATCAGAACGAAGAAGCGGGACGAGGGTCGAAGAGCAAAGGCAGGCAGAGCAGGTAGAGACAGCCGTACGTCGTGCAGGCAGGCAAACAGGCTAGGCAAGAGTGACGCAACAAAAGGGCGGAGGCGAGCGGGCAGGCAAGCGGGCAGGCAGGCAGGTAGGCCAGCCAGCAGGCCTCAGGGGCGCAAGCAGGGTCGGATGTATGCACGTAGGCGGATCGTCAAGGGGAGGCCGGCGGCAAGAGGTAGGGGGCAGCTGTGAGGCTGCGCTGAGCTCGTGCCCGTGGGCCGTTGGCGAACTGCAGGGCCAAAGCAAGCGCGGGCGGCGGTCGACGCCATCGCCTCGCTCGCCCATCGCCGTCGTCGTGGCGAGCCTTGCTGCCCGCCAGGCCTGCCTGCCTTTGCGACGGCGTAAAAGCTTGCTTTAATTGAAGTAGAGAAGGTCACGGTGGCGCCTCGCCCCCTTCAGCCACCGGCCGGCCGCGTGTGCGCTTACCGTGTTTTGGATGCTGTGTACCAACTCGATACGGTCAGCTCGACAGGTAACCAGCTGCATGCACTCGGAGCAGGGAGGAAGACGAGAGCGCAGCGTCGACGTGGGCAGCGCCCGAGAAACTGGGGGTCGCTCCCCAAAATTTGGGCCAGCCGCTTCTGGCCTGGCCTGCCCTTTTTGGAAAGGCGGCACTTTTGGGCGCTCGACAGGTGAAGACCGGGGTATTTTTTTTTTTTTTTTTTGAAAGACGAGCGCAGCTGACGCCTTTGGCCCGGCGGCGGGCAGGCAGGCAGAGAGGCAGGCAGGCAGCACAGCGAGCGCGGGCGGCGGAGACAGGCGCTCCGCATCAAATTCAGGCGCAGGCCCGACCGGCTGGCAGGCAAGCCCGCAGGCAAGCAAGCAGGCTAGGGCAGCTGATGCGGTGCAGCGGGTCTCGCCGCCGGCGCCCATGAATTAATCCAGCCGCTCTCACCGATGGGGCGGCGACATCGGCCTGACTAGCTGCCGCTCTTTTTCTTCTCTGACAGCCGGCTGCTGGCTGTCGACGAGACCACGTTGGGCCCACCCCCTCCTCCCTCATCGTGGACCCAGCTGATTTCGCGGGGTTAGAGACTCAATTTGAGATATCGAGAGGGAGGAGGATCGTCGTACGTAGGATGCCTGGCTTTCGATTGCCAGCAGGCTACCGTATGTACTGTAGGGCCCCCTCCCGAACTGCGCGCCCGAGGCTGGCCCAACTGCAGCCTGGGCGGAGATCCACATCATCGTCATTGCCGCATCATCGTCTGGATTCAGGGCAGTCGGCACAAACACCGGCACGGCAGCACGACAGCCCGCCCTTCTCCATCTCCTCCTGCCGTGGTGCCGCGGCACTCCACCGGCCGCACGCTTGTACCTATGTCGGTATGGTAGACGAGCGGGAGCCGCTTGATCTCCGCCTTCGGAATCGGCTGAGTTACGGTACGGTACCAGCCGAGCGATACACCTTATTGCTTGCTTCACCGCCACGACGACGACGGCGACCAACGGGCAGGCGGGCGGGTCGAGTCTAAAACCTTGACTGGCTCGTGGGTCCTCCGTCGAGGTCACCGCGTCGATGAGCGGTGGGTCCCAGGCCTACGCACGGCTGAACTGCCAGAGTAGTCCGTCGATGTCGCCGTCGCGTTGACCCCGATGTCGATTCCTCGCTATCGAACCAAGATCACCGAGATCAGGCCCCAGGCCAGGCCATCCATTCGCACGCGTGCGATGCACCCGATCGACGGTGCGTATGTGTGCCCGCCTCTTTCATCCTCTTGTCGGTGCGTCGTCGCTGATCCGTCCGGGCAAGGCCAGGCCAGGACAAAGACCTAACCACGCCCGCTCCAACCCAGCAGCGACACAGAAAGAAAGCAAGAAAGAGGAGCTGAAGCGGGAGACTGAGCGCTCGCAGCAGGCAGCAGGCAGCAGGCAGCAGGCAGCAGGCAGGCAGGGTTCGCACGCATACATGTACGCATACGCATCACCGCAAACGGCCCCGCCGGGGATTTGATACGGGCCGCACCGCAGCGCAACGCTTCGTCTGGTCAACGCTGCGCTCCGTTGCCATGTGAGCAACCGAAGCGAAGAGCGTAGCGCAGCCAGCGATCCCCCCGCCGCCGCCGGCTGCCCGCTCTCACGCACGGCCGTTGCCTTTTTCCTGCCCTACTGTAGCCTGCCGGTTGCTGGGCACCTGTAGACAACGATCGAGGTGGGTGGCCCTCCTGCGCGAATTTCAAACCAAACCTCCGCCCGCTCTCTCGCGAGGGCAGGCCTGGGGTCCGGTCTCTCGTGGCCTGTCCTGGCCCGCCGTATCCGTTCGTTCGGTCCGCCGCATTCACCGTTCACCGTTTGAGCGGAGATGGAATTCAGGCCAGGCCAGGCCAGGCCAGGCCAGCCAGCCAGCCAGCTTGCAAACACCAAACTGCTGGCTGTAGGCTTGATCTGGCCCGTTTTGTTGTCGTCGTGGCGGCCGCGTCAAGCCAGCTCAAACTACGGCTAAGTTATGGCCCGGTCGCCACGTTGTCGGTTCGCTGTGTTAGTGGGCCGCAGGTAGGCGGGCGGGCAGGCAGGTGTAATTACGCCTAGAAAGAGAAAGTCAGAGAGAGAGAGGGAGAGAGGGAAAGCGGCGCACCTAGGAGCAAGCTGTTGAAGTAGAATTACAAGGCCCGATGTGGACCTGTCGGTTCCGAAACAGGTCGGACACGGCTCCGTGTGGCGGTCGGTCGGTCGGCCGGGCCGCTCCTCTATCGTGCTGAGCCATCCTTGGCGACTCGGTGGCGGCAAGAGCGCGATTTTCGTCCACCACACCATCTCGCGGCTCAGTTCCACCCGTCCATGTCGCCGCCGCCACCGGCGTGGCCGTTCATGTGGCCGTTCATCATGCCGTCCATGCCCACGCCGACGCCCATGCCCATGCCCATCCCCATGCTGCCCATGCCTCCCATGTCCGGCGCGCCGTTGCCCACGGCCGGCTCCTCCATCAGGCCGAGCTCCTGGACAATCTGGGCGGTGCGGTACTCGAGCAGGTTGAGGCCCGTCTCGACAATCTCGGCGGGGTGCATCGACCCGCTCGACTCGACGTCAAAGTAAAACTTGCTCGCCTTTTTGTGGTAGTCGAACGGCGCGCCGTCCTGCGGCGGCTCCTCCTCGCGCGCGTTGGGCCCCTCTGGCCACTCGGACTTGGCATCGATCTCGTACCAGTAGGTCGTGTGCCGCAGCGAGTTGTGCGGGTCGTACTCGAACCCCACTGCAGAGCACGGCGACCACTTGGCGTGCTCCTTGGCAAAGCCCTGGCGCAGCGTGCGGGGTGCAGGGGCAGGTGCGCGAGCGGCACGTTGTCAGCGTCCGTTCGGTGTCGGATAAAGTAGAGCAGTCGGCACTCACCTTTCTCGCGATACACCGCACGTCGAGCTCCTGCCCCCGGGTCATCTTGACAATGATGATTGGCGGGATGCTGCCGTCTGTTTGGCGTCGTGAGGTGGGGGAGAGGCGAGCAAGGATGGACGATCAGCATCGTGCGCGCGCGGGCTGCATTTGCAACGGGCCGACGAGAATGCCAGCGCAACTCACCGTGCCCCACGGGCTTGCCAAAGTCGGGGTGCTTTGGTGCCGGCGGTTCTTGCATCGCATCGTCGTCGAACGTGACGGCGTCCTGGATGGTGTCGCTCCGGACCAGGTCGTTTGTCGTGACCTCGAGGTTTCCTCTTGTCGTGCATGAGATCTTGATCCGAAGCTCTATCGAGCAGCGGTCGCATCCGTCCTCGCACGCGCAGTCCTGCAGCAATTGCAACGGAGGGCCGAACGGGACGGTGGAACGTCAGTCCTGAGCAGCGCGCAGAGGCGCGGCAAGAGGGGCGCGGTACTCACACCGTGGTCCACCAGCGCCTTGGCCGCATCCATGCTCAGCAATGGGATCATTCCGAGCCGATGCGCGAGGAACTCGTCGGGGAGGACGGTGGTGTTGTTGCGGATCTCGACCATGTCGATGGCTGCAGGGCGTGCGCAGGGTCGGGTTGGTCAGCACAGATGGCAAGCTGGCCCCGTCGGAGCCCACAAGGTAGCACGACTCACCGACTGTCGGGATATCTGCGATCATGATTCTGCGCAGCGAGTTGGCAAAGCTGTGAAGAGCATGGCGAGGAAGGGTGCAACGCCGGCGTCAGTGCCAGATCGGCGCCGTCTCCGCACTTCGCCCTGCTTGGTGCTCTGGGCTCGATCGACGTCGGACGCACCTCAGGTCGACGTTCTCAAGGATAAAGTCGGCATGGTCCCTGTTGATCTCTCGGATGGTGATCTTGGGTCTCTGCTGCGCCTGTGCGAGCGGGTCGTACCGCGACGTGCCATTGGTGCCGTTCATGTTGGCCGAGGATGCGGTTGATACGACGGCCTGCTAGCACTGCTCCGCTATCGAGCTGCCAGGAGTGTGCTCCGTCGCTTTCCTGCTTTGTTACGGCTACCGCGAGGCTGCTTGCAACTGTGACCCGATCCTGACGCGCGCTATGTCCGGTCGTCCAAGGCGAACGTTGGATGCTGCTTTCCTTGCAGTACGCGGACGTCGGCGGTATCGAGCTGAGCGCGGGGAGTGCGGGTTGACGTGTACAGCGCTTGATATCGAGTATCCCAGAGAGACAGCGAGGCGGACCAAAAGAGGAGGAGCAGGCAAGAGGTCGAAGGATGGAGATGAGGTGGAGAGTTGAGGAGAGGCTGCAATCTGGAGCGCGAAGGGTGCGGGCCCAGGCCAGGCCAGGCCGAGCAGCCACCCCACGAGAGCGTGACCCTTTGCCCTCTTCCGATTTCCGTCTCTCTCCTCGGATCCGCAGCCGAGGCCCCTCCCCGCCCCCCACGGCTTTCCTTCCACCAGGGACGCACGGACGCCCACCTGCCTGGCTGCCACGGCCCTGCTGGCCTGACCCACCTCCCTCGTCCGTCCTTTCACCACCACCATCACCACCATCCCCATCGCCTCGCCGCATACTCGAAATAGAGGAAACGAACGCGCCGCCATGTCGACGAGCACGACGATCAACTCGTCGTCGTACGACACCATCCTGCTGCACCTCTCCAAGCACCCGACCGCGACCGTCTTTGGCTTCCTCCTCGGTCGGCCGAGCGCCAGCGGCAACGGTGTCGATGTCGAAAAGGCCGTGCCGCTCTCGCACCACTGGACCTCACTCGCCCCCATGGCCGAAGTCGGCCTCGCACTCGTAAGCATCCCCCGCTCCCGCTCTCGTACTTTGCAATCCAAGCGATGGTGCTGACGATGCCCTTTATGTCGGACTCTGCCCTCCCTTGCGAACGAGACAGACGACGACCTTCGCCGAGTCGCAGGGTTTCGAGATCGTCGGGATCTACGAGGCGCCTCGGGATGTAGCGGAACGCACCCCTTCCGGGCACGCGCTGCGTCTGGCCGAAAAGGTCGCGTCGATGACCAAGGGTGGTGAAGCCACGCTGCTGCTCGTAAGTCGTCCTAGCCCACGTCCAACCCTCCGGCCCCCCCCCCCCCCCCCCCCCCATACCTCGCCGTTCTGAATCGCCGTCGATCCCCTCCGTCCCCCGCCGCGTACAGGTCAACAACTCGACCCTCCTCGTACCCACCAACCACTCCCTGCTCCACTTCACCGTCTCGGCGCCACCAGCAACGGGGAGATCCGCTTCGGCGGCAGCGGCGACGACGCTGCCGGCCGCGACACCCAAGTACAGGAACCACGCTTCCACCTCGATCTCGTTTTCGCGCGGCGAGTCCATCGCCCAGATCGTCAATGGCGCAAGGGAAAAGGTCGCAAAGCGGGCGTGGACCCACCTGGTCGACTTTGACGGTGAGTCCCAACAGCTCCGGCCGCGCCGGCATGCAAGCAGGCAGACCGAGGTCACACCATCTGACCGCGTCCTGTCGTTTCTGCTCCGCTTTGCATGCGCGCATCGTCACCTCGTGGACATAGACCACCTCGAGAACCCCACCCTGTCCTGGTTGACGCAACCCGCCACCGTCGTCGCCTAGTCCGTCTCCCTCTCTCGCCTGGCCCCCGCCCCTTATTCTCTCGACAATCGAAAGAGCCCTTTACGGCCGCGCCGTGCCGCACACCGAGGCAGATGGAGCAAGAGTGGGGATTGTGCGTGTTCGTCGATCGATCTGATCCTCTCGAGGAATAGCGTTTTACAAGAGATGAAGGGTCGGTGCGAGGCAGGACCGGGGGAGGGGAGGGGAGGGGAAGCGGCCCTTCCACCGAGCGTCGCGGCCGCGGCCTGATCTCGCCCGCGTCCGTGGTCCGAGCGGCGGCCGGCAGGGATAAGAGGGGAATGTACATGGAAGGCCTCGGGACGAGCACGTCGCGAGGGCAAGGCGAGGACGGGCGGGAGCATGGACTGACGTGCGATCGATTCCCGCATGGTCTTCTTAAGGTCGACTTTCGGTTTTTGGACGGCGCCCGAGGGGAGAGGGAGGGAGAGATAGGCGGCCGCCTCACATCATGGCGCCCGCCATCTGGCCCAGAGCCGCACCCTGTTCCGGGAAGTCCTGGATGAACTTGAGCTGCGCCCGTGATGCCTGTACGTGGGGCAAAGGCGATGGGATGAGACGAGACGAGACGAGGCGTGGGAACAGACGGGGCAGAGGGGGGGCATGCAGAGGGGAGGGAGGGGTGTCAGATTCAGGCTCCGGTCTGGGGCAGACCGGTCTCAACGCGCACAACGATGCTGAGATACTGACGTTCTCGTAGGTGATGGCGTTGATGAGCTCGGGCTCGGTTCGGGCAATCTTTGCACTCCTCTCAAAGTACTTGATGGCGTCCTGGATCTTGCCCTGCTGCAGGCTGAGCTGCGCGAGGGTGGCGACGGCCACGTCGCAGTCCTCGTCCTTGTCGAGCGCGCGGCGGCACAGGTCCTCGGCGGCCGCCATGTCCTGCTTCCACTGGAAGAGGGCGAGCGCCTTGTTGATCATGGGCAGCACGTTGGTGCTCCCCTCCTTGGCCGCCTCGATCTCAATGGCGCGGTCAAACTTGTCCATGGCCTCCTCAAACTTCTGCTGGTCGAGGAGCAGCTCGCCGTAGTAGTTGTACGCCTCCGACGAGCCCTCGAACGTGCGCAGCAGCTTGCGGAACGACGCCGTCGAGTGGCCAATGTTGCCGTTCTTGTACTGCGCCACGGCGTACTGCACCTGCGAAAAGATAAAGGTGTCGTCGAGCGACGTCGACTTCTCGTAGTCCTTGATGGCCGCGTCAAACTCGCCCAGGATAAAGTTGACCTGGCCGCGGTGGTAGTAGATGTCCGGGTCGTCCGAGTTGGCCTGGATGGCGCGGTCAAAGTCCTCGAACGCCGCCTCCTTGTCCGACAGCTCCATGTGCACGCTGGCCTTCTTGACCCACGACTGGACATAGTCGGGCCGCAGGCTGGTGGAGCGCTCCAGGTCCGACAGCGCCTCCTTGGCGTTGCCAATGACGAATCGGAAGGTGCCGCGCATGTTGTACGCGTTGGCCTCGAGATCCTCGTTGCTGAGGCCCTGCTCGATGGCCTCGTTGAAGAGGCTCAGCGCGTGCGGGTAGTTTTTGGCGTCGAGCGCCTCGTAGGCCTTGACGAGCGTCTGGTCGCCCTGCGACGGGTTCTCGGGCAGCGTCGGCACGTCCTTGCGCCGGAACGCCTCGAGGTAGGCCGTGACGAACGTGGGCGAGGGCAGCTTGGGCTCGCGGGTGCGCAGAATGTCATGGGCCTTGCCCGTGGCGAGTTTCCGCAGCACGCGCTCGACGCTCTCGGTGGCCGAGGCGTCCTTGAACTGGCCGAGGATGGCGACGGCGGTGAAGTCGGCGAGCGACTGGAACAGCAGCTCGGCCTTTTCCTCGCCCAGCCCCTCGGCCGAGGCGGCGTCGGCGGCGGGGCTGCCAAGCTGCTCGCGCGCCACCGCCCTGCGGTTGAGCGCCTTGACGTAGGTCTTGTCCATACGCAGCGCCTCGTCGCAGTCGGGCACCACAAGCTCGGGCTTGGAAAGGTTCGAGTAGCACGCGGCGCGGTTCGAGTAAAAGACGGCCATGGGGTGGGCAGCGATGGCCTTGGTGTAATGCTCGATGGCCTTTTCGAACTGCCGGTTCGAGTAGGCCTTGTTGCCGAGCGACTTGAGGTGCTGGGCGAGCGACTTTCTTCGCTCCTCGGGCAGCCGGAGAATCTCGGACTCGGAGAGGCCGGCGAGCTGCTCGTCGGTCGCCTCGTCGAGCAGCGGACCGCTGGGGTCCGAGGGCAGGCCTTCAGATCTTGTCCCGGCGTTGCCACTCGCCGAAGCATCGCCGGCCGCACCGGCGCCACCAGCGGCGCCACCCTTCTTCTTGGAGCTCTTCTTCTTCTTCTTCTTGGCGGCACCGGCGGCGCCCGACGAGGTCGAGGCCGAGGCCTTTTCGTCGTCGTCTTCGTCGTCGTCGTGGGCGCCGGGGATGCTCTTCTTCTTGCTGCTGGCAGTGGAGCTGCGAGAGTAGAGGAAGTAGCCTCCGGCGACGAGGGTGCCCGTTGCCAGGGCGATGACGAGGTTGCGGTTTTCCTGCACCCACCGCTGCAGCTTGTTAGCTGTGTTCTCGGCCGTCGTCTGTGCGCGCGAGGCGGCCTGGGCGGCCTGCTGCGAGGCCTGGTGTGCGGCCTGCGAGGCCTGCTGTGGCACCGGAGCCATGTCGGAGGTCGACGTCAGATGTCGGCGACAAGCGGCTTCGATCGAGAGAGCGGAACGAAACGATGCTCGCGGCTCGTTCAGGCGAGAGGCGAGCTAGATGGGGGCGACAGAAGTCGACGTTGTATGGTAGTGGCGGCGGTGGCGGCGGTTCTCTTTTGAGAGCCTCCCCGGATCGACCTGTGGATTGGGTCGACGTGGAAATTTGGCGGTGATACAAGCAGGGCTATGCCAGATATGGGCGGTGCGGTGCGGTGCAAGTGCGCTTTCCGCAGACAGGTGAGGCGGATGGCGAGGGTTGGTGGTGGTTAGGTGGTGACGACGACGACGACGCCGGGACGCGGCCTGGACAGGTGGCCAATTCTCTGGCTGCCAGGCCAGGCCGCCGCACGGAGGCCCGGCCTTTCTTCCTGGATCTCTCCAGCGTTCGACCTGGCTGACGCCCGCTGCCACCCGCGGCCAAAGCAGCGAGCGAGGGCCAGAGAGGTCTGCGCGCCCTGGCCTGGCCAGGTCAAAGGGGTTCGCTCGGCTTCCGCCCTTCTTCTGGCCCTGGAAGCGCCGGCCCTATTTCGCCCGCCTTTCCAGCCTGCTTTTTTCGCCCCCGCCTCGTCATGCGCGAGGTTGTCATCACGATCGCTCCGTGGCGCGGGTTCCATCGGCAGCAGGCAACGCATCGGGCAGTGACGCCAATCGGGATCCCACGCTGATCGGCTTGGCCTGGCCTGCCTCTCAACAATCACGACCGCAACACACTCGGCGACAGCGTCGTATCGCTCGTGTGGCATGACAGACTCGCCCTATCAACTACGACGATGGCAGTGCAGGGCGGGTAGAGTATAGCGCGGCGAAGCACGGGCAGGAGGGCGAGGTCGCCTCGTCAGCCTCGCTGCTCATCGGCAAACTTGACCTTGAAGCCGCGCCGCGACAGCGTCTGCTCGAGGGCTGCGACGCAAGGGGGCGGGGAGCAGACGGGTAGCGGCACACGGACAGGGTCAGCACGTCAGAACCTCTCGCCAGCCTCCAACGACTGACAAGTCGATACCCACACCTGCGATCCGCCTCCTCCTCTCGCCCCTCGTAGGCGAGGACGAGCTCCTTGAGCTGCCTCCTCTCGGCCTCGTTCTTGAGCTGCTTGGTCCGCGTGTTGATGGCAATCGCCGATGTGGCGGGCACCTTGACCTCGTGCGTCGTCTGCTTGTTGCCCTTCTTGCTCAGCAGCGAGAAGCGCATGTGCTGCCCCTCGTCGTCGTCGTCGTCGTCGTCGTCGTCGTCGCCGCTGGTGCCCGTGCCCAGCTCGCGGTCGGAGCGGTCCGACTTGGACGCGTACGCGCTCGACTGCGACGCCCGCCGGCTCCGGATCATCGGGATGCCCACGTCCGACAGGCCGCGGTTCTGCGTCTTGATCCCCACGCTCGAGCCGCTCTCGGACATCATCTTTGCCAGCTCGCGATCGAATTCGTCGTCCGCCTCGCGCTTGATCGTCGCCTCCTCCTCGCGCCGCCGCACCATGGCCTCATCCTCCTCGGCGTCCGTGTCGCGGCCCAGATGCGAGCCGCCCTCGGAAAAGTCGTTGATCGCGTCGTCGTCATCCTCGTCGTCGTCGTCAAAGTCGTCGTCGCCCAGCTGGCTGACGCCCGTGCTGTCGCCGCCGTTGCGCATCTTGGGCCCGCGCCGGCTCTCGTCGCCGCTGCGGCCGTCGTCATCGTCGTCGTCGTCATCACTGTCATCGTCTTCGTCCTCATCCTCGTCGAACTCGTCGTCGTAATCGCCATCGCCCGCACCCTCTGCGCCGCTGCCGGAGGCGGGATTACTGGCACGGTGGGCGGCGAGCATCAAATCGACCTCGAGCGCGGCCTCAGCAAAGTCGGTTTTGAGCTGGAACTTGGGCCGCAGGCTCTCGAGCGTGTCCGACAGCATAAAGTCGACCTCCATCGGCAGCGGCCGCTCCTTGGACAGCACGTAGAGGTTGAGAAAGACGAGGAACTCGTCGAGCTTCTTCTTGAGCGAGCCGCGGTCAAAGCACATGCCGCACGTGTCGAGCAGCGTGCAGATCAGGCGGATGCGGAAATAGTCGTCGGGCGCGTCGATCGGCGTCACCTGGCCGGGGAGCGGCCGGCCGCCCGGGTGGCCAAACGTCGTCAGGCTCCACAGCTGGTCAAAGACGATGCCGCTGTTGATCAGCCGGTAGTTGTACAGCTCGCCCAGGTAGCGCACGGTGGCCACTCGCCGCTGGTTGTGCTTGAAGATGTTCTGCTCGAGGCCCGTGCGGATGTTTTCGAGCACCTGGTCGATGACGTCGACGGTAAAGGCGAGGTGGTAGGCCTGCAGGTCGTAGACGAGGATCGCCAGCAGGTGGATGTTGCTGAACTTCATCTTCCACACGCGCGTGAAGAGCGCCTTGAGCGTGTCGACCGTCGTCGGGTCCTCCCAGTGCAGCTTGCGCAGCAGCTTGAGCACCTTGTCGAGCGTCTTCTTGGTCAGCACGTCGTAGACGAGGTGGCGGACGAAGAGCTCCATCGGGCTGCGCACCTTCTGCTCGATGGCCTTGCGCTCCGGCGGGTTGCACTGGTAGTAGGCGTTGTCGAGCATCAGCAGCTGCCGCGCGTCGAGGTTGACGAGGCCGCGCTTGCGGCGCAGCATCTCGAGCATGCTGCGCATCTTGGCGCTGCTCTCCTCGGTGCGCAGCAGATAGCGGCCGCACGTCTCGAGGAGCGTGGCCAGCACGTCGATGTTGGGCCCGGAAAAGTCTTCGAGGCACACCTTGAGGCAGTGGAAGATGGTGTGCGAGGGCGTCACCTTGAACTTGGTCAGCTCGGCGAGGAAGCGGGCGTTCTTGGCGCGCGACTCGGTCAGCTCGACGTTCTTCTTGCGCTGGAAGTAGCGAAACTCGTCGTCGAGCGTGCCGACCAGCCCGGAGCCTACGTCGGGCATGTAACGGTTCAACGTGGCCGCCAGCCTGGCGTAGTAGGGTATCAGATCGAGCCGGCTGCGTGGGATCGACGAGAGGTGCTTTACCAGCTTCCGCCTCGCCGGCTTGCTCGCCAGAAAGGCAAAGTCGACGGCAGCGCTGTCGATCATGGCGCGGTTGGTGAGGTCCGGCAGCTTGGCCAGCAGAGAGTTGAGCTGGGCTGCCGGGCCGGCGTTCATCTGGTCCTCTGACGCCGCATCGGCGCCCGACGTTGTGCCCACGGCTCCTTCTGATGCATCCTCCCCGTCCGAAACCGGGCGCGGCGATCTGCTCGGGTCAGGCGATGCGGGATCCTGGCCGTCCCGCGCGGAAGCATCGCCGTCCGTGTCCTTGGACGCCGACGCCGTCGAAGAAGACGTTCCGGCCAGTACGCTCGGCGGGATGACGTCGCTGAGGTCGAGCAGGTCCTCGTAGAAACGCCGCGTATCTTCATCTTCCCAAGGGCTCTGATTCGAGCCAAAGTCCTCGTCGCTGCGCTCGTTGAAGAGGGCCGACTTGGAGTCGAGGTTGACGCCGAGGCCGATGGCATTGGATTTGGCGGCGTCGACGAGCTTGGGCATAGGCACGCCGAGGAGGTCGGAGAGGAGCTTGCCCCACTCGTGATAGCGCTCAAAGCCCTTGGTCATCTTCTCGTAGGTCTGCTGGCGGTCCTCGAAGATCTCGCCGTAGCGGATGTATGCCTCGTGATTGCGGCGATCCTGCTCTTGCAGCCGCTCGTGCTCCTTGACAATCTTGCGCGACAGCGTGGCAAAGTAGGTCTCGAAGAGCTTGCGAAACTTGGCCTTCATCTCGGTCGTCACGAGTGGAGCTGCCTCTGGATCGGCGGCATCGAGCTCGGCCACAGCACCCGCAGCTCCCGCCGCGTCCTGGAGCGAGATGGCGCTCACACCCTTGGCGATACCCTCCGGGTCTGCAGATGTGCCGGCATCGGCGGTGCTAGGAGGGTCGACGAGCGCCGGTGCGAGGGCGCGGAGCAGCGTGATGAGGATGGGGACATTGACGTGGTCCTTGTCGGTGGCGAGCAGCTCCTTTGTGACCTGATAGAGCCAGACGGCGCTGCTCTGGTCCTTGGAGTGGCCGACCACTTCGACGAGGGCAAGGTCTGCAGCGACGCGGAGGAGCTGCTTCTGGCGCGCCACCCTTGCGGCCTCGTCGCGCTCCCTCTGCTCCTGGGGTATTGATTGGAGTGCGAGCTTGTTGGGCGGGGCGAGCGTCGCCGAGAGGATGCTGGTGAGGGGTGCGGAGAAGGCGTCTCCGCCGAAGCGGCAGTGGAAGGCCGAGAGAATCTCTGCTGCGGCCATGCAGTCCTTTGGATTGATGCACTTCTGGAGACCCTCTGGCACGGCCTGTACGATTTCCTCGCGGTACTTGTCGAGGCTGAGGGTACCGAGGTCGCGGATGAGCTGGTCCCTGGCATCCTGGGCGAGGCTCTGCTTTACGCGCTTGATGAATGCGGTGTTCTTTTTGAGGTTGGAGTCGAGCGACGAGGAAGGTATCGAGGGGCCCGCGGACCAGGCGGCTAGGTTTGCGGCTCTGAGCTGCTGCCTGCGCCTCTGCCTATCGCGGAAGAGCTGTTGGGATGCATGCTGTGCTGCTGCTGCGTCATCTTTGGCAGGTGCTGTAGGGATGTTTGATGCCGCGATGCTGGGAGTGGCTGCTGCTGAGCTCTGGTTGGAGTTGGCGGTGGACGAGGAAGGGTTGGCTGCCGAGGGGTTCGCGGCTGTCGGCTGGGAGCGTGCGCTCATGGAGCGACCAGAGGGGGGGCGGTCGCAGAGGATCGTGAGGGCGGTGAGGATGAAGGTTGGTGTGGCGTCGTGTCAGGTAGTGTGCGGAAGCGCGGGAGCGAGCCGGTGGCGAAGAGGGAAGAGGCGGCGAAGTAGGAGAAAGTGGAAGCAAGAAGACGAGGAAGACGAGGTGAGCCAACCGGTGGCCCGGCCGGACCGAGCCCTCTTGAGCAGGCTGGATGGCTTGGCGGGTGTTGGTCTGTGGGCGCGGGCCAGCCGGCAACAGGCCAGCCTGCTCGAGCCGCGCGAAAAAAAAAGAGGGCGCCCGCGCAGCTTGACTCACGAGTCGAGTCGAGCTGCACCTGCCGCCTGCACCTGCAGCCTGCCAAGAAGAAAGCACGCACCGACCACCGACCGCCTCCACCCGCCGGGGCTAGGTCGCTCCTTCGCCTCTCCTCCTCTTTCCCGACCATCACCATCCCCTCGCGACCCACGCTCGGTTCCTCCTGCAACACCATCCTCGGTAGACTCGATCGGCATCTTCGCGCCCATCACCAGCGCGCCTGCACGATGTCGACCACCACTGCAACAACGACGACCTACCTCCGGCCCGTCGAGCGCCCCGAGCTGCTCCTCGACCTGCAACGGCGTCCCTACACGATCCATTCGCCCTCCGACAACGAAATTGACCAGGTCGACATCACAAAGGACCGATACGACCTCACCACGTTCCAGGGAAGGCTTCGCCATTTCGCCTCGGTCACCTCGCCCCTCACCCTCCTCTCGTCCAAGGCCGAGCTCAAGTCGGCCCGCGACCTCGTCCACTCCTACGAGTCCCAGTTCCCGCGCGACCGCACAAACGGCCGCTTCCTCGTTTCCCGCAACGATGCACAGCGCTACTGGAAGGCAAAACAGCTCGTAGACTCGAGCGTCCACCCCGACACCGGCGAGGTCGTGCCCCTCCCCTTCCGCATGTCGGCCTTTGTGCCCACCAACCTCATCGTAGTGGGTGGCATGCTCCTGCCCAACCCTACGCTGCCCATGGTCATCTTCTGGCAGTTCTGCAACCAGTCGCTCAACGTGGCCGTAAACTTTGAGAACGCCAACAAGTCTGTCCCGATGGACATGAAGGAAGTGGGGATCGCCTATGCCGCTGCCACGACGTCGGCCGTCGGTATCGCTGTTGGTCTCACGCGGCTGGTGCCCCGGCTGCGGGTCAGCCCGGGTGCCAAGGCCGCCCTTGGCAAGCTGGTCCCTTTTGTCAGCGTCGCGTCGGCGGGTATCGTCAACATCAGCTGCATGAGGTGGAAGGAGATCAAGAATGGCGTCAGCGTCTTCCGGAGGGACCACGAAGGCAACAGGATCAAGGTCGGGGATTCATCGGCGGCGGGCAAGCGCGCCGTGGCCATGACGGCCGCCAGCCGCGTTCTGACGAACAGTGAGTGGGACTGCGCAGGGGTTCCGTCGTCTTCCGACATCTCGTCCTGTCTCTGCGCTTCCCCCGCTGACTCGACCCATCGTTCCCTCTTCCTGACCCCGTCATTCTTCTCACTCAGTCCCGACGCTGATCCTGCCTCCCTTGGCCATGGCGTACCTGCAGCGCAAGCGCATCGTCCCCTCGGGCGGCCTGTGGGCACGGGCCACGGACCTGACCCTGATCGGCACCAGCCTGCTCGTCTTCCTGCCCCCGGCCATCGCCACGTTCCCGCAGGTGGCCACCATCAGCCCGTCGAAGCTAGAGCCGCGCTTCCACAACATCAAGGACGACGACGGCAAGCCCGTAGACACGCTCGAATTCAACAAGGGCCTCTAGACAGACACGAACTGCGCACTCACGTCATCGAGAGGAAAAGATGTCGCACCCGGAGTTGCGATAGACGTCCATCACGGCGCACCACACCACGCAACTGAGCCTCGTCTTCCTCCGCTTCTACATCACACCCTCTTGGCCACCTCGTTTGCGAAAGAGTGGGATTAGAAAACGTTTATTCGACGGCGCCGTGTAAGGTGGCAGCCGCGAGCTTTCGATAGAGCCGGATATGGGAACAAATGTAGTGACGCAGCGGGGACGTGTGTGAGGGGGGCAAAGCAACTGTACATGATGATGATGGTGGAGAGCATGTTGGGTAGGAGGGTGCGAGTGATTTTTCGCGGAGAGAGAGGGCGACCGCAACGGTTGGTCGGGCGGCGTAGCTTGGGGGGCAGAACGAGCCTCGAGTGGGGGGCTGCGTGGCGGATAAGGCGAGCAGATCGCAAGCGAGCGACCAGGAGCAGCGGCAGCATCAGGAGCATCATGCGTGCGTGCGGGGTGCCGGCCATGGGTGCTGGGGACGATGTAGCGCCTTGTCCGCCGTGGTATATTTCAGAGCAGGTGCAAAAAACGTGACCAACCGACGTTCCCTCGGGGAATCAATCGGATGCGGACCGAAAACAGATGAAAAGGCTTGCGCGGGGCAGTTTTTTTGGAGAGGAGAGCGAGAGGGCAAGGTCCGTTTCTTGATTGGGCTGGAGGTCGAGGCTGCGCGTGGCGGCGCCACCAGGAGAGGCGGGCCCGTCTAGTCGATCATTGCGACTTCTTGCTCTCGACCTTGTCCGCCTTCGGGGCCTTTTCCCCGACGCCCGTGACGGCGAGCAACGGGTCGTCCTCGGGCCGCGGCGCCCGGTAGCTGCCGCCGAGCCTGTCGCACCCGGTAAAGTACTGGCCGTAGTTGCAGGTGAAGAAGAGGTGGTGGAGCGTGTGGTGCGAGGGCCCGTTGATGATTTTCTCGAGGGGCGAGTTGCAGATCATGTCCGAGTCGTGAATGAGGATCGACCACAGGTTGACAAACACAAACAGGCCGATGGAAATCATCCGGTGCAGCGGGAAGATGAAGGGGAAGATGTGGTAGGGCAGCGACTGGGCGTAGCCGTCGAGCGGGTGGAAGGCGTGCGAGGCGAACGGCGTCGGCACGAGCCACTTGTGGTGCGGCTTGTGGATGTGCTTGTAGAGCCGGGGGTGGTGCTCGAGGCGGTGGACCCAGTAGATGGCGGCGTCGGTGAAGACGAGGAAGAGGGGCACCGAGAGGATGGCGTAGGCGATGCCGTAGTCGTCGATGTTGTTGTAGAGCTTGCTGTGGCCGCGCACCTCGAGCACGAACCACGGCACCGTCATCAGGTCGAGGGGCAGAAAGGCACGGATCGACGACTCAATCTCGAGGCGGACCTGGTTCTTGATGAAGCGCGGGTGCTTCATCATGTCCTTGTTGAACAGGTACTTAAACGAGAGCCCGGCAAAGGTGAAGTAGAGGAACACGATGCCAATGTAGGTGATGACGAGGAGCGAGATGAACTGGCGGATGATGCTGTCGCGCGGCAACGCGCTCGAGTTGCGCAGCGCCTCCCAGTCCACCTCGGACGCCACATTTGCCGCAGCGTCAAAGGCCTTGGCCGCTGTTGACCGCGTCGCCGAGTTGACCGATTGTGTCGTGACGGCGGCGGCGCTGCCTGTGAGTGCGGATGACCAGCCGGCGATGCCGTTGGTCAGGTTCGAGAGGACGCCTGCGGGCGCGGAGTGGCCCCCCCGCGCGACGGCCGAGAGCAGCTCCGGGTTCTTGGCGACGGACCGTGGCAGCGCCGGCCAGACGGTGGCCCAGACCTTGTCCAGGATGAGGTTGTCGGCGATGTCGAGAACGAGATCCATCGTGGCTCGCGTAGACGTGTGGAGTACAGGCGGTCGTGAAAGGTGGGCGGGCGGACAAGGGAGGAGAAAGGGCTCCTCGAGAAGCTCCGCGTAGCTCGTTCAACAATGCCAGACACCGGTGTTGATGGCTGCGGATAGGTGCTGGCGGTGCGTCGCGAGACAAGTGAAGAAGGAGAGCAGCGATGAGAGAGCTGCCTTGGTCCTCCTTTTGCGCTGTTCAGCTCCTGGCTGTGACGGGATGAGGTCGATGCCGCGGCTGGTTTGAGACGTGTGGCGGGCCCTAGTCGATAGATGGATGACTGCTGGCCGACGAAGAAGTCGGCAGAGAGTGCGCGAGCTACAGGGCCGAAGGAGGGTGGCGGCTCGAGTGGATCCGGAATGAGGTCGCGGTTGTGGCGCCGGCAAGAACACAAAGCAGATGTTGCAACAGGGAGAGTCGCGCTTGTTGAAGGGAAGAAGGAGCGATGGATATGGCGGGGATGACTAGGTAGGATGGACGGAAAGTCAGGTAAGAAGGGAGGGTGAGGATGGGGAGCGAGGAGAAAGAGGCCGGTGGTCAAATTGCGGTGAGGGAGCGAGGTACTTTTGTCGTCGGTGCTCGGTCAAGGCTCGCTTGCTTGGCGCTGGCTTGCCCTTGGGACACCACAAACGGACAGACGCACACAGAGGAGGAAGGGGGCCTGCATACCGGTAAGCCTGGGCCTACAGCAACGGCGGCCACGGCGGCAGCGAGCTTCCCTCGAGCCAAAAGTCGGGCCACGGTGGCAAATCAGCCGACAACCGCGTTCGCCGAGCACGCCAGGCCAAGGCGCGGCCCGCCAGGCAAAACCAGGCATCGAATACAACCCCCCTCCCCAACGGCCTCTTGCACAAAGGGAGCCGGGGCAAAGGAGCACGGCCGGAATAGAGCTCGCCGGGTTTGAATACAACCAACAGCTTGGAAGAGGCTGCAGGCGGAAGCACATATCCCAGGCAAGCAAGCAAGCAGCAAGCAAGGTGGGTCAAACAGGCCAGGGCGAGAACGTCGTGAGACCTTGCCCCGCGACACGACGAGGCCGGGCGAGGGCTGAGCGAGGCAAAAAAGTGGCACGATTTTCGACCACCCTACCGGCCTTCGCCCGCCCGCCGCGCCCGCCGCGCCCGGCCTCTGCGCCGAGCGTAAAATGCGCAAAAATTGGGCGGCGCCCGTTCCGCTGGAAGGCCGGTTCGGCCAGCCAGTTGGCAAGCGGGCAAGCGGGCGGCCAAACACCAAAAAAAAAAGTTTTCGGCTGGTTGGCGAGCGAGACAGCCTTGCTTTGCCTTTGAAGCTTCGACATTTCGAGGGCCAGCAGCCTTCATGCGCTCTCGTTCTCGGTCGGCCCCGCAAACAGCGAGGCCACCTCGAGCAAGCGGCTCTTCCCACAGGCGCCTAACGAAGCAGCTAGGCCATGCCAAAGCTGGGTCATGTCAACTCGTCGTCGGTCAAAAAGACCTCTCGGCGTCGCCCATGTCGCCGCCGTCGTTGTACTGTAGTCGCCTTCGCCGCTGCCAGGAGGCAGGCTGGCCTAGCTCCGGAAGTCGGCAGCCGAGTTCCTCCTTCGGCCTGCCTGCTGCTGCTTCTCGCAGACGAGTCCCTCGAGCCAAACGCGTCCACGCCAGCCTGTCTGCTGCTTGCTTTTCGTCGACCGGCTGCGCATTCCACGCAGGCAGGGCATGCTCCTGCTTGCTGTCTCCCTGCGAGATGGCCGAGTGTGGACTTGGCCTCCTCATTCAAGGAGCTTGCGCGACACCGAGTCGGCGGTGGGGGCAGCCAAGAATGGGCCCATTCTCTTGACGCTAAGCGTACGCGCCGCCAACGCAAAGGACGGCAGGCGGGCGACGATCAGCCGGCACAACCACAGGGTTGCGCCAGCCGGTCGGCCTGTTGGCTCTTCCGCCACCCCATTGCGCCACCGCTTGTCCGGTCGAGCTCGACCCAAGCGTCCAGACCGCGTAGATGCTTGCTTACACTCTGCCACGGATGAAAAGTTTCGAGCCAGCAGAACGGATCGGAGCCGAGGGCGTCCGAGGGAGGCGATGTCGGCGGCGGATGTTGTGGACGGTGGCGGGGCTGGTCCGGTGGGTCGGACGAAGTGCGAAAAGTGGGCTGATTTGTCGCCTGCGCAGCCATTCGTTTCTTCCTGCCGGCTTTGGCGAGCACGCACGCGTTTGGTTTGTTGCGCACGAGCCGCCAATTTTTCTCTGGATCGATCTGGATCGACGTCGGCGTGGCCGCGTTGATGATCTGATAAACGGCACGCCCCCCGTCGTGGGCCACCCTCGGCGGCCAGGCGGCCCTCTTCTCTTGTTCCCCTGAGCCATTCTCGGGCTTCTCGGATGCATGGCGTGTTACTGCGGCTCGACGGCATCGTCTGATGATGGACGCGGGCCAGCAGGGAGTAGGATGGTGTGGGGTCAGATCCCGGAGCGGAAGGTGCACGGGGCGTGGGGGCGATGTTTGCGCGCCGTGCAATTCTCCGGTCGGCCGTCGATGCCCGAAAGCGCCGCGGCCACGGACTCGGCCCAATTCTTCGGTTCCGAAGATGCGGGCCAAGTGTCCCTAGCCTCCACCTCGGCCCACGTCTCTGGCTCTGGCCTTCTTCCACGCTTCGAACCACCGACCAACGCCTTGCTCCCGTACTCCTCCTCGCACAGCCTCAGCAACCGGCTCGACACGACCATGCCGCATTCGCACCACTCGCACTCGGGCCAGTTCTGCCTGCACGCCAAGTCGAGCCTCTCGGACGTCGTCGAGCGCGCACGGGCGCTTGGGTTCACCCACTTCCACCTCAGCGAACATGTCCCGCGCCAGTCGACCGACCAGCTCTACCCAGAGGAAATCGAGGCCAAGGTGACGCCTGACACTCTGAGGGCCACCTTTGAGTCGTACTTGATCGAAGCGAGGCGGTTGGCGGCCACCCTCGACGGCCAGATGCAGGTGCTGGTCGGCTGCGAGACCGAAAACGTCACCAGCCCGGATACGTTGGACTACCTCGTCGACGTCCTCCAGCATACCGAGGGCGGCTCGACGTCGACGCCGGCGACACCACCGGGTGCGATAGGCAAGGGAAGGGTCGATTTCCTTGTCGGATCCGTCCACCATACACACGGTGTCCCAATCGACTTTGACCCGGAAACGTTTGAAAGGGCGCTCTGCTGCTCCCGGACCGGCCCCGCTGAGCCAGCACAGCAACGACAGCCGACCGGATCGGAAGCGGACGAGACGGAAGCGCATGAAGCGCTGATGCTCTCCTACCTCGACACGCAGCTCGAGACGATGCAGCGGCTGAGGCCCGAGGTGATCGGCCACTTTGACCTCTTCCGCCTCTACCGGCCAGGCGCATCGGTGCGCTCCAAGGAGGTGTGGGCCAAGATCGAGAGAAACGTCCGGTATGCCGTCGGGTACGGCGCGCTGTTTGAATGCAACGCCGCTGCGTTCCGCAAGGGGTGGCAGACGGCCTATCCGGGCAAGGAGATCCTCGAGGTGCGTGTGCCCCCCAGACTCGGCGACGGGCCAAGCTTGGCCGCGGACGAACCCTCACTGACTTGACCGCCTTCTTCTGCCTGCCCACCTCCCCATCTGCAGCTGATCCTCTCTCTCGATGGAAGGCTCTGCCTGTCGGACGATTCGCACGGCGTACAGGCCGTCGCACTCAACTACCACCGCCTGCGTCGCTACCTCGTCGATGCGGGCGTCGACCAGATCTGGTACCTCGAAAAGGCCACGGCAGAGGACCACCAGCTGCCCGATTCCAGCCCGCCTACGCGGTTCGAGAGGGGCACGGTGGCGCGAAAGATGGGCAGCGAGTGGAGCCGACATCCCTTCTGGCAGACATACGACGAGATCCGGCTCCGCGAGGAAAAGGACGCGGCGGCAGCGGCGACACCAGCAGCGGCAACGACAGCGACAGCGTCAGGGTGACGATGAAATGGGAATGCTGGGACCGAGCTGCGATGCGTGGAGAGAGAGCAGGGGAATGTACAGAGCCAGAGGGGAAGATGCAAGCGATGCGGGCGGTTCCGGGCCTCACTTTCACTTCTTTGCCACCCGCTTCCTCCTCGGCTCGGGAAACTTGAGTGGGAGCGAGAGCGTGGCGCACCGCACCTTTTTGATCTCGCCAAACTCGACGTCGCCGTTGGCCACGGGCTTGGTGCTGGGCGTGCACCCGATGGCCTTGAAGATCTCCATGAGCCTGATCGTCGAGTGCGAGTGTCAGGGCGAGCGCGGGGGGTCAGTCATACGAGGCCAGATGCGAAGAAGATGGTGCAGCCAGAATACTCACTTGTAGGGCTCCAGCTGGAGGCCCTTGGCGACCGGCTCGTAGGCGACGGAAAAGTGGTCGGTGTGGAGCAGCAGCGCGCAAGTGTAGGCGAGGTACCTCGTCTGCTCGAGGCCAGACAGGTAGATCCTGGTCAGGGGGCGACAAGCAGCAGCAAACACGAGCATAGGAGGAAGGCGAGGGTCAGCAGCGGCGCGCGAGCTTTGACGACAACGAGGGCGCGAGATGGATGCGGTCCGGGACGGGCTTGGCACTCACTTGCTCCTGCCCTTGGCCGAGTTGGTGAAGCGGTCGACAATGTCGCGGAAGACGCGGTTGCCCTGTGCGCTCTGGTCGAGGCCAAGCGACTCCTTGATCGACCTGGGGTCGCGCACCTCCTGGAAGAGGAGCATGAACGAGATCAGGTACACGAGGTACATGGTCATGCGCACGCGGTCCTTTGTCTCCTCGATGGCGATGTTCTGGCGCTTGGTAAACGAGTCGACGACGTCCTGCGAGGCGCCCGCCGGCGGGTCCGGGTAGTCGAACTGGGCGTTCTGCACCGCCGCCCAGACGCGGGTGGCGAGCCAGCTCGTCTTGATGGGCTCGAGCCAGGCGCGCACGTCTTCCTCGGAGGTGAGCTCGAGCACGGCGTCGATGGGCACCTGCTTGAGCACCGTGGGGTCGATGAGGTTCTTGATCGGGTACACGTCGACCGGCTTGGTGGCGTTGGGCTCGTGCGGCGGGATGGGCCGCGACTTGAGGTCGATGGCCTGCAGCTCGGCCGCGCTCGGCAGGTTGGCCGTGCTCTGGGTGATGCCCTCGGTCACCTGGTCCACCGAGCCAAACACCTGCGACACGTCGACCTTCATCCTCTCGGCGTTGATGCGCGCCTTCTTGGCCTTGGTGTTGCCGAACGTGCCCTCCAGGCCCTTCCTCTGCTGGTAGTAGACGCTGACGCTGTCGTCGCCGTCAAAGGTGATGGGGTCGAGCATCTTGAGCGCCTTGATGGAGCGCGAGACGGTAAAGAGCGGCGCGGCTCGCAGCGTGACGGTGGATGCGACCGGGTCGTAGACGCCCACCATGTACTCCCCGGAGTAGCCGCGCAAGTCTGACGCGGAGCCCATCAGGAAGTTGTCGCCGAGGTACTCGATCGAGTTGGTGCCTCCGGCCAGCACCAGCCTCTCATCCTTTGGCCCGCCCTTGACGCTGCCCGAGGACGAGGAGCCGGGAAGCGCATCGCCACGGTAGAGGTCAAAGTCGGCGCTGTCGGCGGGGAGGTAGTCGGGGAACGAGGCGAGAGCGATGCCGTTCGAGGAGCGCGTGCTGTTGGCGGCGCCGGCGAGCCGGAGCGTGGCCTGGCCCGCCTCGACCTTTGCCTTCTTGGAAGGCGAGGATGCGTCGGATTTCGACTTCTTCGAAGCCTTCTTGTCCTCCTTGGACTTCTTGTCGCTGCTGCTCTTGTGCTTGCTGGGGGTGGACGAGGACGCTGTCGAGTCGGCCTTGGAGTCGATCTCCTTGTGCTTCCGCTTCTGCTTTGTCGGCGAAGACGAGGAAGACGAGGGACCGGCGGTGCTGGGCGCCATGTCGGGCAGATGGCCTCCGGAGGTGTATGTCGCGCCGGCGGATTGTAGCTTAAAGTGAGCGGGCGGCTAAGGGCGAGCAGAAGGGACTCGAAGGCGAGGAAAGGAGGTCGGGGCGGGCGGAGGTGATGATGATGATGATGACGACGACGACGACGACGACGACGACGACGACGACGACGGCGAGGAGAAGGGTCAGCAGCTCAGAGCAGCGAGCGTGGGCCCCCCGCGGCCGACCGACCTTCTGGGCGCTGGAAATCAATTTTTTTCTCGTCGGCAGCGGCGGGCCCCAGCTGCAGGCGCTGCCCTCGCCCGTCTCCCGGCTGCCGAATTGGCCCTTGCCAGCCTCGCAGCCTGACCCTCCGGTTGCCACCCTGCATCGGCTCAGGCCGGCATCGCGCCCGCACACAGGGCTGTCAGTACGGCGTCGCATCTGTGCTGCCCCACGGACGAGACTCTTTGACAATCCGGGTATCTTGCAGCGGCAGGGACAGCAGAAGAGGAGGGGAGTAGTTACAATACAGGCACGGCAGCGGCAGGGCAGAGGCAGGAGCAGCAGCAAGGACCTCGTCACGATCCGACCATGGCGCTCATCATGCGCTTGTAGTCGCCGCTCGTCTCGCCCTCGACGCGGTGCTTGAGGCCCTTTTTGTGGCAGACTGCCGCATAGGCCCGCTTGACCTCTTCGAACCGGGCCCGGTTCCAGTGGTTGCGCGCGATTCGGTAGACGAGGCGCTCGTCCTTGGTGCCCATGCCCTTCATCGAGTCCTCAATCAGGCGGGCGTCGCGCTCCAGGGCGTTCTCGGCGCCGTCGACGATGAAGCGCAGCGCGTCCTCCATGTGGCCCGAGAATTCCGAGTTGATCATCTTGGACAGCGGGCGCTTGTGCTGGCGGGCGTAGCCGTGCGCCACGGCCGCCAGGTGCGGCGTGCTCCTCTGGCAGAGGATGCCGCAGATCTTGATCTCGTCGGTGCCGGCGCCGCGGGCGGCCGAGTGCAGGTCGCGGATGTCGGCCTCGACCATGTGCGGGTCGACGGGCGCGTTGTCGTCCTGACGGACGCCCTGCATCGCCATCGTAAACATGCGCTTCGTCTTGAACGAGAGCTCGTCCTCGACGACCTTTTCCATGTTCTTGCCGTACGTCGCCTGGTAGGCCTGCTTGAGCACGTGCATCTCGGCATTGGTGCGGCAGAGAAGCACCTCGTTGAGGATGTCTTCGTGCGTGCCGGCGCCGTCGCAGGCACGGTGAATGAGCCAGACGTCGTAGCCGACGGGGCCGAGCACCTTGGCCCGCAGCGCCGCCTCAAACCAGCCGCTCGTCTCCTTTTCCAGCACCTTGAGCAGGTCCTTGCCCGTCGTCGCCTTGAACGCGCGGCTGACGGCGTCGACCTGCATCGCATCCATGGGTGCCAGGGTGGCGATCAGTGCGCCCTCGTCGGTGCCGAAGCCCTTGGTCGCCTTGCGGATCCGCTCGACGTCGGCGGTCGGGTTGTAGCCCGGCGGCGGGGCGGCGGGCATGTGCGGCGGCGGAGGCGGGACCGGCACGCCGAGGTAGAAGAATCCGCCGCCCATCGGAGCGCCGTAGGGCGCGCCCATGGGAGGGGGTGCGTGGTACGAAGGCTGGTGGTGGTGGTGGCCGCCGTGGCCGTGATGGGGCGGCGGTGCGCCATACCCGGGCTGCGGAGGCGGTGCACCGTACCCGTGAGCCGGAGGAGCGCCCGGGGGAGCTCCGTACGGTCCGCCTGGATAACCGCCTCCCGGCGGGCCGGGCGGAGGAGCGTAGCCGCCTCCGGGAGGGCCAGGAGGAGGCGCGTAGCCGCCATAGCCGCCACCATGGGGAGGGGGAGGGGCGCCGTAGCCCTGGTTGTAGTTGGGTTGCGGCCAGGACATGTCGTCTGCGTTGCGATTTGGCAAGCTGTGGGTCGGACGGTGTGAGAGCGTGAGTATGTGAGGGCGTAGGTTGGTGAAGGGTGGCGTGCGAGGGGCGTGGGATGTTGCAGGGCGGACGATGAGCGGCGTCGCCGTCTGTGCTTTTTAAGCGTCGTCGACGACGAGGGGCCCGTGGGCCGTCGGAAAGTGGAGGCTGGATGCGCTTGCAGGCTGTCGTCGCACGCAGGCGAGCAGCTGCAGCTCTCCCTCGACGTGACGGCCGGCCCCACCTGCCTGCCCGCGCCGGCCGCTTTCTTGGCAGCCAGCAAGGCGGTGCACGGTGCGCGCCAGCCTGGAAAATGACGACCCGCGGCCGCCGGGCAGCAGGTACGGCAGCAGGCGCCCGGGCGCGCGCACAGCCTCATGGCCAGGTCGCACAGCCTGCCCAGCCCGCCAGGTCTTTTTCGCCCGCGCAACGAGGCCACCCCGCTGAGCCTCTTCGGGCGACAGCTCCGACGGGTGATGACCAGGCTGGGTCTCTGCAGCGCCCCGTCGAGGCCACAAGGGCGCCTGGCTCGCTCCCGGCGCATCGCCAAGGGGACATCGGCGTGTTCCGGCGTCAGATGCGCCGTCGATCCCGTCGGACCGGCAATGGCCAAACGCCACTCGACCGCCGTGTGGGTAGGGTCACGACCACGGCCGCCCATGTCCATACATGCAGGACAGAAGGTGGCTCAAACGTGGTGAGGAGAGTAGGACGCCGTGAAGGCTAAAAGTACAATGGCGAGGTGGCGGGCTGACACGTACTGTGCCGACGGCCGCTACAGTCTCGCATGGGTATAGATCGAGGGAGAGGGAGAGGGAGCAAGGAGGTTTCGCTGCTTTGCGCCTTGCTGCGGTTCGCTAGCTCAGCCCCAGGCAGCGGTCGTGCTGTAGTTGACGATCAGATGGCCTTCGGTGCCAAAGCACTGCGTGCGAGACATGGAGAGGTGATCGGACGCGAATGGTCAGCCTACTGTGCCGACGCCATCGTGAGATGGTGGACGAAGCAGTCGACGTACGCGGAACAGATTGCCAACGGTGTCATCCGGGGCAGGGCTGAAGGAGGCATTGATGTAGAGGAACTGCAGCCACAGATGGGATGGAAAGAAGCATCGACAGATCAGTTGGAGGGCTCCTCCATCGACCGGCATTGACCGCAGCGGGCTCATCTTCAACGCACCAGCGCATCGGAGGGCTTGAAGTTGAGCTCCTTGCGCAGGAACTGGATGACGGCCTGGAAGCGATTGAACGCAGTGATCCGAAAGTAATTGGTCTGCAGGCGGGCGATCGAGACGAGAGGGACTCGGGAGAGGTCAGCGACGTGGCCAAGACAGATGCATATGCGGCTGCAGACGACGACGCGCTTGCCTCACCTTCATGATCGGAGCGTTTCCTATCGCCTTGAAGCGTACGACGACTGTGCAGCAGACGCGAGAAGCTCGTCAGCCGAGCGGCCCTTTCGCGGTCGGACAAGCACGGCGCCACCTCACCCTTCGATGCATCCTTCTTCTTGTACAGGTCGAGCGCGGTCAGCGCAGCTTGCGGATAGACTTGGCTAGAGTTCGATGTTCCTGCTCCGGGCGAAGAGGCCAGAGCCCGGTCGACATCTGCTCGGGCGTGGAAAGGCAAAGGCATCGATCAGCGAGCAAGCGCGAGAGCAGGCGGCGCCGGACACCGCCGACGTACCTTGACCCGGCGCCTGTATCTGCGAGGGAGTCGCCATGATCTGCGAGATCTGTCCAGTCGATGCAGACGCTCGGTTTCTGCTGTCAGCGCGTGATGTGGCGTGGCGTCGTGAGGAGTAACGGCGGTGATGGTGATGGCGGAGAGCGACCTGGCAAGCGCAGAGTAGGCGGCCAGCAGTTGCTGCGTGCGCCATCCCGGCTCCACTTTGCTGGACCCTGGATCCAGCGAGGCGGGCGGAGGGCAGCAGTGGCCCGTGCGCACGGAACAGCGAGGAGATCGGGTAGAGTTTGCCGATTGAGCTGTCGGCCTGATGTCCTCAAGTGCGGAACCGAGCAACCTTTTGGCCTCGAGACCGTGGGAATTTTTCGGCGAGCGCAAAATGCACAAGGGGTCGCCACCTGGACGCCCGGAAGCGAAGCAAGCAAAATTTCGAAAAATGCGCCAGAGGCTGGAGGCCGTCGAGCCGTGGGCCAGCCAAACCCAGACGGCATCCGCTGAGGGCGTGGGCGGGGCCCAGCCAGCCAGCGCCATAGAGACGACGGGTGGCCGCTTGGCTGGGCAGGAGCGCAGGCGAGCCAACCAGCCAGCCAGCCAGCCAGCCAGGGCAAGGAGCGAGTGGGTGAGCGGGCGCTCGGCAGCCAGGGGCGGCGGGCTTCGGTGGGCCTGCTGGTCGCTCATCCTTCCTGGCCGATCCCTCTGTTCACCACCTCACCATCGGCACCACCCCCTCCCATCAAGATGTCCACCCAGGCCAAGACGTGAGTATCGTCGGTACAGCCCAGCAATGCGGAACCAGCATCTCCCGCCGAAGTCGACGCCCGAACCGCCGCCGCCGCCGCCGCCAAAGCCAGACTACGACGAATCCGACCTACCATGAGGCCAGGATGGCCGACGAAGCCGGCCGGCCTGATGGACGACTGCTCTTCGAAACTCGACGGATCTCGACCACGCCTCGACACCGTCTTTGCGCTTCGACGAGCGCGCTGTCGATCGTTTGCCGGGGCACGGAATGCTGCCTCCGTTCGAGGTGCCTCGCGCCGCACAGCGACCTCTGTCACATCTTGCATCTCGATCGTAAGCGCCTTGCGCAGGCGCAGTTTTTCGACATCGCCAGCATCTACGCCGTTTGCCGACGCTGCGACTGAGGCGACAATTTGGATGAGCGGCGACAGTTTGCGGTCTGGACGGCGGCTGGCGGGATGGTTCTTTGACGCTCCGGCATCGACTTTGGCGGCGGCTGGGATCGACTTGCAATCGGGGTCTTGCATTCCGACAATCGTTGAGGCGCTCAGCGACATGATGTTCTGACTCGTGATCCGCTGCATTCCTTGCGCCCTACAGCACCGTTCCGTCGGCACAGCAGGTGCTCGTCCCCGAGACCCTCCTCAAGAAGAGGAAGGTCGACCAGAAGGCCCGTGAGGAGAGGCTTTCGAAGCTTGCCGAGATCAAGAAGGTGAGCACCGCGCGTTGAACACACAGAGCCGACAGCACCAGGGCACAGCCATGGCATCGGACGCGCCCTCGGAAAAGAGGCGACGAGGAGGAAGGCATGCCTAGGAAAGGGCACGCCCACCACGACAACAATGATGCATAACAACCAACCTTTTCGGGCTAGTCAACGCACAATGCTGCCGAATTATACCATCTTTCGGGGCTGAGGTTGTCGCGGTGGATGGTGGACGCTCATGGGACGGGCGGACCAGGTGGATGGCAGGGGGACGGGTCGCCCAGGACGCTGCCAGGCGTGGTGCCGAGCCATGCTAGGCTCCCGACACACCGACATCGCTAGACACGGCTGCTGACGGTTCCCATCCTCCTCCTCCCGCCTCTCGCGGTCTCGTTCCGGCCATTACCCCGCAGGCTGGCAAGGCCAAGCGCCAGGTCATCTTCAAGAGGGCCGAGCAGTACACGAAGGAGTACCGCGCCGCTGAGCGTGAGGAGATCCGCCTCCGCCGCGCCGCCAAGGCTAGCGGTGACTTCTACGTCCCGGCCCAGACCAAGCTCGTCTTTGTCGTCCGCCTGAGGGGTATCATGAACATTGCCCCCAAGCCGAAGAAGATCATGCAGCTCCTCCGCCTGCTCCAGATCAACAACGGTGTCTTCATCAAGCTCAACAAGGCCACGTCGCAGATGCTCCAGCTCATTGAGCCCTACGTCGCCTACGGCACCCCCAACCTCAAGACCATCCGCGAGCTGATCTACAAGCGCGGTTACGCCAAGATCAACAAGCAGAGGATCCCGCTCACCGACAACGCTATCATCGAGAAGCACCTGGGCCAGTACGGCATCATCTCGGTCGAGGACCTGGTCCACGAGATTGCCACCGTCGGCCCCAACTTCAAGGCGGCCAACTCGTTCCTCTGGACGTTCAAGCTCTCGAACCCCAACGGCGGCTTCGCCAAGAGGAAGTTCCTCCACTACGTCGAGGGCGGCGAGACTGGCGACCGCGGCAGCATCGACTCGCTCATCCGCAAGATGAACTAAAAAGGGTCGCCGGTGCACGCTCGGAAACCCTTTGGCCTGTCCTCGTTCCTCGGCCCGCTCACACACACGCGCACCCACCACACACGCACGCCACGCGCCTACACACACATGCACACGCACGCACGCACGCCGCCATCTACATGTCCACCATCTCCAAAACCCCACAACCCAAAAAGAAAGCCTTTCGGCCGCGCCGAGCGCCCTCGGCCTCTGCCGCTCGCGACTCTCGTCTCAGCTAGCGCAGCTTGAGAGTCGCGCAACAGAGGCCCCTAGGGGACACGACGCGAGCCAGGCCTTCCGGCTGCGGCGGCCGGGGCAGTGGGTGCGCGTGGACCCCAACGAACTTGCCTCTCGTTGTCGTCTGTCCGGTCGTCGTCGGGGAGGCCCTTGATTTTCCCTTTGTCACATGTTACTCTTTTTTTTCGCTCCCCCGGATGATGAGACCAATCAATCCGACCTCCGCATGCAGTTTCTCTCGGTCGACGTTGGCCGCTGTGTGACCAGGGTGGAAGGCGGCAGGGATCATGTGATTCGCGATTCGTGTCTAGAGCAGGTTGGGAGGTGACGGGGCAGGGGGAAGGGGGGGAATCCTGGCGTCGGACTAAGTCGAAGGTGGAGGAGACGGAGCGGGCGATGATTCGTTCCGCGTCTAGGCCTTGGTGGTCTTGTTGCCGTTGAGCTCGCGGGTGATGGCGTCCAGGTCGAGGCCGAGGTAGCCGGCGATGAAGTCGCCAATCTGTCATCGTTACGGCACACGCGACGCAGACGAAGACACGTCAGCCAAGACTCTCGACTCGCGGGTGGCGGATCGACCAATCTCCATTCGCCTCGGCAGGCCAGGCCAGGCCGGAGGCACTCACGTTGGTGTTCTCCTGGTTGCCCGCCAGCTTGTGGGCGTCGTAGCCGTGGGCGTAGACGTTGATGTCGACGCCCGTGTGTCCCTCGGTCGAGAAGCCAATCTCGGCGCGACGCGCGCTGACGTCGGCAATCGCCTTGCGCACCTTGTTGATGCCCGTCGGCGGCACGGGCGCCTGGGCGCGGTAATCGGCAGGGTGGACCTGCTGGAATGCGGCACCGTCGGCGCCAGCTGCTGCCGAGAGGCGCTGCTCTGCATCGAGCTCCTCCTTGACGGCAGCGAGAACCTTGCGCGCCTCGTCTTCGGTGGCCGGGCCGCCCTGCTTGTCCGAGACGAACCCGAGCCCATCGCGGCCTAGGATCTTCTGCCGGATAAAGTCGAGGACCACCTTGTCGTCAAACTTGTGTCCCTCCTTGCTTCCCTGCTGCTGGGCGCGCACGAACTCGAGCAGCACCGCCGACAGGATGGGCGCAGAGTGCTTGACGTCGAGCAAGCGCTCCGGGTAGTAGGCGTAATTGGGGTAGCCCTCGGTCAGCTGGCGGCCGAGGGTGACGCCGCCCGTCTCGTGGTCGCTGGTCGAGATGAGGACGGTGCGCTCGTGCCGGTTGTTGTGCTGGTCGACGAAGTTCTTGACCGCCTGGATCGTGTCTTGGTAGGCAAGAGCCTCGCGCGCGTGGCAGGCCGGATCGTTGTTGTGCGCGCACAGATCGATCTGCGACCCTTCGATCATGATGATGAAGCCGTTCTTGTTGTCAGACGAGCGGGAGAGGAGGTTGAGCGCCTTGGTGGCCATCTGGGCCAGCGAGGGCGGCCGGAGGGCTGCGGGGATGTTGCGCCGGTCGATGTCAAAAGGCGTGTTGCCGGGCGCCAGCAGAGTCAGCAGGGGCAGCTTGACCTCGCTCGTCTCGATGTCGTCGAACAGGGCCTTGGTGTCCCGGGCGGCCTGCTCGCGCTGGGAGGCGCTATCGACACCAGCACCGGTGAGCTTCTGGTCGGTCGGAAAAGCGATGCGGACGTCCCATCCGAGCTCCTTTGCGACTTGAACCGTGTCCTCATCGTCGAGGCGGCACGACTGGGGCGACGATTTGGGCAGGAAGTTGCAGCCTCCTCCGCCGATGGCCAGGTCGAGGGTCCTCTCTCCGAGCGGGTTCTGCTTCCCGCCGATGAGCTGCGAGGCAATGAGCGGCTCCTCGGCGCGCGATGCGGCGTGCGAGATAAAGGCGGCGGGGGTCGCGTCGGTGAGGCGGGTAGTGACGACGACGCCCGTGAGGAGGCCCTTGCGCTTGGCGGCCTCAAATACGGTGCCGCAAGACCTTGCGTCTGCATCTACGCCGATGGCTCCATTGTAGGACTTCTTGGCGCAGGCAAAGGCAGTCGCGCCAGCGGCCGAGTCTGTGATGAGGGAGTTGGAGGAGCGGGAGCGGTGGGTGCCGACGAGGATGGTGTCGAGGGGCAGGCGGTACGCGGCGTCGTAGGCGGTGTTGTTGGTGAGGGCCTGGTAGAAGGCGCGGGTGTAGGTCTCGGATGCCGGGCCGAAGCCGTCGCTGACCATCATGATGACGTTGTGCTTGACATGGGGCGACCAGGGGAACGAGATGCCGTTGAGGCTGCCCACGGTCCAGGCCATGTAGAGGGCGCCGAGGGCAAAGAAGAGGAGGTTCTTGAAGTTGGCCGTCAGCCTGAGGGTCGGCTCCCGCTCCGGTGCTGGCACGGTCTCGGCATGCCTGACACTGGCTGCGGAGGCCTTCTCGCCCTGTTGCGATACGGGAGCGGGCAGCTCGTCGTGCTGTGGGCGAGCGGATTGCGAACCGACGGTGATGGAGAAGTTGACCTCCATGTTGGCTAGGGTGGGCGCCGCGAGCTGGTCGGCCTGGGACAGGAACAGTGAGAAGTCAAAGGTGTTGGAAGGTGAACGTGGTTCCGTTGCGATTGTGTAGAGTGTGCAGGGCAAGGCGAGCGATGGTGAATGCTGTGATGAGTGCGGGCAACGGTCGATGTGGGGAGCGAGCGGCGGCCACGACCAAGACAGGGGCAACCCCCCGCACGGACAACTCCACATGCCCGTCGAGTCGCTCGCGGCTGACTTGACTCGGCGCCAAAAGGCCGTCTAAAAGCCCGAGGAAAAAGGAGGGCGTCTGCTTGCCTCGCCGCCACCACGACTGCCTCGACCTTCCACAACTGCTCACCTCCAACCTCTTCTCGGGCGCTCCGATCGACGGCTCAGCCGATGCCAGTACCGAGAGCCGATGCGGACCCACTCCGAATCAACATGACGCCGACCAGCGGCGACGGCGACGTCGACGGCCGACATATCACCGACGCCGCCGTCATCGTCGACGAGCGCCCCCTTCCGCCGCGCCAACTGACTCTTGCATCGACGCCGCCGCTACCAGCGCGGCTGAGTCAGTTCATACGACCGCAGCAAGGAGAGGTACAACAGCCGTCGGTCGCAACGGTCTCCGAGCGCCTGCAGAGAGCCAGGATCGACCACCTTCGACACAGGCGCAACGTCGAAGACGAGCAGCTGCGCAAGCAGAGGCGCCAGCAGGACCACGCCGTTCCCAGCGGCAGCACACAAGCTGTGTCTTCCACCGCGGCCAGGCCAAAGACATCGTCGGCACTTCCGCCCCTGGCTTCCGGAAGCAACCCGGGGCTCGCCTTTCTCTCCCACACCTCACTGAATCAGCAGGAGCGGGACCAGAGGCTGCGCAACAGGCAGATCCAAAGGCGAATCGCCGGCCCAATCCCGCCGCAGAGCTGGAGGCAAGACGACAATAGCAACAGCGGCCAAGGACCAGACAATGAAGATGCGACGCTGCGATCAAGATCCTCACACGCCCAGATAGAAGCTCGCATCGAAACGAGGAAACGAGCCGTCCTAGCTCGCCGCCACAGGGTCTGCAGCGCCCTCCGCGCCCTTCTCGACGAGCGAGATGAAGCCACGTCCCAGGTTCGCCTCGCACAACGACTGCCAACGCTGCGCAACATGGCGCTGTGTGCAATAGCAGCTCTGGCCATACCAACTTCGAACCAAGGCTCCAAGGCACAACGTCGCTACCGTGCTGAGCTCTTTGACCTCTCGATCGACCACATCCCGCCTCACCTTCGGCGAACCATGGCGACGCTCTGCGGTCGACAGGCCCGCGTTCTTGGAGCCACCGCCGAAACCCTCCTGAGCTTGCTGCGACCGACACATGCAAGGACCGGCGCCGTTCTCAAGTCCACGGCGTCCTTGCGCCCCGACTCGGCTAGCGCCAACGAGGCCGGCAGTGACGACGATGACGACGATGATGGCGCAGACTGGGACGCCGAGGATGACGAGCCGGTCGCACAGCTGGTGGCGCAAAAACCGAAGTCTACACCCGAATCTAGCCGCTGGACAGCCAACCTGGTCGACCTGTCGTACTATGATCTCCTCGGCCCTGCTCAGGTCCGGTCGGTGCTCAACAGCAACCTCGTCGTCGCAAACTCGCACGTCAACCTCCGTGCGTTGAGCCTCGCGGGCTTCCGCCTCGACTTTGCCGATCCCGACGCGCTCCTCCGCATCCTTGCAAAACTCGCCAATCTCGAGCTGCTGAGCCTCGCCGGGTCGTCCGGATCAAGCAGCTCCGCCCTCGACCATGGCATGTTTCTCAAGCGGCTCAGCCGGGCGACACCACGGCTGCAGGTCCTGGACCTTTCCTACTGCGCCTGGGTCGACTCGCAAGCCGTCTGCTGCGTCTCGTGGTCGGAATGGCCCAGGCTCGATCATCTCGTGCTCAAGGGCTGCGAGCCCTTGCAGCATCCGGTCGTGGTGTCGTGTGAGCGAGAGGACCTCGACGCGCCGCCGGAACTCCCGGACGCCTCTGTGGGCGACGGCAGGGGAGTGGCGGCTGCCAACTTTGTCGCTCCCTGGCACGCCCTGCATCATGGCCAGGGACGACGCGACGGTCAGGCCTCCACGGTCCGGTCGTCGGTCCTCGTCGCGACACGACCGGGCATCCTACCCGGCACGGGCGCGACCTCACAGAGCGCCGCAGCTTCGGATGGCGGACGCCACGAGGACGCGGTACGCGCGCTGACCCGCCAGGCGAGCGCAAGTTGGACGGCGGGCAGGGTCAGAGGCTCCGGGCACACCAAGGCGGTGTCGTACACGCAATCGTTCGTGCGGTGTCCGACGAGCGGCAAGGAAGTGGAACAATGGCAGTGGGAGCGGGCGATGGTCCTGGATGCCGTCAGAGGAAGGCTCAAGGGTGGCGGGCGAAGGTGGGTCGAGGTGTGGTTCTGACGGCGGCGGCGGCCGGTCGCGCTACCCACCTGTCGTCCAGGCTCAACGGCTGCCAAAGCGGACCTCGCCGATATCGTCGCTCGTCCAGCACACGGCCGCGTCGATGCTGGCCACCTCCATCTGCGGCCATAGCACCTTGAAAGCACTGCATCCCGTCTGATCTGCCACGGTTAACCAAGGTCGCGCCTGGCCAGTACTACGGTGGGGGACCCCGTGGGAATCCCAGGTGCTGCAGTTACATCAACTTTTTTTGCTCGCCTCGCTCAGCGCGGATCACGACGTGCGGCGGAGGGGGCGACAGTGAGTCGATGAAAGGTCCCCTTGGTCGGATGAGGACGTGGTGTAGAAGGCGGCGGCACAGGGAGGGGTCGGGGCCGGGGTAGCTCTCTGGATCTTCAGGGTCTTGCTCTTCAGTGCTGGCATCGCCAAGAGAATTCCAAGCCTTTGCAGGCAGGTGCTGCGGATTCGGGGCAGAGAAGGAAGCGTCTCAGCGGCCACGAGATCGATAGATGTCATACACCTTCTCGAACACGCTCATCAGCTCAGCACGTCGATCGGAGATTGAGTCGCCCGTGGATGGAAAGGTCGCGGGAGGGCTTTGGCTTGGCAAAAGGGCCAGATCTCGACGAGCTCGAGCAGCCGCATGCTGCCGGTAAGTGCCAGACGATGGCGTGCTGAGCCTGGCCCAATGAACAGGAGGGGACGTGGGGTACGGCAACGTCACGTATGTAACGCACGCAGTCGCCTCGTCGTCGTCGTCGATGATCTTCGTCGAAGTCCTCGCGGTTTTTGCTTGGCACGTTGCCCTGCATGTCGTGCCAAGGCTTCACGACACACAAGGTCGAGCAGGGGACGAACGAAGCCGTCAAGAGAGAGCGCTGTTACGTTCTGCACCAGCGATGCTCGGACGAGAGCTCCGTTCGGCTTCCGCAAGGCTGGCAAGAAGAACATTCGTCCAACGAAGAGGAGAGTTGGCAACAAAGAGGCGCGCGAGTTGGCTGCTCTTTGCGGTCCTCTCGCAGTTGCTGGCAAGGCGGCGACAGCGTTCATCGTCAGCCGGCATCTCGCCCGGCTGGCTGCAGGTCGTCGGCACGGCAAACCCGATGGAAGAGCGGCTTGAGCCAGCCCGTCGAGCGGTCGGTCGGTCGGTACCATCTCTGCAGACCCCGCTTCCACGTCGCATGAGAGGGAGAGCGGAACAACTTCGGTCAGCCAACGCCCAAGCCCGAGCTTGGCAGCCCGCCCGTCCGCTTCGTCGTCCGTCTTGCTTGGTCCTCATCTTCGTCGTTGTGCGTCTGTCCATGGCGAACATCGTGGAAAGCATATCTTCGCGCGCTAAACCACCCACGCATGGCCCCGGTGCACTACCAGGCATAACCACAAGGGCTGCCTTTGGCCTCGGTCCTACCCAAACGTGATCCCGCCGGCGCCCTTCCGTTCCGCATGGAGAAGGCCGGGGAATCTCGATCTCGCTTGTTTGGATGCCCGATCCCTCGCGGTCCCGTCGGTCATCTTGCTGGCTTCCTCTCTGGCGAGTTTCTCGGATGGGCCAGCGAGCCGGTGCTCGCCGTCGGATGACAACGTAAGACTGGCTTCGATGTCCGACGGCAAGCTGCCGAGACGAAGGAGGGGAGGACGAGCGGCGAGCAGACCTAGGTCGATGTCGGTGGGCCTGCTGAAGCTTTCGACGGGGTCCATCACGGTGGTCGGCGTCCCGCGGCCCGTGGCTTGACCAACCCACCCTTGCCGGACCAGCTGGCTAGGCTGCGGGCCAGATGGCTCGTCCGGTCGGTCTATCCGCTGCTCAGACCTTCTGGCTCGAGACCGTCTACAAAGACAGCGGGATATGATGAGGAACAAAACAGGCGGCACCGCAAAAAGGAGCAAGTGAGGACAGGCAGGTGCCTTGCTTAGCTTCCTCGGCGAGCCACAGGGCTGGGCAGCGTGGCCACGACCCTGCCTTTGCCCAACCGCCACGACGCCGACGCCGCCGCCGCCGCTGCTTGCGAAGCGAGGCACAGCCCGGCCCATCCAACGGGCCAGGCCAGGCGCGAGGCTAGACCAGGCTAACGTAGGGCGACGGGCGCTGGCGCCGGCGCCGGCGCTGGCATTTGACCGTCGCTGATGAGGTGTTTTGGTCCTCGTCGACTGTCTCGCTCTCTCTCGCTCGCTCGCTCGTCTGTCGCCCGCACAAACACAGAAACGCTCGTATGTTGCGAGCGAGGATGGGTCCAAGGCCGTTGACTCCACGCCGCACCCCAGAGGTCACCGGCCAAGTGGGCCCTTGCTTCCCCTTGTGCGGCGCCAGCTTGGCAGGCCAGCTAGAGACGAGGATAGAGAGGCGAGGCAGTCAGCGCATCGATCCCGGCGCCAACGCAGCCAAGCCGGCGCGGTACGACGACTCCGGAGCCTGCGCCGGGGATGCAGCGACGCAGGCAGCTCGAGGTCCCGCCCTGCCGCGATCGTGCCGCCCACAAGCCAGCCGGCCCAGCAGCAGCAGCAGCAGCAGCAGCAGCAGCAGCAGCCAAGACCCGCCGGGCAATCAGCAGGCCAGGCGGCAGCTGCCCATCCAAAACACCAGCCGGCTGGGCACTTGAACGAAAAGCACAGCAGCTCCGCGGTCCTCGAATTCAAAGCCAAGCCGCTCGAATACAAGTTTTGTGAAACTTCGAGGCCCATCAGGGTTCAAGCGGCCAAGGGGCGGCGGCCGGCAAGCTTGGCCTTGTCCCACCCTCCTGCCTGCCTGCTTGCTGCCTGCCGGCCTGCTGCCGCTGTGCCGCCAGCTCTTTGGGTCTTGCTTGCTTGCGTTGCTTGGCTGGGCTCCTATCTAGGTATCGCTCCTGGTCGACCGCGAGGGAGCCCCTACCACGTCTGTCCCCTCATCTCGTACTCCCCCTCATCGTCAGGGCGCCCCTCGCCTTTGCACACCACCCGTCCCACGCCCCCACCTTCGTCTGCGTGCTTGCTTCGGATCTCGTTCCGATACCGGCCCAGCCTCGCAGAGAGACACATCACACAGCAGCGGATGCTCCCGACCTCGTCTTCAAGCTCCTGACGACCTTTCACCACTGCTGCTTGCCGGATCACGTCGTCGCATCCGCTTCTCGGCCTCACCGACACCGCGCATCTCGGGTCAGCCGTTCCCTTTGCTCAAGTCGCAGCCAGCAACACGATCCCCGTCGGCCAATCTCCCCTCCAGCTCGCTGCGCATCCAGTTTAGTCCAGCCTGGTCCAGTCCCTACGGAGGCAAATTGCTGCAGCAGACCGACCGTCGTTCACCTTCTAAGCCTTGACCACCTGCGCTCACCGCCGTCCATTTCAGTGCAGACGCCAGGCTCGACAGAATATCAGCATCCCAGCATCTCGACAGCATCGCCCATCGAGATCGAGACGTTCATCCTCCGCCGTTGCTCCCACACAGCTACACAGACGGCTTCGCACACGTGTCAGCTTAGCACGCCCCCCCATATCGCCTCGCCACGGTCGCCTGTTTGCCCAACACCGAGATCGGCAAGACTCGGATAGAGCCAACACTACCCCTTGATCGACAGGACCACCTACCTTGGTCGCCGACGCTATCACCAAAAATGCAGCTGCGGAGATCCCTCTTGCCCTTTGTGGCTGCCAGCCTGGCACTGCTCCAGACTGTCCGAGCCTTCGACGTCATCGTCGACGAAGTCACCTGCGCACGCATGCTTCTCACCGTCGACCTGACTCCGGCCGAATACCAGACCGCCTATGCTGTCTACGTCCTCATCGGAGGCGAGCAGGTCTCGGAGTTTACGCTCAGCGGCTCCTACACGGCCACGCAGCTCAGCGCCGACTTCAACGCCATCTTCTTCGATGGCTCCCAGCCTACCACCGGCACCTCGACCGTCGAGTTCCAGCTGGTCGACTCGGATGAGAACCCGCTGGTTGGCAGCCCGCCAATCACTCAGGACATCGAGTTCCAATGTGGCACCACGCTACAGCCAACCAGCAGCGCCGCATCCAACTCGCCTTCCTCTACCCGTGGCGGCAGCCGACCGTCCAGCACCGGAGCTGGCGGAGGCAACAGCGGGAGCACCTCGTCGTCCTCGTCCTCGGGCGGTTCGTCCAACACTGGCGCCATCGCCGGAGGCGTCGTTGGCGGCATCGCTGGTCTCCTGGCCATCGGCGCTCTCCTCTTCTTCTGCAACCGGAAACGCAGGCGCGATCAGCGGCGCCGCGGTCTGGTAGGCCACCACGACGTCGACGAATCCGGCTCTCGAGGTGCCAACGACTCGACCGCCTCCCTCGCCACGGCCCCAGAGCCCGAAAATGCTCAGACCCCGATGATGCGGGACATCTCCACACGCAACGTGTTCGCCGATCCTCCTGCCGGTGCTGCGCCTTCGTCGTCGAATGGTGGCGGATCCTCCGCTGCCGCCGGTGCTGCTGCTGCTGCTGGAGGCGCGGCGGCCGCGGGCGGACTCGGAGCCGCCGCCATTGCCGCACGTCGTTCCACTTCGCGTTCCCGTTCTCGGTCACCTTCGCGCTCTGAGCACCGAGGGCCATCTGCCTCGTCCAAGGCCGCTTCGCCGGAGAGGGTCGAGGCCGTCCCCGTTGCGCCGCCGAAGAGCGAGACGCAAACACCTGCGCCCGCTCTTGCGGCCGTGCCAGCGGCGGCCGAGGCCACCAAGCCCGAGCGCAGCGAGTCCGCAGCGCCGGTCACGACGACCGCCAACGTTGCGCCCGCTGCGGCGCGCGAGCCGAGCAAGAGTGACTCGGGAAGCAGTCCGTCCACGAGTCCCGAAGATGAAGGTTCGAAGTCGAAAGCTTCGTCGCCTGGCGCTGCCACAGGTGTTGCCGGTGCCGGTGCCGCAACAGCCGCCGCGGCTGCCGCTGCGGGCACGACTTCCCCCAAGTCGAAGAAGTGGGGCTTCAAGAGGAACTCGCAGCAGGAGAATAAGGTCAAATCGCCCAAGATGACCCCGACCGACATCCAGTCTTTGGCGAGCACGGCGCCGTCGCAGAAGTCGGCTGACGGCACTGACTCGCCGGCGCGGTCGTTCAAGGTGATCCAGAAGCCCCAGTCGCCCGATGCCAACGTCGCCTCGGGATCGCGGTCTGGCTATGCGACGCCGTCGAGCTCGTCGCTGCGCAACCTCAACAACGGCGGCCCCAGCAACTACTCGGGCGCCCCCTCGGTCGCGTCGATGTCGGCCGGCTTCAACGAGGCTCCGGCAATGCCGCCGCAGCCCAACGCCGGAGACGGAGCGACCGACACGACGCCGACGAGCGAGTTCGGCGGCAACATGGCGGGAGTGGGCGCCGGGCGAGCGTTTTTCGGCGGCGCATTCGCCGGCGGACCCGCTGGACCCGGCGCCATGGGCGGCGGCAGCACCAGCTCGGCCCACTCGACTAAGTGGCACCAGCAGCAGCAGTCGTACAACGTCATGCCCAACTTTGCCGCGCGGCCGCTGGCGCGCTCGTCGCAGCTCGAAGAGGACCTCATCTTTGGCAACCTGGGCATGGGACTGAGCCCCGGCCCGGGCCTGGCTGGCAACGGCAGCGAGGGCGGCAGCGCGAGGAGCGCGAGGAGCAAGGGAAGCCGACAGGATCCCTTTGGCGATCGATGAAGCGACGGCTCGACCACCTTCGCTCCAACAGCTCGCGTCCTCTCGATCCAGCCCTCGACGAATTCTTATCTCCAACCAAGGAACACGCAGACGCGACTCCCTTTCTCCTCTTTTCTCGCATCATCTCAAAGCATGCTGAGCCATCCTTTATTCTCGTCGTCTTTGACTGGGACCTGTACATCTACTTCCCCCCTTTCCCCCCTCGGTCGGGTCCGATACGGTCCTCGAGCGCTCCGCGTCTCTCCCTCCGACCCTCTCCACACACCTTCTGTGTCGTCGATTGACCCATCGACGTCCCCCCACCTTCTTTTATCACGACCCGCCTCCGGGCCCCGCCTTCGCTCGCAAACTCCGAGGCGGTCTCCTCTCGGCCCCTTCGAGATCCACGCAAGACAACATGGACTTATTCTTCTTCGATTTCGCCACACCACACCCATCTCCCCGCTCTCTCTCTTTCGCGTTGTTGCTCGTCGTGTTCGCTGCGCATTCTTGAAGTCGGTCCTGTCTTCACCCACCACCGCCTACGCTCGCCCGCGTTGCACACGGTTTGAAGAAAGGTGTGCGAGGGGACGAGAGAGGGAGGAACGAGGCGGACGAGGTCGCTCATGTCCACGTCCTTGCGGCCGTTCGGATGTCGTCGAGGAACGAGGTGATTTTGTCCACGTCCTGAACAGAGGCGAACGACGGAGAAGGTTTGGGCCAAAGATGATGTGGCATCCAGCGTCAGTCGGTAGGTACGCTTTCGCCTTGGAGCAACGCGTCGACGCGGCGTCTGCATTCTAGGGGTGTCCCGGGCGCCCGCCTCTCCGCCATCGCGTGGACACTCACCTGCTTCTCATTCTGCCACACTCTGACCTCGTCCCTCCTCTCGCCCTCCTCGAGCACCGACCGATGAACCTCCCTCCTAGTCTCGAGGACGAGCCGCCGCACCTCCTTCTTCCTCTTCCTCGCCCTCGTCAGATCCAAGACGAGCTGGGTACGGTGGTCCGTCTTCTCCGACAGGCCCGCACACCGCGCCTTGACCGACCTCCGCAGCGCCTTGAGCGCCGACACGACCGACTTGGACGGCTGCGACGCGATCGTCGACTTGAGCTCCTCGTCGAGCGTGGCCCAGATGACGTCGATGTCGTTGAGCAGCTTGCGCGACTTGCGCCCGCGCCGATCCGCCTCGCCAGACACGTCGGCCGCGCCGCCCGCGTCACCCAGCAGCAGCGTCGACGAGTTGGGCAGCACGAGCGACAGGGCGCGCCGCAGCCGTTGCTGGAATTGCTTGCGCTGCGGCTTGGACATTGCTCCCGTGGCGCCCGGCGGCCGTCCCGCACGTCGTCGTGCCTCGCCCTCGCGCAGCGTGGCATCCGCGTCGAGGTCGTCGGACAGCTCGGCCTCGGTCGGCTCTTGGAACAGGACCCGCTGCCTCTGCGCGGCGGCGGCGGGAGCATTGCCCTTGCCCTTTGCCTTTGCCGCCTTCTGAGCCGCCGTGGCCGATGACGCAGCCTTGGCCTTCTTGCTGGCGGGGCCTGGGCGGCCCGGCCCAGTCTCGGCACCGGGGCTGGGTTGCCGCCTCCTCTTGCGCGTGTCGGCACCCCGCTGCGCCGCCTTGGCCGCGGGCGAGTCGGCGGCGAAGCTCTCAACCTGCGGCACGACGCTCTCATCGGCGTCGAGCTGAACCAGCGTATCGTCGAGCGCCGCGCCGCGGCTGGTGTCGGTGTGCCGATGTACGGATGCATCTAGCCTCGACGAGCTCGGCAGCGGCGGCGACGAGGGGATGACGGGCAGCGACAGGTCCGGCACGATGCCCGAGGCTCCCGCCTGGGTTTCCAGCGGGAAGGAGGCATCGGGCGCAAGCAGGCTCTCGTCTCGCTCTGCATCGTCTTCTTCGTCAGAGGAGGCCTGCGAGCCGATTTCCTCGAGGATGTCGTCGCGCTGCTTGCCCTTGCTCTGGCGGCCGCGGACCTGGCCCGGTTGGGATGCGGTAGAGACGCGGCGGGATGCGGCGGGAGTGCTGCTGATGGGATGGCGCTGCGAGCGTCGCGAGGCGATCGAGTCGTCGGAAGGCGAGGATGCGAGCGATGCTAGGGTATCGTCTTCTCGCGTTGCGCCGATGCTGGGTCGGGCAGAGGGGCGTGATGGTGCTACCGACTTGCGAGGGCTCCTGCGCGTCGAGGTGGTGGTGGTGGCGGGGGGCGTGATACGGCTTGGAACCGCCGCTGGCTGGTCGTCGACGCGGGAAGGACTCGTCTGGCGTTGTGAGACAGGCTGCTTGCGCGGAGGCAGCTTGAACTGGAAGTCCTTCTGGATGGCGGCGTGGGTTCCAGCTCCGCGCATTCGCTCCTGCCGCCTGTCTTGGAATCGATGGGTCGAGGGCCCACCCGCGGATGCGGGCGGCTTGTCGGACGGGCCACCGGTGCGACCACTCATTTTCGCCTTTGTGTGCTGGGACGATGGCGAGGTGAGGGGTATCCAGAGGCGAAAGGGGGTGGTGGTAGTGATGGTGGTATTGGGCAGGGGAGCTAGCAGGGAGCGCGCACCTCTGCCTGTGCCTCCACAAGGAACGCGACGCGACCCCCACCCGCTGCAGGCACATCACCGCCCGCCCGCCCGCCCGCTCGCTTGGCCCAGGTTCCGCATCCTCGTCTACAAGTCTTTCTGCCTCGTCACCACCACCTCCATCATCCCAGCCACCCCTCGTCCGCCATGCCACCAAAGAAGAAGCCGCGCACATCAGACCAGCTCACAATCGCACCGCCCAGACCACGCGGCCGACCTCGCAAGTCGCTCGACACCTCAACCGCCTCGGTCCAACCAAAGGCAACGGCAAAGGCCACCACCGCAAAGGCCAAGGGCAACGCCAATCAAGCTGCCCAGAACAAGGACAAGGCGAAACCTCAGACCAAGGGGAAAGCCAAGGCCAGCGCCGTCCCTGCCAAGAAGTCGAGGCCGTCCACGTCCTACCACGCCGACACCACGGGCTACAACTCGCCATCCGAGGACAGCGACGTCTCTGCCCTCTCGGTCATCTCGGACCTCTCCGACTCGTCTTCGGACGCCCTCTCGGTCGTGTCGGAATCCACGCTCTCGTCCTCCTCCTCGCTCGCATCCGACGACGGCGATGCGTCGGGAGGGCGCAAGAGAAAGTCGCGCCGAGGATGGCCCACGACCAAGCAGCGCCTGGCAAAGTGGCGGCGCCTCACCATCTCGGAGCGCGAGGCCGTCACGGCAGAGGGCGGCATCGTGTGGAGCGAATGCAGGGACATCCTGGCCCAGCTCAGCAAGAAAGCCAGGGGCGTCGTGGCGGATCAGGTCACGTCGATGCTGGCGCGCGTAGAGAGGAGGCTCGAGACGGGCCTCGTCCCGCCCCTCGCAAAGGGACCGGCGACCACGGCGGGATCCGCAGCTCCGTTCGTGGGCCAGACCAGGAGAGACGTCCCCAGCACCCTCCTGGCTTGGAGGATACAGAGGGAGGGCGGCGACCTCCTCGACGCGGATACCGACGTCAAGCTGGGCATGGACGCCGAAATCGTGAGTCGAACCCCCCATCCTTCTGTCCTCCCATCTCGCCCCCCTCCTCCTGTGCTGCATTGGCCCATTCGGCGATGAAACTCACCGTGTATCGTCTTGACGTTCCTCCTGCCGATCCCCAGGCCGAGCTGGAAGCCCAGCTGCTCCCCGAAGCCGAACAGGCCGTCGACCTCACCCGCGCCTACCGCGACCAGCAAAAGGAGCTCGGCGCATCCATGGCCCGCATCCAGGACCTCAAAAAGGAGCGCAGGCGCCTCAAGGCCGCCCTGCGAACCGACGACCAGGTCCAAAAGGTACGCTTTGCATACCCCCCACATCCTCCTCGACACGGCGAGACAGACAATGAGCCTGACTGCCTCCTACTCTTCCTTTCCTCTGCTGCCCGCACCCTCGTTGACCCTGCGTCGCCCGCAGATCAAAAAGGTCGTCGAACCCGTCATGGCACCCAACGACGTCGAGGGCAAGCTGCTGGCTTACCTCTGACATTCACCCAGCTCCTGCCCATGCTCTCCCGTCCTTGAGTCGCCCATGATACCCTGCAGCCTCGGTTGCAATTCTCACGATGGTCGGTCAATCGGTCGGCCCACTGCGGCGACGAGCAATGCCGGTGGTGAAAGGTTTCTCTTTTTGACCATCGTCCCTGGCATTCTACTACAACCTACATCGCACATCCACACTCCCCAGAGTAGGGTCCGCAGGCGGCCTACTCGAGGCGCTTGATGACGATGGCCGAGGCGCCACCGCCGCCGTTGCAGACGCCGGCGCAGCCGTACTGGCCGGGCTTGAGGGCGTGGGCGAGGGTGACGACGATCCTGGCGCCCGAAGAGCCGATGGGGTGGCCGAGCGAGACACCGCCGCCGAGCACGTTGACCTTGCTGGCGTCGAGGCCGAGGATCTGGTTGTTGGCCAGGGCGACGGCCGAAAAGGCCTCGTTGATCTCAAAGAGCGACACGTCGTCCTTGGTGATGCCGGCGCGCTCGAGGGCGATCGGGATGGCCTTGGCGGGCGCAATGGGGAAGTCGATGGGCGCGCACGCGGCATCGGCGTACGAGATGATCTGGGCCAGCGGCTTGACGCCGAGCTTCTCAGTCTCGGCCTTGCTGGCCAGGACGACGGCCGAGGCGCCGTCGTTGAGCGTCGAGGCGTTGGCGGCGGTGACGGTGCCGTTCTTGTCAAACACGGGTCGCAGCGTGGGGATCTTGTCGAGCTTGACGTTCTTGTACTCCTCGTCCTCGGCGACGACGACGTCGCCCTTACGATCGGCAATCGTGACGGGGACGATCTCGTCCTTGAAGGCGCCCGCCTTCCATGCGTCGGCCGAGCGCTTGTACGACTCGATGGCGTAGGCATCCTGCGCCTCACGGGTGATGCTGAGGTTCTTGGCCGTGTTCTCGGCGCAGTTGCCCATGGCCACCTGGTTGTAGACGTCGTGCAGGCCGTCCTTGACGATGGCGTCGGCGGCCTGGACGTGGCCGAAGCTGGTGCCGCGGGGCAGGTAGTAGCTGCGAGCGGTGCAAGGTGGGGAGAAGGGAGAGAGCGAAGGGCGGGAGGGAACCGGGTCAGCGAGTCGGCTTCGGTGGGGTGGCGGGTCGAGGAGGATGCAGGAATGGGCCGGCGTGCGGGGGAGAAGGGCTAGCCGATGGAGCACGGGTGTACCCGGATGCACGCTCGGGCCAAGGTGGTGACGATGCCGACAGGACCGATGGCAGCGACGACGACGACGACAACAACGGCGGCGAGGGTGGAGATGGTTGCACCGGCTCATCGGGCCAAAAAGCGTGCCGGTCTTGACGGTCGAGATATTCCCATCTCGCCCGGAGGCGCTGGGCGCGCGCGCCTGCCGTCGGGCCTGGATTTCGGCTTTGGGCCGGGCTGGACCGGGAACAGGGCCATGGCCGGGTGCCCGGGCTGCTGCTGCTGGCGATACTCACGGGGCGTTGCTCATGCTCTCCATTCCGCCGGCGATCATGACATTCCTCTGGCCGAGGGCAATGTTCTGAGCGGCGAGGGTGATGGCCTTCATGCCCGATGCGCAGACCTTGTTGATGGTGGTGGCCTCGGTGGTGTCGGGGCAGCCGGCGCCGAGGGCGACCTGCCTGGCGGGCGACTGGCCGACGTTGCCCTGGAGGACATTGCCAAAGTAGCAGTCCTCGATCTGCTCGGGCTTGAGGCCGGCGCGCTCAATGGCGGCCTTGGCGGCAGTGACGCCGAGCTGGGGCGCAGTGAGCTTCTTGAGCGAACCGTTGAAGGATCCGACGGGCGTGCGCGCCGCCGAGAGGATGTAGACGTCGTTGATCTGGGACTGCCGGGATCAGAAGCAGGTAGAGCAGAATGAGAGCAGCAGCAGCCGTCATGGTCAGCCCATCGTCGTCGTCGTCGTCGTCGTCGTCGCCGCTATCGACGTGGCGGTGGTTTGGGCGGGGCGATTTTCGGAGTGGCGTCGCGGCCGAGAAAGTGATTGCAGCGCCCGCAACCCCTGAGCCGCCTGCCTGCATCGCCGCCCTTGCCCCGCGACCGACGCTGTCCCGTGGCCGATGGCGTTGCGAGGCGGAACGTCGTGCTGATCGGCGTACTCACCATGATTCGAGCAGTCTGTTGGAGTCGTTGGATGGCGGTGGAGCGGAAGGCAGCCATGTTCAGGGTTGCAGTTGGAAAAGTTGAGCCGCGAAAAATGGGACGTGTTGGGGTTACGGTGGGACGGGGAAGCAAGGAAGGAGCGCGGCCGCCAAGTCAGGCCATCGATTATTCGCCAGGCGGGGCAGTCACTCTGGGGGCCAGCAGGCCGGGGGCGAAATCGGCCAGGGGGGGGGGATCAGGCCATCCAGTCCGGCTGCAGCCGAGCCAGGCCCGAGCCACACGCACGCACGCACGCGGAGCAGACTGCCCAAGGAGCCAGCCAACAACAAGGTGTTGCCCCGAGCGCAACAAAAGGCCGGCTTGCCTGCAGTCAGTTTCACCGCACCACATCGTCGTGCAGCAGCCAGCCACCGCCTCGCCTCGCCTCGCCTCGCCCTCCTGCACGCACGCAGCTCTCGAGCTCGTTACGTTTGGTCTCTCCTAGGCAAGCGCGCCGCCCGACGCGCGCCTCCAAGCAAGCGGTCTCGACGACCAGGGTGACATCTTGCAAGCTTCGCAGAGGCCTCCTCACTCGCACACACATCCGGACCAAAGCACGGGACAACCAGTCTACAACCGAGATGCTGTAGGGGCTGAGAGTCGCGGAGAAAGTGTAGAGTACAGAGAGGGATGTCGACAGTCGATGGGGGAAGTGTACATGGCTGGATCGGGACGAGACAAGAGAGATCGAGACAGGTTGTGGTCACGGCGGCTCGAAGCTCAGCGAAGGGCTTGCCATCAGGCAGTGCCGAGCTTCAGGGTGTTTTGGGGTACGAGGCTGCTTCCGCCGCTGGCATCAATGGCGCTCGCAGAGGTCTCGGTCGAGGTAGGCGGCGGAGCCGGCTGCTGCTGCTGCTGCTGCGGCGGCGGCGGCGGCGACGGCGGCAAGATGGGCTGCTGAGCCTGCTGCACCTGCATCACAGGTGGCGATAGGGACACTTGCGACGTCGCAGGCTCTCTATTGGCGCTCCCAACCGACAATGCTGGCGCCGAATCTGCCGAAGCAGCAACAGACGTAGTTGTCGGGGGAGCAGCCTGCGTAGCCGGAGGAGCCGGTGCGTCTGAGCCACCGACACCGACACCGACACCATCGGTTGCGATTGGACGCGCAGTGTCCGACTGCTGCCCCTGCGGCTGCACCACAGGCTCGGGTCGAGATTGAGGCTGGGTGGAAGGTGCAGGAGGAAGCTGCACAGGCTGAGGCTGAGGCTGAGGCTGAAGTATGGGCCGAGTCTCCGCCGCGTCTCGAGGTTGCGACTGAGGTTGCGCAGGGACCTCAGCCGGTCGCTGATTCTCGGCCTGCGGCAGGGTCGCGACCTGCGCTTGTGCCTGTCCTGGCTGCTGCTGCGGTGGCGGCGGCGCTTGCGACTGGACCGAGGTCACAGGCGATGTGGACGCTGCGAGCGGCTGCGACTGCTGCGACTGCTGCGACTGCTGCTGATTCTCCATCGGCCGCTGGGTTAGCGACGCTTGCTTCTGATGCGACGACTGCCGGCGATCCTGGGCCCGCGCCTGAGCCAGCAACCGCCGGCCAATGTCTTGCACCTCCTGCGAAAAGCCTTGGTCGAGGTCCGACTCGTCGTCCGTCTGCGCATCCCGCGGCGGGGCCGTGGCGCCGGGGTCGGGCGCCGGGACAGCCTCGCTGCTGGGAGCGGCGAGTGGAGCCGGGCTGGGGCGGCGGGGCACGGATGGAACAGTTGCCGAGGCTGCCTCTGCCGGCTTGCCAGGCGCTATGGCAGCGGCAGAGGCAGCGTGCGGAGACGGCTGCGACGGCTCCTTTGGCAGTATCGGCCTGGGCGCTGGCATTGTCCTGACCGAGTATGCAGCATGCGCTCCGGTAACCGCAGCATGGGGAGCCGGTCGCGTAGATCCAGTGGCACCCCCGGGTTGCTGCCTTTGCGCCGCCGAACTTGCCGCCGAGGATGGTGGCTTGGAGGCCGCTTGCGTCGATCTCGTCGCGCTGTCCCTCGCCGGACCAGAATGGTAAAGCGAGACCAAGTTGCCGCCGAGCAGCGTCGTGGCCGACTTGGGGCTCTGGCGCGGTTGAGCCCTGGATGTCGAGCTGGGCGCGGCGGGTGTGACACTGCTGCCTCCTGGTGCGGGACCGGGAGCAGGCATCGAGGCCGAGACTGACGGTGGCGCCGAGGCAGGCGTGGAACCGGGCCCGGGAACACTGCTGGAGCGGGGCGCCGGGCTGGCGGAGCCCTCTGGGCCAGCGCTTCCGTCTGCCTCCCTGGACCCCTGCCTCTCGGCGCACTGGTGGCGGTTGCAGGCGTCCCTACGCACGAACGACCTGCCGCACGCCTCGCAACGGAACTTCTTGCCCGGCGTTCCCAGACCGAGGCTGGCCAGGCCGCCAGTGTCTCCACGGATCTCGCCGGGATCGCCTTTGATGCCAGGCTCCGGTTCAAACTCGTGGACGCTCGCAACGTGCCGCTGGAGATCGTGCTTGCGGCTGAACGAGCGCCCGCCCTCGGACCTGCAGCTCGGATAGGGGCAGGGGTAGGGCTTTGAACGGTTGGGATCGGGGTCGTGGGTCGCGAGGTGCGTGTTGAGGTTGAAAGCGCGCGCAAACGCACGCTCGCACTTTGGACACTGGAAGCGCTTCACCGGCACCTTGCCGCTCCCGCGTGCCGAGGGGCTGCGCCCGCTCTCGCCAGCGTTTGGCGAGGCCCCGTTGGTGGCGATTGAAGGTGTGGCTGCTGACGTCGCGCCCGCACGGGTCCCATTGGACTTGCTCGCCTCGGCCGCTGCCGCCGCCCTGGACGCCGCTGCTGCCGCTGCCTCAGCCGCCTGCTGAACGACCTGCTCATGCTGCGCGCTGAGCCGCTTCACGGCCTCGGCCAGGGCACGCTGCGACTCTTCGTCGCCGTTGAGAGGATTACCGTCTCCGATGAACGCTGCTGCGACGCGCGTGAGCACAGCCAGCTCCTCGCTGATGGAAGTCGACTCGGCCGCGCTGGCGACGACTTCCTTTTGCGGCTCCTCGCCAGCAGAGACAGGAGGGGCATCGGTGTCTCCGGGTGCCGGAGCGGGTGCTGTGGCGCTTGCTGATTCCGCCTCGCCGGATACTGGAGCGCTCGTGGCCGCTTCGACGGCGTCAATGTCCTGGATGAGCGCGTCGGCTGCCCTCTCCTCTTCCTCCCTAGTCATGCCGGTCGACGACCCGCCGTGACCGTCGGCAGCATCGGTCGGCGTGCCGCTGCCATGCGAGGATGACGGGTGGCGTCGCTCTTCAGCGGACGATGCGCGAACCACGCCCCTAAATGCGAGGTGGTGGTCCTGCGGGTATTGGTACTGAGCGAATGTGTTCTGAAAGCTTTGCGGAACGCTCGGACTGCCCGTGGCGGCGGCAGGGGCGGAGGCAGTTGTAGAGGTACCATCTGCGGCGACAACGGCATCGACCTGCGGATGTTGACTCGTCGGAGCGAGCGTGGACCCTGTTGCCGCCGGTTCGGACGCCAACGCCGGCACAGGCGAGCCTGCTGCTGGAGCTGACGCTGTGAAGCCGTTGGCGACGGCCTCGAGCTCCCTCAGCAAGCGTGTCGTGGCATCCTCGTCGAGCTGCAGCCTCTGCGACTTGGACTCGGCATCGTCGTCGAGCCGGGGCCTCTTTGTGCCTCTTGACGCAGGATGGACGTCGGGTTCTGCAACCGGAGGCGGCTGCACGGCTTTGTCCGCGCTGATCAAGCTATCCTGCGCGGGCCCGTCCTGAGCGTCGTGCTGAGGAGCAGGCGCGTCGGGGTCGAGAGCCTTTCCACCGGCAGAGGCAGCGTCGCTGGCAAACACTTCGCCAGTGGTGCGGCTGCTCGGGTCTGCATTCGGCGACAACATGGCGGCAGCAGCGGCCGCGATTTCGGACAGCGAGGCGCCTTGGGCTGACGGGCCAAGCTGGGACTTGATCAGAGCCTCGAACTGAGCCTGCACCGTTTGCGGGTCGAGCATCGCCTGTCCCGGCTGCTGCTCGTCGGGATGGTGAGAAGGGAATCCGACATCGGATAGGCTGGGTATGCCGTGCGTTGGGGCCAGACCGCCGTCTATCAGGCCGCTGGTGGCCTCGAGCGGAAGGGCCGCATCAGGTCCGCTGGACGGCGCAGAGAGGGGCACACTCGCCGCTGCCGCCAGTGGCAAGGGGTTGCTGGTGGGCGGAGCTACCGTGGGTCCCTCTGCGCCTGCACCACTCGCCGAGACCAAGGTTGAGGACGCCGTCGGTACGTCGGCTGCCAGCAGAGATCTGCCTGGTGTGGCGGCGGCCGCTATTGTTCGATCATGGTTGGTCCCTGGTGCGGAGGCGCCGACTGCTGCCGATGACAACGCCGAGTCCCTCCTTGGGCCCGAGTTCGACGTGGCTCCCGTGGCAGAGCCACGTCCCGGCGAGTGCTGCTTGCGAGCAATGGTGACGGGAGCAAAGGGCAGGTCGAAGCCACCAGCTGTGAAAGTGCGCACCGGACGGGGAGCAAGGTGGAGCGCGTCGTTAGCAACACGGACCTCGCAACGTGTGTGATGGATGCATGCCCATGGCGACGACCGGAAGCGTCATTGACGGTTATGGCCTCGCCGTCCACTGCCTGTCAAGAGCGATGACGGCGGTGGCACGGGGGGTCAACCAGCAGCCATGAGGACGAGGACGGCGTCGACGTCCATGCCGACGCCGAGCGAGACAGATGCTTGTTCGTGGGAACAAGAGAAGCCAGCCGCAGGCTGCTGTGCGAGGATGGAGGGAAGCCATAGCATTACGGGTTGCCGCAGCAACTGCCCTGCCTGACGAAGAGGCTGCCGCAGCAACGTGCGCCGCCGGCCTTCATGCTGAGCCCTGGCTGCGGTGTCGAGACCCGACGTCCCGCCTCTCCAGCCGATGGCAGCGAGCAAGAGGAAGCATACCCGGCCCGCATCTTGCAGAGACATCGACTGCTGTGCCAGGCAGCTGAACGGCTAGAGGGGCAACCGACGACGACAACGCAGAGGCCTAGGTCCAGCGAAAGGCAGGGCGTGCTGGCCGGGAGGGTGGCCAGTAGTCGGTGGCAGCGTTGCGGCCAAGCCCGTAGGCTGACGTGCGAGCATTGGAGCTCGAAAAGACCAAGAGGAGAGAGGCGAAGAGGGGCGCAGAGGGCATGCTCACCTTGTGGCTTGGTATCGGGGGGGCGGGCTCGCGTGACTTTGGTCGGAGGATGCTGCGGTCAGGAAGGAGGGAATAACGTCGTCGCCGCAGTCGCCCCTCCCTTGGCCCGGCCTGCCCCTTTTTCCCTTTCCCGAGAAGAGCGCGGGCCCGACTGGCTGGCCAGGCCAGGCCAGGCCAGGCTGGCTTGGAAAATTTCCCGCCTGCCAGCAGCAGAAAGAGATGGTGGGCTGCCAACCCCAGACTCACCTCGGCTCCGAGGGTGATGTTCTCGGCTTTCTCCGCGGCGCGCCAGATCGGGGGGCCAGCCAGTTGGGATCGCAATCTGCAACCACCGGCCACGGCAAACTTGATGGTGGTCTCGCCCCGTCGCCCGTCCCAAACTTGCCGGCGACCTCGCCGAGACAACGTAACAGGCGCAGCGAAGCCAGCGCCGCGGCCCTGCCTGGCTTGTGACGATGACGGTGCAGAACGCACGGCGCGGATGGCCGCGAACCGGTAGCGCCGTCCCGACGAAGACGATGTGATGACGATGATGCTGGCCGCTGGTCTCGCTCGGGCCGAAGCCGCGACGGTCGGACGTCTACGCCGTTAGCGTAACAGGCGAAGAGGTCCAGGCTCTGCAACGCGGATGACATCGGAGCGAGCCGACGGGGCGAGGAGCGGTGCTCACTCCGCTGGTGGTGGTCGCACCGCTCGGGAGCGGTCCAGCGACGCCGGAGTTGCGTGGCAGGCGGCGGCGTGGCAGCAGGGCCCTGCCTGCGAGATCCGAGGGAGGCATGAAAACCCTAGGCGGCCAGGCGTCTTTCTCATCTCTCGCGTGGCCAGTCGGGCGCCCTCCTGCCTGACTGCCATGAGGCCCGGAAGAAAAGCCAACGCTTGCCAAGCTTGTGCTTGCCTGCTTTGTTTGCGGCGGTCTGTCCACCATCTCTGCTTGCGCCCACCTGCTCACGGCGGGGATGTAAGGGCCCGTTCTCGAGAAAAGCTGAGCGGCGAGGCGTTGCGTGGCGTGGCGTCGTCGAAGGCAAGCACACCATCGTTGACCGTTCCTGGTGACGGCGAGGCAGAAACCGCGACGACGGCCGGTGGAACGGTGGTTCTCCTCGACGCTGCACACCTCTTTGGCGTGGGGCGTTGGTTTCCAGATCGACGCCCGTCTGAGACCTCGCACAGAGGCGTTCACGTCATCGTCGTATGTACGACCAGCAGCAGGTCACCCCAGCTCCTTAGCTTCCTTGGCTTCTGCAGATGAGCCAAGTTCGATGCAGGTGCAGCACCCACCCGGTGGCACCTGGCCTCTATGCTCGACGACCGTCGAACCTCCGGTACCGGTACCGGTACCGGCGGCGCCTCGATGCACACCGCCACGACCCTGCCGGACTTTGGGCGACGCTACCGTCACTTGGCTGCACCGTCGGAACTCGCCGCCGTCGAGACAAACGAGTCTCGACGGTCTCGCTCGCACCGCCTGACTGCTTCGGCCCGACTGGCGCTGGCTGGCTGGTGGCAAGCGCGACCCGGCGGCGTTGCTCCAGCCTGTACCGCTGTTGCCCTCGTTCGCCCCCACGCTACACCGTCTTCATTCACCGGCCACAGTGGTCACAATGGTCCACCGTGTGGCCTCGAGCTGCAGCCTGCCAAGGTGCGGTCGTCGTCGTTGACTCCAGCTGTCCCCGCGCATCTCCTCCTCATCGCCTCGAGCAGCTCCACGTTGGGTATAAGATCGACCGGCTGGGCGGCCGTCCTCGACCATCCTCGTTCGTCCACACACGCACAAGCTTCCATCCCTGCCATCCCTGCTTTCCCCCCGCTCTGATACTGCCTGTACACCTCCCCCGCGGCGGATAACGGGCCACAGCCATGAAGATCAGCGCCTCCTTTGCTAGGCTGAGCGCCTGCCTCTCGCTCGCCCTCGCCGCGTCCTGCCTCCTCGCAAGCACCGGCGCCGACGCGGCCGTCGTCACCTCCCAGCTCTCCTCGGTGACCGGCCAGGAGTGGGACTATGTCATCGTCGGCGCCGGCCTCACGGGCCTCGTCGTCGGCAAGCGCCTCGCCGACGGCGGCAACGCAAAGGTCCTCGTCATCGAGGCGGGCAACGACGACCGCGCCAACCCCGACGTCTCTGATGTCGGAAGGTACGGCTCGGCGTTTGGCACCGGCATGGACTGGTCCTTCTCCACCGTCCAGCAGGGCCTCTCGGGCAACACCAAGACGCTCCGCGCCGGCAAGACGATTGGCGGCTCGACCTCGATCAACGGCGCGGCCTGGAACCGCGGACACCGGAGCCAGTACGACAACCTCGCCACGCTCGTCGGCGACCAGGGCTTCAACTTCCAGGGCCTCCAGGCCGCCATGAACAAGGCCGAGTCGTTTGTGCCGCCGGACAGCACGCAAAAGAACCTCGGCGTGACCTACGACGCCTCGGCGCACGGCAGCAGCGGACCGCTGCAGATCACCTATACCAAGGTCAATGGCGGTGGCAGCCGCCGCCGGTCGGTCTCGAAGCGCATGTACAGCGGCCCGCAGCAGGCGGCGTTTGTGTCGTCTATCAAGAGCGCCCTGGGCGTCGACAAGGTCGTCGACCAGTGCAGCGGAGACAACAACGGCGCCGCCTACGCGGCCAACTCGATCCAGACAAACGGCCAGCGCTCGAGCGCCGCCAGCTCCTACCTCGCCCAGTCCGGCGACAACCTCACCGTCCTCACCGGCCACCGCGGCGCCAGCCTCGCTTGGGCCGACGGATCGTCGTCGTCGTCGGCCAAGGCCAGCGGCATCAATGTGCAGCAGTCGCAGAACGGGCCTATCCAGCGCATCCAGGCCAGCCGCGAGGTGATCCTTGCCGCCGGCGCCATCAACACGCCTGCCATCCTGGAGCGGTCGGGCGTCGGCGCGTCGGACGTCGTGTCGCGGCTCGGTGTGCGCCAGGTCGTCGACCTACCGGGCGTCGGCCGCAACCTGCAGGAGCAGACGATGAACACGCTCGGAGCGCAGGCCAACGTCAACTACGCCGGCGGCGGACCGTCCAACATGATTGCGATGCCCAACGTCTACCAGCTCCTCGCCAACGCCACGGCGGTGCGCGACTACGTCAACGGCAACCTCGACGCCTGGGCCGACTCGCTCGTCTCGCAGGGCCACGTCGCCAGCCGCGAGGGCCTGCTCAAGCAGTGGCAGCTCTCCGTCTCGGCCATCTTTGACGACCGGGCGCCCGTGTGCGAGCTCTTCTTCGACACGGGCTACCCGTCCAACTCGTACGGCATCGACACCTGGTGCCTCCTGCCCTTCTCGCGCGGATCCACCCACGCCACCTCGACCGACGCCTTCACCGACCCGACCATCAACCCCAACTACTTTGCCATCCCCATCGACATGGACATGCAGGTCGCCGCGCTGCGCGGCGGGCGTCGCATCCTCCAGGCCGACCCGCTGCGGTCGCTGACGTACAACGGCGAGACGACGCCCGGCTTCGGCCACATCCCCGACGGCACCAACCACGGCCTGTACAGGCGCTGGCGCGACTGGGTCCTGGGCACTGACGGCACCGGCGGCTTCTCGTCGGTCTCGCACCAGATCGCCACCTGCTCGATGATGCCGCGCGAGCAGGGCGGCGTCGTCGACCCCACCTTCAAGGTCTACGGGACCGACAACGTGCGCGTCGTCGATGCCAGCGCGCTGCCCGTCCAGGTCAGCGCCCACCTCTCGAGCACGCTGTACGGCCTCGCCGAAAAGGCTGCCGAGGCTATCCAGGGCGGTCAGGCGTAGAGCGGCGGGGCGGCCGACTGCTCTTGTGCCTCGTATGTATTTGTATACCCTCGTTTCTTGAGTATGTCGGTCGAGTTTACGATGACGGCCGCAAAAACGGACAGTGGCCTCTCGAAGCAACGAATCCAGTCTCCCGATCCATCCTGGAGCCGCGTGTGCTTGGTTCGAGATGGTGGAAGAAGGGGCTGATCGCGCGTACCCGCATTGCCGCCCTGCGGATTACGAGTCGATCTTGGCCTTCTTGCTGTCCTCGCCGTCCTGGGCGGCGCCGTTGGGCTCCCCCTCGTTCCTCTCTCTCTTCTTCTTGGTCCCGTCGGACGCGACTGGTTTGGCATCATCGTCTTCGTCTTCGCTGATGTCGTCGTCCGCTGTGGTGCCGAGGGTCAGCAAGGTGGAGGTGAGAGCGAGAGTTTGGTCAGTCGTTCGGCCCAGCGATACAGACTGTCAGAGAGAGAGTGGGACGTACCGGCATCGTCTGCACCTTCGTCCTCGTAATCCTCGTCCTCGTCCTCCTCCTCATCGTCCTCGTGATCTTGCAGCAACCACGACAGGCCAGGGTTGCCATCTCCCTCGTCCTCGTCCTCTCCATCCTCGTCCTGGTCTTCTTCTTGTGCCTCTTCACCCTCCTCTCCGTTCGCCTCGGCTTCGTCCCGTCGAGATGCATCCCCCCCATCTTCTGCCTCGGGCTCGCGTGGTGCCTCGTCAGACGATGCCGCGGCGTCCCCCGATCTCGTCTCGTGCCTCGCCTCTTCATGCGTCGATGCGACCGCCCCTTTCGGATCTTGGGACGTCGATGGCATGTTGTCGGTTGGATCCAGGCCGGTCGTCGAGGTGGTCAGGGCTGGTGCGTGCGGTTGGCGGTGGTGGTCGGATTCCAGAGGGGCAAGCGTCAAGGCGCGTTCGCCCCGACGCGTAAAATGCTTGGGTCGTGGGTCCGTGCGCCTCCCCTCGCCCTCTCTATCCCCGAATCCGTCTTCGTCCTTGTGCCCTCGACCGCCACGGACCTATCTCACACGAAGCCGCCCTTGCCTTCGCTCAGATTCGGGACGGAGAAGTTAGGCAGATTCCTCGGAAAGGAAGAGGGTACAAGTACAGTCCGCTGGGATCAGTCGGAAAAGTAATAGGGGTCGCCCGCGATACCGAATCCGAGCGATGCCGCCGGGTCTTCGCGGTTGTCGCCCGTGATGGTCTGGAAGCGCTGGAAAAGGCCCAGGCCCATGTCGTCGTCGTCCTCCTCCTCCTCGACGGCAGCGTATGCGCGCTCGGCTTCGCCGCGGGACTTCGACGACGCTCGGCCAGGCACGTTGATGTCGTGTTCGGCCAAAGTGTCTTCCCACTCGGCCTCGTCGTCGTCGTCGTCGTTGTCGTCGTCGCTGCCGTCGGCTCCCTCACGGTGCTCTGCCTCGTTGTCGGCCTCATCCGCGTGGACGGCGGCGGCCTTCGTCGACCGCTTGCGGGGCACCCTGGATGCTGAAGCTCCAGCCTTGGCCGCCTTGACGGCTGGCCTCTTTCTTGCCGCCGGCATCACCTTGCCCGTCGTCTCGGTCGCGGGTGCTGCCTTGCTCGCCCGGCTCTTGGCGGCTGGCGCCAGGGCAATCGGGATTTTGGCCTTCCGCTTGGCTGTGGCGGTAAAGGGCCGTGGCAGCTTCTGCAGCTGCTCTTGCACCAGCTTCCGCACCGAGTAGGACCGGGGTCCTTTGGCCGCTCGTCTGCCGGATCGAACCAGGTTCTCCTTTCCAGGCGCTGGAGCTGGCACCTGATCGGCGTCCACGTTTGATGACGCCGTGTCCTCTGCAGCAGTCCGGGCGGGTAGCTCGTCGCTGGCTTCCTGATCCGCATCAGCTTCGAGCGTCGGACCGTCGCTGCCTGCTTCGGTGGCGCCCTTTCCGTCGGTGGTGGCGGACAGGCCGAGCCTGGATCGCTTTGAAGCAGTCTGCAGGATCTTGGCGCGGCGACGCTGGACGTTTTGCGCCTCGCGCTGATAGGTGACCTGCGGGGACGTGATGGGGTTGTACATCCAAAACTTGGCCACGCCTTTGCCGCCAGTCCGGTTTCCAGATCGGGTGGAACGCGACCTGTGCTGTGCCGCAGAGGAAGTTGCCGCCGGACCTTCGCTGCTAGGCCGTGCGGAGGGAGAGCTCGGCTGCTCGTCGTTGCCGTCTGCGCTCGCCTCTGCGGCCGACGAAGGTTCGACCGCGGCCGCTTCCGTCTCATCGCGGTCAATGACGATGGGGTTGTCGACCGAGCAGCCCTCCAAGAAGCCTCTCCGGGCGGCCGGATTGGCGCCAAAGGGCCCGCTCATTAGAAGCATGAGCTCACGTGGGATTTTCCTGACAGGCGCCAACGCTTGCATTTCTGCCTCGGTCTTGACCCGGACAGGTGTCGAGCTGGTCGTCGTGCCAGCTGCTTCGGCGGAGGGCGTTTCTGTGCGGGCTGTCGTAGCCTGCCTGGGCGTCGCAGAGGGCCTCCTTCGCGGGGACCTCGTTGAAGGGGCACCGGCTCGCGAGGCTGGTTCTCCGGCAGGGCCGCGGCCGGCGTCGCTTGATCGTACCCTTGCCGTCCGCGGAGGGCCTGAAGAGCCCCTCTGCGGGATCTCGACCACAACCTCGAGTCCCGAGGAGCCGCGAGGACGGGCGCGAGAGAAGCTGGCGTCGATATCGTCGTCGCTGGAGGCAAAAGACTCCTTCTTGTTGTCCTTCGGCTTGCTCCTGCGCCGAGGGAGACTGCCGGTAGCGCTTCTGTCGAACGGCTCCGGGCTAGGGCTGGGTGCTTCGTCCACGATGTGGCTGATGTCGCCGCCAAAGGTGTCGGAAGGAGGGGGCGTAGGCAAGGTCTCGCTGTGGTCGTCCTCGGCGGCTGCATCGCCGGACTTTGACGCCGGACCCGCCGTACGCATCCGCTTTGCCGGCTTGCCAGGCACTGCGGCTGCCTCGCTATGGAGAACATCGGCCGCCGGCTCGATGACGGCCCCTGCGACCGGGGCTCCGTCGCCGCTGGGCCCGGCGTCCGGCGCAAAGTTGACACGAGCACGCTTCCGCTTCGCGGGCTCGGGCTGTCTGCCCTGCGGCAACCTCCGTTCCAGGTCGTCCTCGAAAGCGACGCAAGCACGGGCGATTCTGGCGCGCCAGCCTTGCTCGAAGGAGCGGGCATTGGCCTCTAGCCAGCGCTCGAGCACGGACTCGTCCCCCGAGCTTGCCTCGATGACGCCAGCCTCAGCGCCGCGACTCCTGAGCGCCCGCTGCCTGACGCTAACAAGGTAGTCTTTGAGGTTGTGGCTGCTCTGCCGCCCGACCAGTTCGTACACGGTGCCGCTAAAGGTGGCCACGCGCCACGCGCCGTCATCGCCTCGAGCAGGCTCGGCCAGCGCTGTGATGATGTTGGTGCGCCAGACAGCGTCCGGCCGATCGTCGACCTTGCCGTTGCCCCTCGCCGCAGCCTCCTTGGAAAAGCGTCGCGTGCCGCTGACAGCGATCCAGCGATGCAGCGACGAGATCCGCTGGCGATCGAGCCCAGTGTCCCGGACCACATCGTCAACGAGGGTCGGGGGCAGGTTGGGCACCACAATCAGGCGGATGGACCAGTCATAGAGCTTGATTGGCTCCTTGGCGGCCACTGCGGCGCCGGCGCGTGCAGCAGGCGGCGCCACCGGGGGATCAGCGACGACAGCGGGCGGACTTTCGCTAGCGGGTTCGCCGATCGGCATCTTCTCGTCCTCGTGAGGCGAGAATGCGGGATACTCAAGGGCCTCGTGCGTCGTAGTCGGCAGTGAGGGTGGCAGCATGGATGATCTGGTCTCCTCGCCTTCGTCCTTGGGCGGGACGTGCCGGAGGCTCGCTGTGGCGCCCGGCTGTGCGGCGCCGTGGTGCTCGAGGTTTGGCACGCCGAGCGACATTTGGCGTGGCATCGACCGAGCCAGATCATCTGCAGCACCCATCTGAGCTGCGGCTGCCTCCGGCTCCTCCTTTTTCGGTGGGGCTGGTGTCCGGCCAGTTCCATCAGCAGCGCTGCCAGAACCCTTGAGCAGGAAGTCGAGGGCGCGCCTGGACGGGCCGGTGCGGTGAGCGGTTGGCTGCACCGTCAGAGCACGGTTGTAGGGGGCTGCCCGCTGGACAAAGGGACTCGGCGCATGTCGTGGTGGTGGCGGTGGCGGTGGCAGCGGAACAGACGGCTGTGCGACGCCATACTGTTCCTCATAGTAGGATGAAGTGGGCGCAGGGGTTGGCTCGTAGTAGGCAGGGCCGCGCGAGGGCTCGCGGAGATACCGCGGCGGCCCCGGCGGCGGAGGCGGTGCGTGGTGGGCCGAAGCGACGTATGTCCCGTGCGGATGATGGTAGTAGGCGAGCTCCTTGTAGTGCGGATGGTCAATGGGACCCGGCGTGGCGGAGGCGGCGTAAGGCAGCGACTGTGCGGCAGCATAGGGATGTGGCTGAACGCTCGAGTGTCGAGCGTAGCCGGTCGGAGGCGGCGGATAGTGCCCCGGTGCGGGATAGCCGGGATGCGCAGGATAGCCAGAGTGAGCGACATAGGCGGGGCGGGGCTGCCGACGGAACTGAGGCGGAACGGGTCCGCCCGGTTGGAGGTAGGCGCCTTGTTGGACCGGCGGCGCCATGGCGAGCGTCGTCCTGCTGCTATGCGGGCAGGCTCGAGGTTCAGCTGACGACGACAGAGAATCGTTGATGCCGGGTTTTCAGAAGCCTAGCTACGAGCGCATGATGGTGTCAGGAGCTGGAGTGACGAGGCGAGGCGCACGCGCTCGAAAATGAGCGTAGGTGCGGGTCAGGGAATGCCGCAGCGACGGATGCACCGAGACTCGAGATCGAGCTGGGCAGGGGCGGGCCGTGTGGCGGAGGCGGAAGGATGATGGTGGTAGGACAGACAGGAGACGGACGCGGGAAGACGCCGGCCTCGGGCGGACAGGATGATGGGCCTGACAGGGCGAGATGAAGGGTCGTGGTGCGGTCGAGACCGATAAAAAGCAGCAGCCCCGACGCGTCGTGCGGATGGCCTGCCTGCCCAACCCAACTCGAGCCAGGCCAGCGCTGCCTGCCTGGCTGGCTGTCCTGGCCTGCCTGCCTCGCTGCGCCCGAAGAAGGGTCCAGCTCCACTTCGAGCCTCTCTGCTGCCAGCGCTGCTGCTCGAGCCTCGTCTCTGCCAGAGCTCGCCTGCCCTCCTGCGGGCCCCGCAGCGCTCGCAGCCCACGCCGTGTGCCGCACCCTGGGATTGACATCTCGACGTCGTTCACACCATACCGCTGCCTTGAAGCCTGCTGTTGCGTGTTACCGCATCGTCGGGTCTCCGCTGATGAGAACGGCACGACGGAAGGGCCGAGACGGGGGTGTATGGGAGACGGAACGAGCCCGGCGCTCAACCCAAAAAACACAAACAGCGAGGGCACCTGCCTGCCGCTTGCATGAGGGCAGGGCAGCAGGCAGCGAGGCAAGTGGGCCAGCTGGCTGGCTGGCCGGCTGGCTGGCTGCGATGTTGGCCGCTGACGCCGTCCATCTCCAATCTAGCCATTTCCAAAACCACATACGCAGCATCGCCAGCATCGCCAGCCTCGCCAGCCTCACGCCATCCAGCTTGGGTCTCGACACACCCATCTCGCGCACGGGGCCTGCCACCGCGACCGCTGGCAACAACGCCTTCGCCCTGCCGATCCAGCCTCGCCGTCTGCCGTCGACGCAGCAAACACTCGCCCACGGGACAGCCGGCCTCGCCTTGGAAAGATCGCCGTTCTTGCCTGCCATCATGGCCAAACAGCCTTGAACTCGTCTCGACTACCCGACTGGACCTCATATCGCGCATCGACAGTCCTCCGATCCGCGCGTGACGGCCAGACCCACCAATAATGTCGGAGTCACGCGGCAGGCTGCTCGGCCTCGCGATCGATGGCCACCACCATCAATACCAGCATCAACACCAGCACCAGCACCAGATATCCAGCCATCACAGCCGGATTGATCGGCCTGAACCGCACCGTCCAGCCATGCCGCCGGCGATGGACCGAGAGGCTGACGGACATGGCCCGAGGAACAAGGGAAAGCAGCCGATGCTCTCGCCGCTGTTGGTCGCCTCGCAGTCAGCCACACCCTTTGCCTCGCTCGAGGACCTAGAGCCGCACAGGATTCCGTTCGGACGCAAGCCTGTCGGCGCCGTTGCCGATGCGTTGCAGCGTCTCGCCAGGCCGGCATCGGCCAGCCATCACTTTCACGCCCACGGCAGCCCTGCCTCGACGAGCAGGGGTACCGCCTCGGCCGACGCCACACCTCCGCTCTCGTCGCCCGCCCTGTTTGCGCCCACCGCCTTTTCCAATCCATCCACTTCGTCGCTCTCCTCGTACGGCGGCGCGCGCTCCCTCTCGCAGCGCAACTCGGTCTCGTCGCTGTCCGTCTCCGAGTTTGGCGGCTCCGTCTACGATGACCCTCGCGCTAGCTGGGGTCGCAGCGGGAAGCGGCGCAGCAAGAGGTCCAGTCCGGACGGCGACGAGGGCTCGCAGCGCAGCCTCAACGAGCGCAAGGCGTACGGTCGCATGCGCTCTCACACCGAGGGGTCTGCCTCGTGGGATGCGCACCGCGCCGGCTCGCTCTATGCCAGCACCAGCAGCTCGTCCCTCTCGTGGTCCTATCGGCACCACTCGCAGCACCAGCGGCACCTCTCCGAAGGCCGCGCCCGCGGAATCACCAGCAGCAGCGTCGGCCGGGCCGCTTCCACCGAATCGCCCCGTCTGCCAAAGGAGAGGGTCGCCCCGCCCGCCTTGTCGTCGACGGCCAACCCTTCTGCCAGCATCCCTTCAAGCCCGGGCAGGCGGCGGAACCCGGCCCGGAGGAGTGCGAGCAGCCTTTCCCGCGTGCTGGACGCAGACGAGGGTCAGCAGCCATCCTCGTCTGTCTTGGGGAGCGGGATCGGTGCGGCGTCGGCGCAGAGCCTGCGGCAGTCTCCTCGCGTCAGCACCTTCCATCACGGAGACTGGTACGCTACCGAGCCCAGGGCGCCGGATGGCTTCGCCTCGATGATGCGGCGGCGGTCCGGCGACGTAGCCATGGTGGCCGCAAGGGGGGCGTCGGCGGCCAAGCGCAAGGGTATGGGCCTGTTGCGCAGGGCTGGAAGCTTCGACGTGGCCACCGTCGGCGCTTCGACCTGGTCCACAATCTCTCGGACGCCCAAGTCTCGCAGTCGGTCCAGCTCCATCTCGTCGGACGCGCTCGTCTACGACCTGCGCGACGGCAAACGGCGCAGCTCGGCGGCGACAGCGCACAGCGTCGATAGGCTGGATGGCTTCTCGGCCGTGCGGCCGACGCAGTCGTCGTCGTCGGCTTCGTCCGGCGACCGGCGAGGACACGCCCGCAGCCTGTCCGACTCAAAGGGCTGGTCGAGTCTCGAACCTCCGCCGCCGCTGCGCAGCCCGCACTCGGCCATGGTCGAGTGGGAGCGCGCAATCGACCCCATCAGTAGCGCCTCTTCCCCCAGGATCGGCTTCATGCGCTTCTCGCAGATCACCGAGGCCGACGACGAAGACCCGGACCGCACCGATGGCAGCCTTGAAAAGCGAGCTGCGGCTGTCGTGCCACCTTCGCAGGATCATCCTCCATCAGCTGCTGCCCCAGCGCGAGGTTCCGAGGCTCCGGCTCCATCGGATGAGAAGAGACCGGCACCCAGCGAAGTCACGATCCACCTTGGCGTGGCCTGTCCTGGCACGACATCGGCATCTGCGCCCAGGCCTCCAGCAACCGGACGCCGCATGAGCCTTGCCAAGAAGTCGTACGCCGCTCTGATCGATCTGCTTAACCCAGCACTCTCCAAGGACGGGTTGAACGCTCAGCAAGAACCCGTACAGAGCCTTCCCGAAGCTGCCTATGTCAGCGCGGCCAACGGCCGCGGCGGCGGATCTGGCAATCACAATGGCGGTGGCTCGAACGAGGCCGGCGCTGGACGAGCAGCGGGCAGCGGCAACCGAGGCGGGACCGGCGGTGCAGGTGGTGGGAGGGGCCATGCGCCTGGCGGTCCCTCTGGAGGAGGGGGCGGCGGCGGAGCCAACGGGAACGGCCACGGAGCCGGTGGCGGTGGCGGTGGCGGCGGAGGCAACTGGCCGAACCGTGGCAAAGCTGCGTCTGGTCGAAGCTCTCCGCCCGTCGAGCAGGCCTACCGGCGGCTAGAGCTGGTCGGTCGTGGTGCCTATGGAGCCGTCTACCGCGGTCTCCACGTTGCGTCGGGCGCAGCGGTGGCGCTCAAGGTCGTCAATCTCGACACGCCCGAGGACGACGTGAGCGACATCCAGCGCGAGGTGGCGCTGCTGAGCCAGCTGCGAGAGGCGGACCAGAAGAACGTGGTCCGCTACTGGGGCTGCTGGCTCAAGGGCCCCGAGCTGTGGATCGTCATGGACTTTGCCGAGGGCGGCAGCGTCCGCACTCTGATGAAGGCCGGGCCGGTGGCCGAGAGGTTCTGCGCGCTCATCGTGCGCGAGACGCTCGTGGCGCTGGCCTACCTGCACAAGTCCGGCATCATCCACCGCGACGTCAAGGCGGCCAACATCCTGCTCACCAACACCGGCCGCATCCTGCTGTGCGACTTTGGCGTCGCAGCCTCGCTAGCGTCCAACAGCGCCCAGAGCAAGCGCTCGACGTTTGTCGGCACCCCGTACTGGATGGCGCCCGAGGTCATCACCGAGGGCAAGACGTACGACCAGAAGGCCGACGTGTGGAGCCTCGGCATCACCATCTACGAGATGGCCACTGGCAACCCACCGCTCGCCGACATCGAGCAGATGCGCGTCATCATGCTCATCCCCAAGAGCAAGCCGCCGCGCCTGCCTGTCGAAGGCGAATTCTCGCCGGCGATGCGAGACTTTGTCGCCTGCTGCCTCAACGAAGAGCCGCGAGAGGTGGGTATCGCGGGTCGAGCGCCGTGAAATTGTTGAGGCTGTTCGACGATTGGCTGACCTGCCTCCATACCCTGCTTCCGATCCGCCTTTGTCCACGCACGATGGCATTGCCGCTTCCCTTCGCCGCCGCAGCGCCTGACCTCCGAGGAGCTGACCAAGCACAAATGGATGAAGTCGTGCGCCAAGCAGCCAGTCGCCCTGCTCAAGGAGCTGATCGCTCAGTACAATGCCTGGACCAAGGCGGGCGGCATGAGGATGAGCCTGATTGGCGCCGAGACCGCCGACTGGGGCGACGCCGGGTGAGTGACGAGGCCATATCTTCCGGCCGCAACGGGGGAGGGAACACATCAGCTGATATGGTAGCCGCCCTCCGTCCATACGCCCCGCCACCTTGTCCCTGTGCTCCTCAGCAACCGCGACTCTTTCGCCTTTGATGGGCACGAGAATGGTGAGGCATGGGAGTTCAACACGTGGCGCTCCGCCCGCGACCTGCAAGAAGCCGAGGACGAAGAGGACATGGCGGCGGCGCCCCAGCCCATTCGCGACCACCCGCTGCTTCGCCTGTTTGAGGCGGAGCCTGATTTCAACAGTGCTCCTGGAGGCGCCATGCAACCGACATTGCGCAACATGCAGACGCTCAATGCGCGACCCGCGCCGCCTCCGCCACAGCAGCAGCAGCAGCAGCAGCAGCTCGAGCCATCGTCGCAGCTGGCTACGCTCAAGCAGGCCAAAAGTGCCACCTCGGCCCCCGCGCAAGAGACACCGAAACAGGAAGGTCTTTCGACTGCCGCCACCGCGGCAAAGGCTGCGGCCGCGCAGGACAAGGCAAGCTTTGTCGGCACAGGTGCTACTCCATTCCGCTTCGGAGCCGGCGGCGGAAGCGGTGTCGTTGGTCCACCGGCCTCGAGCGCGGCCCAGCCATCTGTCGAGCTGGCTTCGACCACAAAGGACCCACAGGATCGCTCACACACGCCATTGCCTGCAGAGGGGCAGGCGAGCCCCGCAGGGCGCTCGACCCCGGAGGTCGCCACTCCGACTGCCACGCCGCAACCGGGAGAGAAGCCGTCGTCGCTCTCGATCCCATCTCAGGTGTCGACCCCGACGGGCGCGACGGATCCGCAACAGGGTGCTGCGGCCCAGATCCGGCCTGGTGTGGTGATCCCATCGCCATCGACAGCGATTTCGCCGGGTCCTCGATCCGGGATCGCTCTCGGCCAGCAGCGGTACCCTGGGGCGCACGGCAACGCTGCGCGCGCGTTGATGGCGCACCAGCGTCAGTCGCACGGCGGGAGCGACCCCACGCTGCCGAGCAGCAGCCACACCATCCACGGGCGCAACCTGCAGAGCCTGTGGGAGGGCGGGCCGGACACGAGCGCCTACGGGCGGCTGCGCAAGATGCGCGGTGGCGACTGGGACGGCGGGCTGGCCACCAGCGGCATGGGCGGCATGAGCAGCAGCGGCGGCGATGCAATGAGCGCGGCGTCGGCCATGCACACCCGGGGCAACGGTTCCGGCGACCAGAATCCCGCCGTGGTCGACCGCAGTGCCGCCGTCGCCGCTGCATGGAACCCGTACTCGCGGGAGCTGCCTCCGGGCCCGCCGATCCGACCGCTTGACTTTGCCGCGCTGGGCACCAAGGACGACGTGCATGCCGAGCTCGCGCGGACCGTCGACGAGCTGGGGCGCTGGCTAGACGTGCTCAGCATCGGACTGGCTCGCGCCGTCAAGGTCGATGCCCTGCCGTAGCAGCGTGCGTGTCCCCGTCGGCGCCCGACTCTTTCCTGACACGCGCGCCGGGCGGCGGCGAAAGCGGCGGAAGAAGGCAGAGCGGCCAGCCTTTCCTGTCGACCGTGGTAGGCTCGATCCTGGTAGAGTAGCAGAGCCGTGCCAGGTCGAGCCGAGCGAATGACGATGTTCCACCTCGACGTGATCTTCGCACCCCTCTCGCCTGCCTGCCTGAACCGTGCCATCGCGAGAGGGGGTGATTGAAAATTGATGGCCCACCGACACCCGTGCGCTGCTCCACATGTGATGGCCTCGGAATTTTTCTCGTTTTTCCATGGCCGCTTGGCTTGAAGTCGAGGTGCATGGGGCCACCTGGCCCATGCTGGCTTCTCTTTGCCTCTCGCTCCCATGCATCCTCTTCCATCCTGACCATACCACCGCACGTTCTTCTGCTGCGCACCATATCGCCATTCGATCGCCATACCCGCGGCCTTTCGACGGACGCCTGCCACATCGCACCTCGGGGATCGAGCCGACTTGGATGGCCTGCCAAAGGTGCATCCTACGCCCCGTTCGAACGACCCCTCCTCCGCTCTTCAACCGCCACCCTCTTCGCCCACACTCAACAATCGCTCGGCGCGTCGCAATGTCCGACCCTACCGCCTCGACCAGCCGACAGCCAACAGCAGCCATGTCCGACGCAGAATGCTACGACCGCCTCGGTTATCCGGATCGCACGTTTGAGACCGAGATCCTGCCGTGCGACCCGTCGTCGTCCATATCCTTTCGCGAGGGGCGTACTGGTAGCAACGGCAGCAGTGGCGGCGCATCCGCTTCTACCGCAAGCGGCAGAGAACCTCTCCGACATGCTCGACCCGAAATCGGCTCCACGACAACGCAGGAGAGCCTCGCCACGGCGGCGCAGCACCTCCAGAGGGGACAGGCGGTGGCCTTCCCCACCGAGACCGTCTATGGCCTCGCGGCCTCGGCGCTCGACCAGTCGGCAGCCTCCAAGATCTATGCGGCCAAGAAGCGGCCAGCCGACAACCCGCTCATTGTCCACGTATCCGACCTTGACATGCTCGAGCGGCTCCTGCCAGACGACTACCGCCCAGGCCCGGTCTACGCCGCGCTTATGCAGCAATTCTGGCCGGGCGCCCTCACCTTCCTCTTTCCGGTCTCGATGCAGCGGCCCAAGGTGCCCTCGGTCATCACCTGCGGTCAGCCCTCTGTCGCCGTCCGGATGCCATCCCATCCGATCGCGAGGGCCTTGATCGCGCTCTCTGGGCTGCCGCTCGCGGCGCCCTCGGCCAACGCCTCGGGCAGACCATCGCCGACGACGGCGGCGCACGTCATGCGAGACCTCGGCGGCGAGCTCGATGCAGAGGCGCTCTCGAAGGCGGGATTCACGGCGCAAGAGGGGCAGCCGTTGGGGCGTCTCAAGTACATCCTCGACGGCGGTCCATCGGACGTCGGGCTGGAGAGCACCGTCGTCGATGGCATCTCAACGCCGGGAGAGCTGCGCGTGCTGCGGCCCGGCGGCATCACTGTCGAGCAGATCTCCGACGTGCTCAGGCAGGCTGGTCTGCTGCGGATCGGCGAGGGCGGTGGTGAGGACCCGCAAGCGGTGCGGTTGCGGGTGTACGGCAAGGACCTTGCCCGGAGCGCCGAGCAGGAGTCGAACCCGACGACGCCCGGCATGAAGTACCGGCACTACTCGCCGACGGCCCGCGTCGTGATGCTGCTGCCCTCGCGCCTGCTCGCCGCTGCCTTCGAAGGCGAGGGGGACAAGGGCGAGACGTCGAACCGGTCCGCGGCGGCCAGGCAGGTGGTCGATTCGCTCGAGGCACCGACATCGGCGAGGCAAGCGAGGACGTTCCCGGAGATTGTCGAGGCTCAGATTGCCAAGACTGGCCTGGCGCGCAGCGACCGCGGTGGCGTCGACGGGACGCGCCAGGAGCCGGTGCGCATCGGCATCATGATGTCGAACGACTCGGACCTGGCTCGATGGGTGCACCGCGCTTCGTCGCGGGCGTCCCAACCGGAAGCACCGTCGAGCGACGCTCAGCCAGCAGTGCACCCGCACCTGCTTCCGCCGTTGACGTTTTCGACGCTGGCCGGTGTCGAGGTGCAGCCGTTTGACCTGGGCCCGACGGAGCGCGGCGAGGTGTACGCGCAGCGCATGTTTGACGGCCTGCGCACGCTCGACGAGGGGCCGCTGGTGCGCGGACCGAGGTGCGACCTCATCTTTGTCGAGGCGCTCCACGACGACGGCGTCGGGCTGGCCGTCATGAACCGGCTCAAAAAGGCGAGCAGCGAGAGCGTCGTCGTCGATTGCTGAGCGCACGTCCCAGCCGAAAGGAACCATAGCCTGCCAGGAGGCTGGCTCTACAACCGTGACCGCGCCCTGCGGCCTGGTGCGTCCCTCTCTTGCGACCATCTCGATGCGATTCGCGCAGACGGCTGCTCGCGAGCTACCGTCGTAGCCCCGTTCTTTTCGTCCCTTCTGTAGACGGCGACCACGCCAGCCCTGCTCCCACCCGTCGCCCTGTGGTACGCAGATGGCGGCCCGGCCCCTGCCTGTCCTTCCGCCGGCCGCCAGAACGCCAGCTCTTGCTTACTCCGTTGGCCATGCTCGACGATAACATACCGCCGGCTGACCAAGCGGTATCGTGGCAAGAGAAAAGCAGGTCGGTGCATGAATCGATCGTGGACCGACAGGGACTAGGGACGTCGATTGGCAGTCGTAGCGGTACTAGAGACGCAAAGTAATGGAATGCCTGGCCACGCCAACGTGGTTCCTCGCCGTCGCCGCTGATGGCCATCTTCCGAATCCTCTCGACCACTTGTGCCGGATGTGCCGTCTGCCGTCAGCCGTGGAATCGGCTCGGTCCGAATCCGAAGAGCGAGGCCGGTGGTATCGTTTTTGCCTCGGGCTCGGGTTGGGGGTCCCCGTGATATGTCTGCAAGCCGGGGGTTGCAGCAGAAACGCAGATCGACGCAAGCAGTCCGTGCGAGCGCCGACCAACCGTGCGTGGATGAGTGTGGAGGCTTTGCATGGCCTGCTGATCCGCCGGCGGCGGCGGCTAGACAGGCCCTGCTATCTCCGTCCGATGCGCCTTGCCGTTGGAGAAGGGCAAGGGCGAAGGCCACCCGCCAACGCGGTCAGCCTCGGGGGAAATGCTTATATACCTGGCCCATCCACACTCCTTCCTTCTTACCGTCTCATCCCATCCCATCCCATCGCCTCCCATCCATCTCACGTCTTGCCCCTCCACGAACGAACGAATAAACGACCCACCGAAACCGACCGAACCGACCACGATGCAGCCCTTGATCCTGTACACGGCGCAGACGCCCAACGGCGTCAAGGTGTCCAACTTCACCGAGGAGCTCAAGGAGGCCTACCCGGACTTTGCCGTCACCTACCGCGCCATCTCGTTTGGCAAGAACGAGCAGAAGGAGGAGTGGTTCCTCAAGGTAAGCATGCGCTTCCGTTCCATCTTTCTTCTTTGGATGGCGCGCCCCCGCCGGGCCGCGCCGCTCCACCGCTCGGGCTCACCCCTCCTCCCTCCCTCCTTACTGGCAGATCAACCCCAACGGCCGCATCCCCGCCCTCGTCGACCCCAACCGCAACAACTTTGCCGTCTTCGAGACCGCCTCCATCATCCTCTACCTCGAAAAACACTACGACCCGCGCCACCTCTTTAGCTGGTCCGACTCCGAAGACGGCGGCGTCGACCGCCGCAGCGAGGTCCTCAACTGGATGTTCTTCATCCACGGAGGCCTAGGGCCTATGCAAGGACAAGCTAACCATTTCGTGAGGTCCGTTCAGCATGTTGTCCTTGCACTGCGGTGTTGACGACGACGACGACGAAGAGGAAGAAGGATGAGGGACAGTGAGGGGCGCTGAGCTGACCGCGTCGCGACATTTTTATTTTCTTCTTCTTCTTCTTCTTCTTCTTCTTCTTCTTCTTTGCTTCTCTTCTCCGCCTCTCCGCTCGTTCGCTCGCTGGCAACCAGGTACGCGCCCGAGCAGATCGAGTACGCCAAGGACCGGTACGTGAACGAGACCAAGCGTCTCTATCGCGTGCTGGACCGGCGCCTCAAGGACCACGACTGGCTCGTCGGCGACAAGTACAGCATCGCCGACATCAACGCCTACCCCTGGCTCCAGTACTACCGCTGGGCGGGCATTCGCGACGAAGAGGTGCCCCAGAGCGTGCGCGATTACATCGAGCGAAACTATGCGCGTCCCGCTGTCCAGCGTGGCATGGTGAGTCGTCGCTGCCGGCTGCATGGGCGAAGAGGAAGTGCACCCTTGCTGAAGCTCTCTCTCTCTCTCTCTCTCTCTCTCTTCCCCTCCCTCCCTCTCACCCTCGCTGTCTCTCACTCTCGATGTCTCTCACCCTCGCTGTCTCTCACCCTCGCTGTCTCTCACCCTCGCTGTCTCTTCCTTTGCCCTCCCGCTCGTGACTCGTAGAGGGAGCCCGGTGGAAGCAACGAGTGGCTCGACAAGATGCGCAGCCCCGAGTTCTGGACGACGCACCTCGAGGAGGCCAACCAGGTGCGTTGCGTTGCGGCTCCCTTTTCTCCACCATCCAGGATGGGTGGAACGACATGCTGACCCCTCCTCGCGTTCCCCTGTCTCCGTGACCGCAGAAAGCAAAGGAGGCATCGGCCTGGGTCCTGCAGGGCATGCAGAACGACAAGAACCGCGCCTCAAAGGCCTAGGCCCGGAACCCACCGCGCGTCCCCGCATGCCCCCTTCGGCAGTCCTGATACCTTCACTGTCAATGACAATGCCAATTTGCTCCTCCGCTGTTTCGCGATGCATTGCTCTGCTCCGCAGCGAGTCTATGTGCCGGCTGGACCGACGAGATACAGGAGCGTACGAGCAGAGATGAGGCGAGGGCGAGAAGAACGCCGGGGTAGGGCGCGCTACTCGTCAAACTTTTCGTTCTTCGAGTTGGTGCCGCTCGAGACGCGGACGCCAGCGGCGACGTCGCAGTCTTTGAGGTTGGCGCGGTCCTCGATGACCGACCCTGGGCAGAGGATGCAGTTTTCCAGTTTGACGCTGCGTCGGATCGGTGAGGGAGGGGCGGAAATGACGAGGGTACGGTGGAAGAGCCAAGTTAGTCAAAAAAAGGGATGCGGCCTTGTTTGTCCCTCGATCGCATCGCACGCCCAGGGAAGACGCTGCCCGCACCAAAAAGAAAAGGAGGCTAGGATACTCACTTTTCTCCCACGCGGACGCCGTCCATGATGATGCAGCCGGTGACCTTTGCGTTTTTGGCCACGACGCAGCCCTTGCCCACGACGCTGCGCTTGATCATGGCGCGCTCGCCGATGCGCGTGTGCTCGGCGACGACCGAGTCGGTCGACACCTGCGCCTTGGGGTCAATCAGCTGCACCTCGCCGCCCGCCCCTCCCGAAGCAGAAGCGACCGCAGAGGTGCCCGTCGACCCGGCGTCCGAGGCGCTCGAGGGCATCACCATCTGCGCACCTCCGCCTGCGACCAGCGACATCGACGACGACGGAGCAGCGGACGCGGCTTGCGAGGGTAGTGGGTGTGGCAGCGTGTCTTGCAGCAATGCCACCGAAGACACCGTAGCGCCACCCTGAGTGCTGCTGCCGCCGCCTCCACCGCCTCCGCCGCCCCCGCCACTCGAAGCCGAGGCGGCGAGCGAGCGCAACAGGTAGCGGTTGCACTCCATGTACGTCGGCACCGTGTTGGCGCGCGCCACAAATTTTTCGGGCGCCGCCGCAGAGGCACCGAGGCTCTGCCGCCTCGCCGCGTCCTCCTCCCCCTCCCTCTGCCGCACCTCGTCGATCGTGAGGCTCGGGTCGATCGGATGCCGATGCTCGCGCGCGAGGCGCACGATCAGCGTCACGGTCCGCACCTCGGCGGCGGAGCGGCGCGCCTGGGCCTTGAGCTGCGCCTTTTGCGAGTGGTCGAGCTTCTTGCCCACGGCGTCGCCCACGTGGCCCAGGTCGGGCCGGGTGAGCTCAGTCGAGGGCGAGGCCGGGTCGACGGGCGTGAAGCTGCGCAACATCGCCTCGCGCGACCTCGGCGAGGGCGCGCGCGAGAGCTCGGGCGTGAACAGGGGCGATGATCGCATCTGGTCGCCGCCTAAGCGACTGCCCGCCAGCGGCCCGCGGCCAGCCGAGTGAGCCAGGCCGTCAGCACCCTGGGAGCTGGTCAGATCGAGTTTGGCCTGCACCGCACGACCGTCGAGCAGTTCAGGCTCAACGTACGTGGTCGAGCGGCGCACGCCTCCATTCTCTTCGCGCGACGCCTGCATCGTCCAAGGCACGTAGGACGTGGCGCCGCCAGCACCGACGCCGTTGCCGGGGCCGGCGCCGCCGAGGGAGCGGCCGCCCAACTGTCCGGGAACCAGCGACCCGCTGCGGCTCGCATCGTCGGCGCCTCCGCCCGGGCTCGAGTACCAGCCGGCCTTTTCGCGCAGGCCCTTCATCCAGCTGCACTTGGCGATGAACGGGACCACCTCCTCCTTGAGGCTCTTCATGCGCTGCCCTTCCTTGGACTGGAGCAGGCTGACGAGCTTGGCGAGGTTGAAGATGTAGATGTGGCTGTCGAGCAGCGAGGTCGAGATGCGGATGTGCGGGTGCGACCAGAGCAGCGACATGCGGACGTGGAGGTCGGACGAGTCGAGGTCGGAGATGTCGTCCGAGTCCTGCAGCAGAAGCAGCCGATGGAGCGAATGGCTCGAGCCAGAAGGCGATGGCGACGAAGAGGCGAGCGGAGAGCGGTCGTAGATGGTGAAGAGCTTCGGAGGACCTGCCGTGAGCGAAGCAAGGCAAGGATCCCGTCGTCAGCGACCAGAGGGCAGTGAGATCATCCCCGTGCGTGCGAGCCCTGTCTGCGCGCAACTCACCGTCCTTTTCGCGCTCCTTGCCGGTGCCCTCGCCTGCGCCGCGCTCGTACATGAGGGTGGTCATGGCGGGCGACTCTGGCACGCCGGCGACGTGGCTGTTGATGAGGGTGGTGAGCGAGACGCCCTGGCCGATAAAGTCGATGGGCACGATGAGCGGGTCTCGAGTGAGGCGTCCGATGCTGTGAAGCCAGCTGAGAAGGGGAGCGGTTCCCAGCTTCCTCGCACGCTTGGCACCCGAGGCCGGGCCAGCGAGGCCGGCATCGGCGCTCTTGCCGGGGGCGACGTCGTCGGGGCCGAGGGGTAGCAGGTCGATCTTCATGACGGCCGAGTCGGCCGCCAACGACGACGACGAAGCGACCGTTGCGGGCACGGAGGGGATGGTGGCGCCTGCGAGGTAAGTGCCGGTGATGGTCGAGCTCGAGGTGGGGGCTGCGCTCGAGAGGCCGACGGTGACCGAAAGGTTGGGGTGCTTGGAGGCCTCGTGGACGGCAGCCGCCGCCGCTGCGGCCGACGACTTTTTACCCTGGGCGACGGCTACAGGAGGGACGAGGATGACAGTCTTGAGTGCTGCTGCGATCTGGTGGTGCTGTTCGGAGGGCGCGAGGATGATGGCGTGTCGGAGACCTGCCGAGAGGATCTGCTGAAGCGGGTAGGCGATCATGGGCCTGTTAAGGATGGGCAGCAGGGCCTTTGGCAGGGCGTTGGTGGAGGGAGCATCGTTGAGCGAGTCGAGGTTGTCTGCCGAGGTGGGCGAGGAGCAGAGCGGGTAGAGGTTGTTGCCGTGGCCGCAGAAGACGATGGGCTGGAGGAGGGGTGGGTGGGAGTTGGAAGGGGCGGCCGCCGTGGGCGCCGACGCAAACTTGGTGGCCATGGCCGGCGAGCGGTCAGAACGAGGGGCGGAGGGAGGAAGCTGGTGGCCGTTCAGTTCCAGAAGGGTGGTTGGACCGCCAGAAGAATAGGGAGCTGATGGTGAGAAGGGAGAAGGTTGCAACGAGATCGAGAGAACGCGAGGGCCAGGGCTACCTCGAGCGAGGGCAAAAAAGTTGCCTTGATCGGGCCGTGATTTCATCGGGTTGGCCTGCCAGCAAATGAGAGGAGGCGGACAAGAAGCAGCGGCCAGCGCACAGATCAGCCAGCCAGGCGACACGGTGCCTCGGCCACGCGGGGGCCCTCGCACTGCCACCACCACCACCACCACCACCATCACAGCAACCTCCGTCGGCAACGACCTCGGAATCGATATCGACTCTCGCGCAGATACACTGCGACGAGATTGAGCTTCTTCCGGGCGCGGATTGACCTCGGAAGGAAAGTTTTGCGCGCTCGCACTGCATCCCCACCCGGCCTCGGAGCCAGACTAGCGCCCACCGCACTGTGTTGCACCCGCTCCATCGGCCCTATTCAACCTCATGCCAGGCGCAGCGACCGTCGAACCGCATTGCAACCATGGCGCATAATCCCGCCGCCGGCACCGGCCGAGTGCCAGCTGGCCGCCCGACCTCGCCCCTCTTTACCTACACCGACGACGACCCTGCCGACGCCTTCGGCGACGCTCCCTCTCGCTCTCCACCACAACCGCCATCATCGTCATCATCATCATCAAAAGGAGCAGCAGCAGCAGGTCCGTCAGCGTTGAACGAGCCATCGTCGTCGTCGTACGCATCACCGCCATCGCCACCGTCTCCGTCTTCCTCGCCCCTGCACCGACCCGCAAGTGCAGACTCGAGGGGCAACATGAGCCGCCCACCCTCGTATCGCTCCGGCTCCTACGGCAGCGGTACAGCGGCATCGCGGGTACCCCTCCCCGTAAAATCCATCGCATCCTCCAAAGAGGCACAGTTCGACGCAGACTCCGACGACCTCGACGACGAGGACGACATGGTCGCCATCGCCGCCTCGTCGCTCACCACCCACGGTCAGGGGGCTGTCGAGGGCCACCACCGCAGGGCACCCGGCCACCACCGCGAGCGATCCGGCTCGCTGCCGCTCATAGATCGCATACCCAACCCGTTCCGGGCGTCGCTCGACGGCCTCGGCAACGACCTCCGCCACCTTCGCGAGAACCTCTCGGCCGTTGGCGTGCCCGGCTGGGACGGCGAAGGGCTGCCCGACTGGCTCAAGCGCGGCGCCGGCGTGTTTGATGCCACCGTCAACATGGCCAACAGCATCCTCGGCGCCGGCATCGTCGGTCTGCCCTACTCGATGCGCGAGAGTGGCTTTGTCGCCGGCCTCGGCCTGCTCATCGGCCTCTCTTTCCTCACCGACTGGACCATCCGCCTGATTGTGCTCAACGCCAAGCTCAGCGGCAGGATCACGTACATCGAGATCATGGAGCACTGCTTTGGCGGCAACGGCAAGGCCGCCGTATCGATCTTCCAGTTCGCTTTTGCGTTCGGCGGCATGTGCGCGTTCTGCGTCGTCATCGGCGATACTATCCCGCACGTCATCCGCTCCCTCTTCCCGGCCCTCGCCGGCACCTTCCTGGCCAACCGTCAGTTTGTCATCACCTTTTTCACCATGGCCATATCCTATCCGCTCTCGCTCTACCGCAACATCGAGTCGCTCAGCAAGGCGAGCGCCATCGCCCTCGTCTCGATGGTCGTCATCATTGTCGCCGTCACGCTGCGCGGTCCCGCCATGCCCATCGAGCTCAAGGGCGACCCGTCGCTCCGCTTCACCGTCGTCAACGTCTCGAACCTGGTCCGCTCAATCTCCGTCATCAGCTTCGCGTTTGTCTGCCACCACAACTCGCTCCTCATCTACGGCAGCCTCAAGGAGCCCTCGATGAACAAGTTTGGCCAGGTGACGCACTACTCGACCATCATCGCCGCCGCCGCCACCATCACCATGTCGGTCGCCGGCTACTGGAGCTTCGAGGAGAAGACGCTCAGCAACGTCCTCAACAACTTCCCCGACGACGACACCTTTATCAACGTCGCGCGCGGCCTGTTCGGGCTCAACATGCTGACGACGCTGCCGCTCGAGTGCTTCGTGTGCCGCGAAGTGCTCGAGACGTACTTCTTTGCCGGAGAGTTTGACCGCAACCGCCACCTCATCTTTACCTCGTCGCTGGTCGTCTCGGCCATGATGGTGTCGCTGCTCACCTGCGACCTGGGCATCGTGCTGGAGCTGACGGGCGGGCTGAGCGCCACGGCGCTGGCGTTCATCTTCCCCAGCCTCTGCTATCTCAAGTTGAGCGGCGAGAGCGGGAAAAAGGTGCCGCTCAGCAGCGTGCCCAACCTCGGCAGCGCAGAGGGGCAGCCGTCTCGATCGGCGCCGCGGGCCAACACGGCGGCGAGGGCAGGCGGGGCGGACCACGAGGGAGAGGGCGGGGCGGCGGGGGCGGGAGGCGTAATAACTTCGTATAGCATACATATACGAAGTATACGAGATCCGTCCGTCAGCGACCAGAGGGCGAGTGAGATCATCCCCGTCGC